TTTTTCGCGCTGTAGCTCTGCAACGGAGCATTTTCAGAGAAAACCCCACATATTTTCTGACCTTCATTTAAGTAGATCGTATCCTTTGTGAGACGAACAAACACCCGTGAAGTGAGATGTAGAGTAACACACAGACAGACAGACAGACCTAATGAAAAGCACTAAAGTGCAAACCCTCGGCGAAGTAGCTCGCAGAGAGTCTGACACGGGCTAGCTACAGTAGTAGATAGCACGCGAGAGTCGATACACGCCATTCGTTGTGACTTCTTGTGCCTTCAAGATAGACAGAGCAAGCGGACCCGGTCGAGGTAAGCCTGTGCTAAAATATATAAGCGCATGCGCATTATCCGCCAGCGATAAAATGGCGACTACAGGCATTAGCCATAAAATGCTGAAAGCGCTCTAGCTCTGCAACGGAGCATTTTAAGAGAAAACCCCACATATTTTCTGACTTTCGTCGCCCGTTGGGTAGATGATATCGTTTCTGGGACGAACAGACATTCGAGAGGTGAGATGTAGAGTAACAGACACACACACACAGACAAACCCAACTACAGTAACCCTCGCTGCGCATGCGCACCGAGGGTTAATGAAAAGCACTAAAGTGCAAACCCTCGGCGAACTGGGCATGCGAGGTACCACTGATTGATGGGCTAGGCTGCTATTAGTATGCGTTTACTCGTGGTCTCCCGCTAGTAGCTCGAAGAGAGTCTGACACGGGCTAGCTACAGTAGTATATAGATAGCATGCGAGAGTCGATACATGCCCTTCGTTGTGACTTCTTGTCCCATACACAGACACAGAACAAGCGGACCCCCGAGCCTGTTCAAAATATAAGCGCATGCGCATTTTCCGCAGCGATAAAAATGGCCGACTAGCATTAGCCGTACAATGGCGGAAGCGCTCTAGCTTTGCAACGGAGCATTTTCAGAGAAAACTGTTCGAAATTTCTGACCTTCATTGCCCGTTAGGTAGGTCGTATCCTTTGTGAGACGAACAGACACTCGAGAAGTGAGATTGAGAGTAACAGACACACGGACGGACGGACGGACAGACAAACCCAACTACAGTACCCTCGCTGCGCATGCGCGCCGAGGGTAATGAAAAGCACTGAAGTGCAAACCCTCGGCGCACTGTTACGCGCACGCGTATGTAAACGAATGCGCCGTACCACTAATTGATGGGCTGGGTTTAGTTTTAGCTGCCACTCGTGGTCTCTTCCCAGCTCGCGCAGAGTCTGCCGCGGGTTAACTACACTACTAGGTAGCATGCGAGAGGCGATACACGCCCTGCGTTGCATCTTCTGGTGCCTGCGAGGTACGCAGAGCACGCGGATCGATCAGACCGTGGTAAGCCATCCCGTCCGTTGTGTATTTGCATATTGGCTTTTTCGCGCTCTAGCTTTGCAACGGAGCATTTTCAGAGAAAACCGCCTTTATTTTCTGACCTTCATTGCCCGTTAGGTAGGTCGTATCCTTTGTGAGAGTGAGATTGAGAGTAACAGACAGACAGACAGACAGACAGACAGACAGACAGACAAACCCAACTACAGTACCCTCGCTGCGCATGCGCGCCGAGGGCAGCTACTGTAACCCTCGCTGCGCATGCGCGCCGAGGGTTAATGAAAAGCACTGAAGTGCAAACCCTCGGCGCATTGTGACGCACACGCGTAAGTAAACGCATGCGCCGTACCACTAATTGATGGGCTGGGTTTAGTTTTAGCTGTTACTCGTGGTCTCTTGCCAGCTCGCGCAGAGTCTGACGCGGACTAACTACACTACTAGATAGCATGCGAGAGGCGATACACGCCCTGCGTTGCATCTTCTGGTGCCTCTGAGGTACGCAGAGCACGCGGATCGATCAGACCGTGGTAAGCCATCCCGTCCGTTGCCTATTTACATATTGGCTTTTTCGCGCTCTAGCTCTGCAACGGAGCAGTTTCAGAGAAAACCCCACATATTTTCTGACCTTCATTGCCCGTTCAGTAGGTGGTATCCTTTGTGAGACGAACGAACACTCGAGAAGTGAGATGACGAGTAACAGACAGACACACAGACAGACAGACAGACCCAATGAAAAGCACTAAAGTGCAAACCCTCGGCGAAGTAGCTCGCAGAGAGTCTGACACGGGCTAGCTACAGTAGTAGATAGCACGCGAGAGTCGATACACGCCATTCGTTGTGACTTCTTGTGCCATCAAGATAGACAGAGCAAGCGGACCCGGTCGAGGTAAGCCTGTGCTAAATATAAGCGCATGCGCATTATCCGCCAGCGATAAAATGGCGACTACCGGCATTAGCCGTACAATGGTGGAAGCGCTCTAGCTCTGCAACGGAGCATTTTCAGAGAAAACCCCACATATTTTCTGACCTTCGTCGCCCGTTGGGTAGATGGTATCGTTTTTGGGACGAACAGACATTCGAGAGGTGAGATGTAGAGTAACAGACACACACACACACTGACAGACAAACCCAACTACAGTACCCTCGCTGCGCATGCGCGCCGAGGGTAATGAAAAGCACTAAAGTGCAAACCCTCGGCGAAGTAGCTCGCAGAGAGTCTGACGCGGGCTAGCTACAGTTGTAGATAGCACTCGATAGTCGATACACGACACTCGTTGTGACTTTTTGTGCCTTCAAGATAGACAGAGCAAGCGGACCCGGTGTCGCGGTACATTTCATCCCCCCGAATTTTTATCCGGCCGGATAGGATATTCTATCCCCCCCGGATAAAATTTCCTAGGATATTCTATCCGCACCCGGGATATTTTATACCCCGTGCTGTGCATTATATATTAGGAGTGTCGAAACGCAGGCGGGGTGTGTTGTTTTGAGGTTCTGTGGGGGATTTCAACGTTACAGAATGCGATGACAGCCTTGTTTGGAGTTACACCAGCGGACTGTAGAACACTACCGGATATCCCAGCGAGCGTGGGGCTCAGGTTGCAGGTGAATGCGAGCAGACCCGCGCAACCGCTGTGTCTCGAAGAGAAAGAGAGTGCAGTCGTGCAGATTCAACTCGGTATGCATGAGCAGCGACGGCGCCAACAAAATGGTCCCGCGCGTTTACCGTATGCGCATAAACTTTTCTTATTAGAGGGATAAAATATCTGGACACCGGATATTCCACACTAAGAGTATTCTATCCGGTCGGATAGAATATACTATCCCCCGGATAAAATACACGGGGGATAAAATATACTGTGACCCGGTCCTGTGCTAAATATAAGCGCATGCGCATTAGGCCGCCAGCGATAAAATGGCGACTACAGGCATTTGCCATACAATGCTGGAAGCGCTCTAGCTTAGCAACGGAGCATTTTCAGAGAAAACCCGTTCGAAATTTCTGACCTTCATTGCCGGTTAAGTAGGTTGTATCGTTTGTGAGACGAACAGACATTCGAGAAGTGAGATTGAGAGTAACAGACAGACAGACAGACAGACAAACCCAACTACAGTACCCTCGCTGCGCATGCGCGCCGAGGGTTAATAAGTGTTTAGGTACAGCTAGATAGTATCGCTGTTCCAACCTCCAACAAAGTCAAAGTGTTAGGCATTGTTGGTTTGTCGTTTCGTTTACTCATGTGCGTACAACAAATGCAAAACTGTTCAAATCCCTTGTCGGAAGGGTGGTAAAGAAGGAAATTGCAAGAAAAATAAGTGTTTAGGTACAGCTAGATAGTATCTGCTATTCCAACCTCCAACTATAGTCAAACTGTTAGGCATTGTTGGTTTGTCGTTTCGTTTACTCATGTGCGTACAACAAATGCAAACTGTTCAAACCCTTGTGAAGGGGTGGTAAAGAAGAAATTGCTAGAAAAATAAGTGTTTAGGTACAGCTAGATAGTATCGCTATTCCAACCTCCACAATAGTCAAAGTGTTAGGCATTGTTGGTTTGTCGTTTCGTTTACTCATGTGCGTACAACAAATGCAAAACTGTTCAAACCCTTGTGAAGGGTGGTAAAGAAGGAAATTGCAAGAAAAATAAGTGTTTAGGTACAGCTAGATAGTATCTGCTATTCCAACCTCCAACTATAGTCAAACTGTTAGGCATTGTTGGTTTGTCGTTTCGTTTACTCATGTGCGTACAACAAATGCAAAACTGTTCAAACCCTTGTTTGGTAAAGAAGGAAATTGCAAGAAAATAAGTGTTTAGGTACAGCTAGATAGTATCGCTATTCCAACCTCCAACTATAGTCAAACTGTTAGGCATTGTTGGTTTGTCGTTTCGTTTACTCATGTGCGTACAACAAATGCAAAACTGTTCAAACCCTTGTGAAAGGGTGGTAAAGAAGGAAATTGCAAGAAAAATAAGTGTTTAGGTACAGCTAGATAGTATGCTATTCCAACCTCCAACTATAGTCAAACTGTTAGGCATTGTTGGTTTGTCGTTTCGTTTACTCATGTGCATACAACAAATGCAAAACCATTCAAATCCTTGTCGGAAGGGGTGGTAAGAAGGAAAATGCGAGAAAAATAAGTGTTTAGGTACAGCTAGATAGTATCGCTATTCCAACCTCCAACTATAGTCAAAGTGTTAGGCATTGTTGGTTTGTCGTTTCGTTTACTCATGTGCGTACAACAAATGCAAAACTGTTCAAACCCTTGTTGGTAAAGGTGCTAGAAAAATAAGTGTTTAGGTATCCCTACTACCATGTGTTTATCCAGGAAACAACTAGAAATAGCACAATGTTTCTAACTTTATCATTACACTTTTCTCTCATAACCAGAGCAGATCATCAATAATTTAAGTGGTGAGTTGCTGGATTCTGTTTAACACACACAAAATGGTAATAGAAAAGCCAGACACAAACCATACCATTTTGTGTGTCCAGTAATAATAGAGTTAGAGTTGGGCCAGCTGATGAGTCCTCCCACTATAAACATAAGGGAAGAAAACCATCTCTGGGGGATAACCCCCGAGATTGTTTCTGGCTTTTTCTTGTTTTGCAGGTATACAGCACATTCTCTTCTTTGTGCTAGTTCTGACATTTTCATGTACGCTATACTATACAATTATTTTGTAATCATACCATGCCATTGTGTCTGGCATGCAGTGCATAAAACACCTTGAACCAGGGGACGTGGTTTTGTCCTCTCGTGTACAATAATTGGTGAGCGAAGCGATCCCTGCCAACGCCTATTTTTTATCCGGCTATGCCGCAAGGTTGTACGTGATTCTAAATCACGGACAGCCACCAACCGTGATACATTGTTGAATACTATTAGCCAGTTTGAGGAGCATAAAGTGGCTGTGTGTATTCGTACAGAAAAGTCTTCATTCAGAAGACTAGGACGGCTCTCTTTGCTCACAAAAATATGAGAATTGTTGCATTTGGATGACTAGGTAGGCTCGCTTTGCTCGCCATTCAATCAATGAATGTACTGTAAAAGTGAATTTTTATAAAGTATCAATTTTAGTACACATCCCTTCTCTGAACAAAATCACTGAACAGAACTTGAATTAGTTGGTATTCAATTATTTAAGAAGGTGCAATGCTAGCAGGAGGTCAGGCACCCTGCACCTCTGAAGAAAATTTGCTTGCAGGACATGAGGAAGTGGGACTGGACGAATATCCATTGTCGCCAAGGAAGCCACTAGAATGCCTCTGTCATAGTCAAGATGTTCCTGAAGCTGTAGTCCTGTCACTTTAGAGTCGAGCCAGTGCTCTGGAAGCCATAGCAGTGCTTGACAGAGTAGCAAAGCAGTTGAGGGAGAAGGACGAGTCTGAGGATCTCTACTAAGTAGCAAATGTGCAAGTCTTTGTGTGGAAGTCCTGCAAGGCGGTAGACTGGGCAGGTCACTTACTTCATAGTGCTTGTGAGCAAGTTGTGAATTTACTTCAAATGGGTTATCTAGTCCTATAAACTCATAGAAAAGGCAGCCGATGGCAAAAATGTCAGTTCCACTGTAATCCAAAGTCTGGACCTCTTCTGGAGTGTTGAGTATCTCTGGAGGAAGCCTAGAGTCTGCTCCTCCAAGCCAGCGTAGTTCTTCGTAACTGTATACAAATGATTTTGCTGTCAAAGGTCCTGGACGATGCACAGCATAGTTAAATCGACCAAGCTTTAGTATCCAGTGTTCGCCATACTGTGTCACATGGAGGCAGTCTAATCCAATATCCCTGTGGCACACAGCTCTACTATATATAAACTCTACAGCACTCAGAACCTGTATCATACACATAAGAAGCCATTGCCTTGTTTGTTGAGGAGCACAGGACTCTCTATGTCTTGGCAGCAACTCTGCAAGAGTTCCAATTCCGCAGCTGTCTCGCAGGAGGTAACGTGATGAATGGGAGAGAGAAGGGAGAGACGGTGGAGGAAGAAGACCTCGAACTAAGTTTAGGTTGGGATGAGGAAACAGGCATTTAGAGATCCTCATGTCATTTTGTGTGCACTCATCTTCCTTCTTGGGAAGTTTCTGTGTGTCAGTGTGGAAATAAGAATAGTTTAGAGTATATTCAGACTCTTTATTTGCGGGGAGAAAAGTCTGGCCCACTGACAGAGATTTATAGTGCATATATACTACCAATTGAACATGCACCGTAGGAAATAATAAAGCAAGCTAGTGTGCTAAGCTAGAAACCATTTGTAAACCACACATATTCTTTCGCCCCATGGAAGCTTGGGGGCAGTAAACAAAACAGTGGACCAGTCTCATTCTTCCCACGAGTAAGAGTTTGGCTGGGTAAAATTGAAATAGGCACTCCTCAAAATTTGGCAAACACCTTATTGTAGCTACCACACATACCTGTAGGCTCATTTGTAATCCCTTGTAGGCAACCACATTAGGTGAAAGTAGTGAGAGGTGTTGCCAGCCAAGTTCCCACAAAGGGTCAGGACGCACTACATGCTCCACAAACTTGGCATAAACACGCTGCACTGTGTCGGCCATCAAAGAGGCCAAATTTCCCTCCACCCATCCTCTTGGCTCACTGCTGCAATCTCTGAGTACACTGTACCGTACACCACTACCTTCTGGAATGCTTGTGACATCTTCTAGGTAAGTACTGAATGTTCGTGGAGGTTTCTTTGGTGCAATCTTCTTCTGCACTCTTGATGCAACTGCTTCAGATCTGTATTCTGCATCTGCCTTTTTTTGAATTTGAATTGGGCGGCGCAGGGGCTTTTCGTTTAGGAGCTGAATTAGAGGCTTTGCTAATGATACTAGTAGAAACTCGACGGCTTTTCCCCTTAAACAAGTTCTTCGGTCGTGCTTCGTCAAAACTGTTGCTGCGAGAGGAGGATCCTGTGACGACAAGCTTAGCACCGCGAACTTCCACAACAGCATAAGGACTAACTACACCAACCTGGAATATAAACAGCAGAAAGTATTTATTATTCCTACCATTTAGCAGTGAATAAACGAACCGATTTCCGATCCCTGCAGGCTTCGGTATTTGCATTCGTCCGCTGCCCGCTGTATTGTGTAGTATTTTCCGCTTTTGCCTCGGTTTTCTCATGACGCGACTTGGGACGCAGGCAGTTAGAACATGTCGTAGGTCGCCAAAAGTTAGGACGAAAGTTACTACAAGCAAATCCAGACATCCCTCTGCACCAGAACTGCGAGGTGTGATTGCTAGCTAGCTAATAGGCCCGGCGGCCGCCGTCACACTTCGTGCGCATGCGTTGAGTCGGTGGGTGTGGCTCAGCTGCCATCCGACGACTGCTAAAAGTTTTGTGCTCGACAATGTCTTCTCTCGCCGAGTACCTTGCGGCCATTGACTCCGCTTTGACTTCCCTAGTAAGTTGTTACGTCAGTCATTTATTTCATTGCTGCATGTGTTTTCCAGGGAGAAGGGGATGAAATACACATAACCGTCGGCAACGAGTCTTGCGACCTAGACTCGATTGTGTGCGCCATATGCCATGCCCATTTCTTGGCTCAACTGCAGAGGGAGAACCGCCTTTTTCTGCCTGTCCTCCAGTGTTCACGTGACGACTTGTCTCTCAGGACCGACGCTGTGTGGCTGTTAACCCAGCTGGAGTTGGAGCCTGCCAACTTTCTCTTCATGGAGGAAGCCCTCCCTCGACTGCAGGCCGCCAGAAAGGTTTCGGTGACACTGGTGGACCATGCCACACCCACTGGTCCTCTGGAGGAACTCCCCAATGTGGAGATTGCCGGTGTCATCGACCACCACCCTTCATCCTTTTCCTCCCCTAGACCTGCAGATCATGTGGTGGAGGCTGTTGGTTCGTGTGCCACACTTGTTGCAGAGAGATTGCTGGGGGAGGACGAGTATTCCGTGACAAAACCAGTGGCAACTCTGTTGCTGGGAGCAATTCTACTAGATACAGTTGGGCTGGAAGATAGAGCAGGGCGTGTCACTAGCAAAGACAAGGTGATGGCTGAAAGACTGGGTGCGTGGGTTGATATGAGTTTCACTGAGCTCTACACCAGCCTCTCCGAGGCCAGACTCTCAGTTGCTGGACTCTCACCTCACCAGCTGCTTCGAAAGGACTTCAAGAGTGTTGTAGCTGGGGAGCACCGCCTGGGATTCAGCTCTGTGACCTGCCAGCTCTCACCTGAACTGCTTGTCAGTGACGACATGGAGCAGGCTGTGCAGACAGTGTGCCAGACTCACAGTCTGTCGGCTCTGCTGGTCCTGGGAGTGAGGGTGGCAGGAGACTCTGTCAGCAGAGAGATAGCCATCTTCCAGGGAGAGGGTGCGTCAGAGGTGGCAGACACAGTGGCCAGTCTCCTGGAGAGTGATGAGGGACTCCAGTGCCGCAGACTACCTTCTTTCTCTTGCATCTTGTTCCAGCAAGGGAATCCCAGTCTCTCCCGGAAACACATCCTACCACTTGTCCTCAAGTTCATGTCCTCGCTGTGAGTTAAGCCTTTCTTATTTCCATAAGAATACAACTTTTTACACAGGTCTCAGGACCAGGAGAGTGGAAGAGGTAATTATAATATAATTTTAGTGAAAGTTCAACCTCAATCTGCATTGGCTCTCTGTGTCCTAGCAGACAGAGAGGAGGATATGATTGATCCCCAGCGACAGCCGCAGGAGATGATCCCAGAGTACACATACGAGGAGGAGGTATGCAATAGAGGATGTGTGAGTGAGTGTGGTCTGACTTTCACTCAGAGCCATGATGTTCGGTCTCATCGCCTGGTGAGCGTTGAGGAGGATGGTCCCAGTGTGGTGGACATGGATGTAATCCAGCCCTACAAGAAGATCATTCAACATGGAGGCTAGTTATTGGCCCTCCCTTCCCTCACCTCTGTCCCTCTCCGTACAGGGTATGTGGGTCCAGAGAGACAGGCTCTGCTGGTCATCTCTGCCTGTTACCTGCCTCCTCGCTCCCTCCCTCAATACGACACCACAGTTGACCACCTCTTCTTGTATATTATACCTGACATCTCATGTCTCTTGTATCTATGTATGTACCTCTCTGACGTCAGGTACATTGGATCAGTGTTGCAGCGACTTGTGGTGGATGACTACCAGCTGGTCTACCTGCACAGTGGAGCTCCCCAGCACAGTATGCCTTCCTTCTCTCTCCTCCGCAAGTTCTACCACATGTTGGACCGTAGGTAAATGTGTTAGCTGTGGCTGGTCTAACTCCCACTCTACCCCTGTTCCTAAGATTGAGAAAGCAGCTAAAACACCTCTACATAGTCCATCCTACATTCTGGGTACGCTCCATGCTGCAACTGGCTAGGCCATTCATCAGGTACCAACTACTGTATATAGTCCTCTGCTGGTGGTCGTGTAATTGTTGCCACTCTCCCCACAGCTCTAAGTTCTATCGAAAGGTTCACATTGTCCGCAGACTGGACCAGTTGACTGTTCCACTGGAGCACTACCTCATCCCAGCCCCTGTGCTCAGAGCTGACTCTGCCCACCTGCCACACCCATCTCAGCCTTCCAGGAGATACACTGCAGACAAACAGCTCTAGCTGTATAATATGCTGTATACTAAACTCTATTATTGTGCCCTGATGCATTCCTCAGTTACGCATGCGCATTGAAGAAGAAGAGTGGGCGTGTCCGGTGGAGAAGAGAGACAGTAATGGCGCAGCAGTGTAGGGTGCCCCGGGCGTACTGCGCTAGACTTGTGTCAGCGAGGAGATTCAGGTTAGGGCGTTGTTGATGTCTACCAGATGAACTGCAGGTCTTTTCAGCCTGCAGAGTACGGAACATGAGCGGTACATACAGAGGACTCGAGTCCCGATGCTGCACTTTCAGCCCAGCCTGCCTCGCCTCCCCATTCCCAAACTCTCAGACACCTGTTCCAGATACTTGGACGCCGTGAGACCCGTCACTAGCTCTGAGGTGTTCTCAAGGACCGAGACAGTAGTGACTGACTTTCTACGAGATGGAGGAGAGGGAGAGGGTTAGTTTTCATGAGTGTGATGAACGTCCAGTGACCAGGTCCTCTTTTCACAGCACTGGATAAGCGTCTGAGAGAGCTGGACTCGAGAAACGAACACACCAGCTATGTGGCAAAGCCATGGTACAACATGTACCTCTCAGCAAGAGAGCCCCTGGTACTTAACCACAACCCATTCATGGCCTGGAAACCAGACCCCTTCACCAGTAACCAGGTCTGCCTCTCATCACTCTCGTGGACACTCGAATCTTTTGCCTTTCCTTGCAGGCTCTCAGAGCCACCAACTTCATGCAAGCAGCAGTGCTGTTCCGTAACTCCCTGGAGGACGGTCAGCTGGAACCAGAAATGTTCCACCTCCATCCACACAAGTCGGACAACGACCTGTTCAGGAACATTGTCAGGTGAGTAGACTGAGAACATTACTAGAGGTGGTAACATGTCTGTCTACAGACTGGTGCCCAGCTCTCTGTCGTGGTACATGGCCTACCTCTGGAAGGTGTTCCCTCTGGACATGAGTCAGTATTCCCGACTCCTTTGCTCCACTCGTCTTCCTCGGCACCATATCGATGAGCTCGTCTCTTACTCCGGACACTCCCACGTGGTTGTCATGAGAAACGGACACCTCTACTCCATCCAAGCTGCACAGGAAGATGGTGAGCTGTCTTCCCCCCCTACCTGGCCTGTATCTCTGTCTCTCACCTTTCAGGAACTCCGGCAAGAAGTGAAGTCATTCATTCCCAGCTCAGCTGGATCTTAGAGCAACCTTCCACCCCTCCCTCCCACCCCATCTCCTTCCTCTCTGCCTCCAACAGAGATTGGTGGGCTAATGTCAGACAGGTATATCATGCCCATGCAGTGTACTGTGGAGAAACTAGTTACAAAGGGATTTTGTTGATTGGCATTGGTGCACCAACCTGTGCGCTACTATCATTTAGTGAGTGTTGCTGTGTGTGTTACTCTACCCAGTTTACTATGGAGAGGCTCATTTTCTAGTTTTGCCAAGGATTTAGTTTTGATGTGCACGACCTACAGTACATGTATGTATTATTTTAGTCCTATTGAGTTAGTGTGTTTGCAGTGTGTGTTATTCAACTGTCTCAGGAGCTGGAGGGAGAGAGTGAGAAGAACAGAGAGTCGCTGGCAAAGCTGGACTCTGCCCTGTTTGTCCTCTCCCTGGACGACTCTGAGGTAGCAGACGAGGTGGGCGCCACTCACACACTCCTGCACAACCATGGAAACAACAGGTATGCCACACCTCCTGTTTGATCTTCTCCCTGCCACTCTCTGGGTCTGAAGATGGTTTGACAAGTCATTCAACCTGATTGTGACTAAGAACGGACTGTCTGCTATCAACTTTGAGCATGCCTGGGGGGACGGAGTCGCGGTTCTGCGTTTATTCAATGAATTGTACAAGTACACGACCTCTCACCCCTGTACAATGCCTGCAGGTAATTCAGAGACGTCTGTCATTGACAACACGTGACTGTAAGGATTTCTCATGTTATATAGACACAAAGGTCTCAGGTGAGGGAGTCACCAAGTTAGAGTTCCAGCTTAATGACAGACTGAGGAGTTCGGTGGATGAGGCCAGAGCTAATGTTCATAAAACTTGCAGCACTCTGTCAGCTTGTGCCTCCAAGTACCATCGCTATGGCACCAGCTTCATCAAGAGCTGTGGACTGCGTCCTGACCCTCTCATGCAACTTGCCTTTCAGGTCAGTTAGAATGAACTGCCAGTTAGGACCCAGAGTATCTCCGTTTGCCAGAGCAACTCTGGTACATAGTTCACACACATTGCGTGTGCCTCCACTGCACTGTTACCCTCTGTCAGAGTACCTTGTGTGTGTGTACCTCCACTGCACTGTTACCCTCTGTCAGAGTACCTTGTGTGTGTGTACCTCCACTGCACTGTTACCCTCTGTCAGAGTACCTTGTGTGTGTGTACCTCCACTGCACTGTTACCCTCTGTCAGAGTACCTTGTGTGTGTGTACCTCCACTGCACTGTTACCCTCTGTCAGAGTACCTTGTGTGTGTGTACCTCCACTGCACTGTTACCCTCTGTCAGAGTACCTTGTGTGTGTGTACCTCCACTGCACTGTTACCCTCTGTCAGAGTACCTTGTGTGTGTGTACCTCCACTGCACTGTTACCCTCTGTCAGAGTACCTTGTGTGTGTGTACCTCCACTGCACTGTTACCCTCTGTCAGAGTACCTTGTGTGTGTGTACCTCCACTGCACTGTTACCCTCTGTCAGAGTACCTTGTGTGTGTGTACCTCCACTGCACTGTTACCCTCTGTCAGAGTACCTTGTGTGTGTGTACCTCCACTGCACTGTTACCCTCTGTCAGAGTACCTTGTGTGTGTGTACCTCCACTGCACTGTTACCCTCTGTCAGAGTACCTTGTGTGTGTGTACCTCCACTGCACTGTTACCCTCTGTCAGAGTACCTTGTGTGTGTGTACCTCCACTGCACTGTTACCCTCTGTCAGAGTACCTTGTGTGTGTGTACCTCCACTGCACTGTTACCCTCTGTCAGAGTACCCTGTGTGTGTGTACCTCCACTGCACTGTTACCCTCTGTCAGAGTACCTTGTGTGTGTGTACCTCCATAGACTGGCACATGTTCTGCAGGTGGCGTACTACCGACTATATGGAGAACTGGCTCCTAGTTACGAGTCCTGCAGCACAGCAGCCTTCAGGTTAGAACTAAAAGGTGGTGGAGCCACTGGTTGAGGTCGTCATTGTTACATGTGTCCACAGACATGGCAGAACAGAGACAATCCGACCTGCCACTGCAGAGGCCAGGACATGTGCAGAGCTGATGGAGCCCAGACACCCTGCCTCAGTCAGTGACATGATGGCTGCCATTGTCGCAGCTACAAACAAACACTTTGACCTCACAAGAAACGCTGCCATGGGTAGGCCTTACCTTAGCTTCACACATGTAATGTGTACGTGATTTTAAGCACGCACAAAAACACGCGTGAAATACTGAACTGTTTGCTCCGCTCGCCAAAGTACTCCTGCTGGTTGCTACGACTGCAGGTCAGGGGTTTGACAGACACCTGTTTGCTCTGAGGACTCTGGCAGAGGAAGAAGATGACAACCTTCCCGCCATCTTCACCGACCACTCCTACCAGCACATGGGCCACATCATCCTGTCCACCAGCACCCTCTCCACTGACTCAGTGCTCATTGGAGGCTTTGCCCCAGTGTCCCATGACGGCTACGGCATTGGATACAATGTGAGCCATTCCTCAGTGTATCATGTGACTGGTCATGTGACCAAAGTACCTGTCCGTTCACTGTAAAGGTGTTTCCTGATAGTCTTGGCTGTAATATAACGACCTACCCTGCCAGAGAGGGTGACCAGTTAATGTCGTGTCTCCACCAGACACTGGACCACCTTCACTCCCTCATGACTGGACACAACTTCAAATGAAACAGCAGGGTGTAGGTCAGACTGTATACACATTAGGTCTTCTGTATTGTACACAGTTGATTCAAAATTGAATATGTACATGTTTGACAGTCTACTGGTGCTGCTGCAAGGTCACGTTGATTTCTCCAATAATGTTGACTTCCCTCTGTCTGTACAGCAGTGATATCTCCTGCTCTACCTGCAGAACACATGCACCTACATAGCAAGATGCCCATGGTGGTCTCTGGTATACAGACCAATCTCTGTAACACAAGTACTGCTGTATTAAACAAACACGTGCCGGAAAACTCTCTGTTTGTGGAGGAAAACCCGAGTGCCAGAGACTACCATACACATACAGTACAGATCATCGAACCTGCCTCTGGAGACTTCTAGTCTCAATGCTCAGCCCAGACAACTGTGGCTCCACACTCATTGCCATGGCAACTGCCTCATCTCTCCTGACAACTGCTAGCTCTGCCTGTGCTGGGACACTGGTGGTTACACACACACACACACAGAGAGAGAGAGAGAGAGAGAGAGATACTCTGTGCACCTGAGCCTGGGCCTTGTTTGCCAGGAGTTGGGGGGAGAGGAGGGAGGAGGCCATTCTGTCGAGGTAGTGCCCTGAGCTCTTCATGAGGAGTAGGTGCTGAGTGCGAGGACTGGTGAGAGGTGTGAGGACTGCTAGAACACAGTCCAGCATACTCTGCACACTCTCTGCTCCTTTCTGCTTCACCTCTCCACCATCACCACTGAACTATATACTCGACAACGACATGATGATTACACATATATTATACATAACAGGTGCACCTGTGCTTGATATGGACACCACAGTTTTCAATTGCATTTCGATCTGCAAGGCTGTGTGGCCAACATTAATGCCAGTTCACAAAAACTATATGATGTCACTTTGTCCGCTGTGTGCAGAGAGCAAATCTACACACATTGGAACACACAAAGGCCCTTGCTTGTGGTGTTCCAAGCTCAGCTAGTATATAGGGCCTGAGGGCTTCTACATGCGTTCTTGGACAAGCTGCCTATTCCATAGGGTGACGCACACCTCATTACATGCTGGTTGCACCACAGGCACTCGGAATTGAAGAAACTACCAGATTTCATGGCGCGTGAGACAGCTATATTATAGTCTACATTTGTGCTCACCTGTCCAGAGAGAATGTCGTCAGTTCTGGTGAGCTCTCGAAGTCTCCAGGAAATGAATTCCTTCAGCTCCATGATGTCGTCAAGGAAGAGAGCCCTGGTGACAGGACTTGACAACAGGGTCTCCAGGTCTCCTGCTGAGTCAGCACAACTCTTGCTTTGCTGTTTGAGGGATGCCACGCCTTCTTCCTGTCTGCCTCCCTCTCCTCCCTTCTCAACTGCTGAGTCCTCCAACACTACAATGTCCCCTAGCTCCAGGATCCCCGGGTTATCCCAGTCAATCCCGTCTGACTGGTTCTCAATCCCATCTGACTGGATGTCTGAGGAGAGGTCTCCCCAGTCAATGTCTCCAGCCTGTGGCTGCTGGCTTCCAGCAGGTAGCTCCTGCAGCACCTCAGTCTGTAACACCACATCTCAATCTCTATAATTATACATACACACAGTCCCAGCCTATACCTCTGGCTCCACACCATGTCTCCACCTGTAGACTGTCACATTCCCATTCGTCATGAGGTAGTGCAGCACCGGCAGGAAGGTGGGAGGGTCCACTGGCCTGCACAACTATTCCATGAGACTGACTCTCTGGGGTGGTACACAAACCTGCCAGTGTTAGTCTCTACCACTGTCTGGTAGTAACTGAGAGCAGGAGAGAGGCTCTGCAGACCATCCAGTGTCTGTTGAAAGATGCCTGGCAGCTCACTCAGAAGATCCTGCAGCTCTTCCCTCACGCCCTCTCCCTGCAAATGGAGACAGAATACCCATGAGCATGAGATGGGGATGAACCCACCTGGATACCCATCTCCTGACATGAGGCGTGGAACTTGTCTGAGAGAAGCTGCAGTGCTTCGTGCCTCCTGCTCTCTCTTCAGAGTGTCCTGCTGTATCTGCTGACTCCGAGCAAGGCTCTGGGCAGACGACTCATACACACTGCCCCTCACTCTCATCTCCTTCCCTCCTCACCTGTTTCAGAGCAGGGATCTCATAGTTTACATTGCGAGTCAGCTGCTGTGCACAGTCCGCCAGATACACTCCTCCTTTCTCAAAGTCTCTCACTATTTCCGCCCACTCCTGTAACATGTATATATATATCAGAGAGTAGATTCAACACAATACTTCTGACTACATGGTGTGCAGAAACGTTCCATAGAAACCTGCTCCTGCCACCAATGAAAGTGCAAACCCTCGGCACACTGCACATGCGCGATACTGCTAATTGATGGGTTGGCCCAATAGTGTGTGTTTAGTCGTGGTCTCCACGCTATAGCTGGCGGAGAGTCTGACACGGGCTAGCTACACAAGTAGATAGCATGAGGGAGTCGATAATAATTGTGATGTTTTTGTGCCTCCAAAGTACTCTGAGCAAACGGATTAGGTCGCAGGAGCCCAGTGCAATTTTACAGCTCGTTTTCACGGCATACTTCACAAACGCAGTCGTTTCAGGATTTTTTACAGGTTCTGAAGCCATTTGCTCATGGGCCACCTCGTAGCCATTTGCTCATGGGCCACCTCGTAGCCATTTGCTCATGGGCCACCTCGTAGCCATTTGCTCATGGGCCACCTCGTAGCCATTTGCTCATGGGCCACCTCGTAGCCATTTTCTCATGGGCCACCTCGTAGCCATTTGCTCATGGGCCACCTCATAGCCTATAGTGCCAGAATAAGCATCGACAGACAGACACACGCAACAACAGAACGACTACTGTAACCCTCGCTGCGCATGCACGCCAAGGGTTGATGGAATAAATCACACACTGAAAGAAACAAAGGTGCTGCTGTTGTTGGGTAACAGGCTTTGCCAATGTTGACCTCCCAGTGTTCCTCCAGACTCCAGACCATCAGCACAGTGATTGGTGTACAGACATATGTACATGTTGTTCATGTCCTGTTTTTAAGGCAGTGTTTGTCTCATTTTTGCTCGTGGCAGCTGCAGCAATACGACTGGGAAACGCAAGGGCTATTTTTGTGGTTGAGTTAAAATGAAGGATTTCCAACTGGAAAAATTTACACATTTTTGTTGCTACCTGAACTCTGGGAGAGTTGTATTTCCCAAACAGTGATTTACTGTCTCCGTCCACTGTCTTCACAGTCTCCAGAATCTGACGGCACTGGAAGTAGTTCAGAGCTGAGGAGTGGTGGTTGCAGGAATAATGAATATCTCCCTGACTTGAGGACCCCGTCTCACCTGGCCTGTCTCCAAGAGTGGCCAGCTGGTCTGGGGGAAGGCTAGGGAGACTGGCATTGATCTTTTCTCTGATGCGGCGGATCTGGACCGTCCATTTAGAGTCACAGTGGCGACGGTCGATTAGCCAATCTGTGAGTAATCTACTGACAGGGCAGCTAAGCTGGCGAAAGAACCTCACCTAGCAGTTTATTGTAGTGAATGTCGATCGGCAACTCCAGCTCGCCGTCCATGTTTTTTTCACGCATGCGCATCAACCTCAACCCGTAATATAATTATACGTATATGCAGTTTCGCGCTCCTGACACGGCGCAGAGAGCGAACTTCTGAACGACAATGAAGCAAAATCTTAGGATTAAAACACAAGTGTTCAACTGATTCAGTAAGAGTCTAATAGTAAGACAATGCACAGGCTAATGAGGGAGTATCAGACAGGTCAGGCCTCGTCTTCTTCCACCTCTCCCTCATCATCATACTCTCCCTCCTCGTCCTCTTCAATGGTGGCCTCCTGGTACTGCTGGTACTCCGATACCAGGTCGTTCATGTTGGACTCAGCCTGCAGTAGGGGGGAGGAAGGTTTCAGTTTACTGACATGCACATCAAAGTTTACTCTCCCCAGGAGAGCAAACACCCAGAGTGGTGACAGATGATGCGGAAGACTTGAATAAACTGACCTCTGTGAACTCCATCTCATCCATTCCCTCTCCAGTGTACCAGTGGAGGAAGGCCTTGCGTTTGAACATGGCGGTGAACTGCTCACTGACTCTCTTGAACAGCTCCTGGATTGCCGTGCTGTTGCCCACAAACGTGGCAGACATCTTGAGTCCGCGAGGAGGGATGTCACACACGGCTGTCTTCACATTGTTGGGAATCCACTCCACGAAGTAGGAGCTGTTCTTGTTCTGTATGTTGAGCATTTGCTCATCCACTTCCTTCATGGACATACGGCCACGGAACATGGCAGCTACAGTCAGGTAGCGGCCGTGACGAGGATCGCAGGCTGCCATCATGTTCTTGGCATCAAACATCTGCTGAGTCAGCTCCGGTACGCTGAGTTGCCGGTACGACTGTGACCCACGGCTCGTTAGTGGGGCAAACCCTGTGATGAAGAAGTGGAGACGAGGGAAAGGGACCATGTTCACCGCCAACTTGCGGAGGTCGGCATTCAGCTGCCCCGGGAACCTCAGACATGTGGTGACACCACTCATCGTCAGGGAAACCAGGTGGTTCAGATCTCCATAAGTAGGCGTGGTGAGCTTAAGTGTACGGAAGCATATGTCGTAGAGTGCCTCGTTATCGATGCAGTAGGTCTCGTCGGTGTTCTCTACCAGTTGGTGGACTGAGAGTGTGGCGTTGTAAGGCTCCACTACAGTGTCAGACACTTTGGGAGAGGGTACTACACTATAAGTGTTCATGATGCGGTCAGGGAATTCTTCTCTGATCTTTGAGATAAGCAGAGTACCCATACCTATAGAGAAAGGCATTCCATTGGTGAGGGGAGAGAGCTGAGGCTACTATAAGGTGTTGCCAACAGCACCCCCTCAGCTATGTGTAGCTAAGACCAGCCCACAGTCCACTGACCTGAACCTGTGCCTCCTCCCAGAGAGTGGCAAAGTTGGAATCCCTGCAGACAGTCACACTTCTCTGCCTCTCCTCTAACCTTCTCCATCACAGCGTCCACCAGCTCAGCTCCCTCAGTGTAGTGACCTTTGGCCCAGTTGTTCCCAGCACCGCTCTGACCTGTGGGGGAGACAACAGTTACACAAACACTCAACACCAAAGGATGGCCAGACAATGACTGAGAGGGCAGCTAATTGCCTCCACAATAGCAACACTGCCCACAACACTACCACATACTGCACCTGCAGGGCTCCCTACAATCAGCCCTGTGGCCTCAGACACAATAATGACTAGACCGCCAGTCATTAGAAAACAAGGGCTGGTCCCGCAGAGGGAATCCCTAACGGTAAAGGGCACAGGAAACGCTAGTCCCCAACACAATAGCCAAGAAGTTACCCATATTTTGGGGTTATAAAAACTGCTATAGGCGGGTATACCACACCCGAGTGATATCCTCACCAAACACAAAGTTGTCCGGATTGAAAAGCTGTCCGAAAGGGCCCGAACGAACGGAGTCCATCGTCCCTGGCTCCAGGTCAACCAGAACACCTCGCGGGACGTATTTTCCTCCAGAGGCCTCGTTGTAGTAGACATCGATTCTCTCCAACTGGAGGTCCGAGTCTCCGGCATACTTACCAGTGGGGTCGATGCCGTGTTCGTCGGAGATGACCTCCCAGAACTGAGGGAAATAAGAGAGCACAATCGAGTCACGGAGAGTGCCTTGCCGCGTCACGTGGCACGCTATCCACTCACCTTGGAGCCAATCTGGTTGCCGCATTGGCCGGCCTGCAAGTGGACTATCTCCCGCATCGTCACAACACCTTTACAGGCACGATAGAGTCAAGTGAAGACAACGACGGACGTTTCCTGTGACAGTTTTGCGGCGAAAGGGCCGCCTCGTGCCGTTTTATACTGCGCAATCAGTGCGCTTACGCATGCGCAGATATTGCAACCGCACCCAAACCGACCCGCGCGCGGGAATATTGATTCACACTGGCACAGCTATAGAGACGTTGCACTAATGCTGTTAGATTCTACGTATGTAAACTAAGTTTCTCCGTTGGAGTTCTTCCAGCAATAATATTCATTATGCGGATGCGGTGCAACTTGGAATCGACGCCAAGTTCAGTGGAGAGGACTTCTTCCGTCAGCTGCAGCAGGACTTGTCCGTCCACTCGCTCTTTCAAGAACGCCTCCCTGTACTCGGGAAGATCCAGTGCTTCAAGCATACTGACTACCTGGAGATAACAAGCTCATAATGGCATAGAAAAGATTGGCTGTAATGCATACCTGTGTACAATTCATGTCTGCAATAGTACGTCTGTTTTGACTGCTTCTTTCATCTGTAACTGGCTGGGCATTCTGAAGGCGTTTCGTATCCTTCTGAATATCTGTTACAATCATCCTTAGCTGATCAAGTTCATTCAAGATGGTGCTCAGCTGCTCTGTGTAGGCTACTGAGAGCTTGTCAATATGAGAGGCAAGATCCCTCACAATCGAGTGTACCGCAGCCTCCTGTAGGGATGCACCTGAGTCCCTAGTCCCACTAGAGTTTTCTGTCTCTGTCCAGCAGCTCATTCTGAATCTCTCTTGTGTCGGAGGCTGTAGGAAATTCAAAGAACCTTCACAGCTTCCCTGTGCTGTGGGCAAACTGCTCAGTACAGCATAGATTCCATCAGATTCATCTTCAGACTCTTCAACAGCATCACTTTGCTCTGTAGCAGGCATTTCGGGGAGCGAATCTGGTGTTGTCATTGTAAAATATTGATCGGAAGGTTGGACATCGATGCTGATGGGCTGTACTAGTTGAACGCCTTCTTGCTCTCTGCCTTGAAGGACCTGGTCTCGGAGTCCTTGTCGAACATGCTGATCACTGAGCACTGGCCTGGCAGAGGTGAAAAACGAGCAAAAGAGTGTCTCTGTTGCACTCAACAGCTCCTGCTTTGACAGGAAATCCAGCTCCACAACTTCGACTTGGGCTTTTAGATCAGAGCTGATTTCAAAGAAGCTAAGTTCTCTGGTTTGCTGGGATAGATCAGAGGCAATCAGACTCGTCTCGCCTGCCGTTCTCTCCATTACATATGTTGAACCAAGACTGGGAATTTCAGTGAAGACTACTGTTGCAGGGAAACCGATGCCAAGGTCGAGAAGTGATGATACGGGTAGTGAGAGCTGTGCAGGGGCTGTAGTGAAAGATCCAGCACATTTTTCATTCAAATACTTGGTCTCCCCACGAATGTTACTCACGCGCAATTGTTTAGTTCGAAGGAAGGTTTTCGTGCCGATAATGCGGAGGATTTCTCCCTCTGTGACGGAGGAGAGAGCAGTACCTCCCTGGTAGGTACGTGTGGCTTTGATGAGAAGCGGAATAGGTTTTCTTGCTATTAGATCTCTTACATTGTTGTAGTAGTACCCATTCATTGCTACCTCAATGTTAGAGTCAGGGTCATACAGGACGCTGAGTTTTGCCGCCGAATTCAGTGGAACAGAAATGACCTCTCCACTAGCAGAATCCGTCATGAGAACTACTTTGACATGCTTGATGAAGTGAAGATTAAGGAGCCCATCAATTGGGAATGGAGGGAGCAATGGAGGGGACTCTCTGAGCAGCTTCACCTGGCATGGGAGCATGGCTGAATGCTGGGTAATGAACTGCGAGATTTGAACGGGTCCCTCAGGCTGGGAGACCTTGAGATCAACACCAATTGACATCCTCATGGTGTGGAAGAGGGAGTTGAGGTGAGGAGACTTCATACTCCTGTCCCGGTCGGCCAAGCTCCTGGAAGGAGACGGGCCGGAGAAAGTCATGCTGCGAGGTGGGGGGATGGGGGGAGGCGATCTAGTCGGCTGAGGCTTGCTCATCGGAGCTGGCTCATAGTCACTGTCATCACTACTTGTCTCCATTCTCAGTAGTAGTCCTCTATTACTGCCAACAAACTTTTAGGGAACTTGAGGTCATATGTACAATGGCTGTCATTTCGGTATACATATATAGTGAGTGCCAACTACCTATACCAACACGCACACACATACAATCACTGTGAAGGGAGTATTTTCAGAAACAGAGAGTTTGCAAAAACAAGATCTGCGTTGCTTTTCATTCCATCTTCACTTTCACCCTCTTCGAATTCCGCGGCCGGCATGGCAGAAATAATGCGCATGCGCGTCCGGCGGTGTATTCAGTCGGACCGCAGACGGCAGTGACGGATGTCGACCGATATTTCAAGTCAGGCGAACTAGTGTCAAAGGCAACGTAATACGTCTTCCAGTAGTGCTGAAGGTAATGAGTTTTGCAAAAGTCTGTGTGTGCAGTGTTACGCGACCATGCGAAACTGGGTGAGCTCTGAAATCGTGCAAGCCAGCTATCTACATAGTGTACGTGCAGGGCAACTGAAGTAAGGGCATTTCTCTAAACACCTGTGTCAAAATGCATCTCAGACGACGACAGATGGAGCAAATACTGTTTCAGCACAGTATAACTACCCTGAACAACTAACAGTAGAACTTCCCTCTTCAACATCTAACAGTAGAACTATATCCTCTTGATTGTTGAGTTAGTCAGCCAATATCTAATGGGCAGATGCTACCAACTGAATTAAGAAGGCTTATTTACCTTCCATGATGCCTAACAAAGTAATATCAAACTGGGCATGTAGCTAAATTAAAATTGTCACCATGCACATATATAGCTCAAACTGAAATCATAGTTTGAATGCTACCTTATATAGATTCCTCTCTACTAATATTCACACATTATAGTCATGATGTCACTGGCACCCACCACGCACTGTACACTCCCTGCTATACTGCTGCCTCTACTGATGATGACAGTTGACTGCTACAGCAATGGGTCATTTCCAGAGGCCTGCTACTCCATGTTGCCACTGCACATCTCTCCTGGTTCCCAGACAGCAGCTCCCCCCATTACCTGCCACTCAGGAGGAGCAGAGTGCCCAGGAATAAGTCTCACTGTTACACAGAATGGGACAATTGCTGGAGACTATAGCTGTGACTCAGAATATGAAGGTATCTATTTTTGCCCCTTCCAATGCAAAGACGATCACGAATTCCATACTATGCAGTGACACTTAGCTCCAACCAAGACTTTATTGGATACCTCATTCAAGCAAGAGTACCACTGGCTGGAGAGGCATTCGACAGATTTCGCATCGTGGGTACCATGATCAGTGCTGGTCCACAGGGGACAATACTCTACTGCAACAGCACTTCTGACTCACCTAATGCCCCCCCTCTGCCTGTCAGCTTTTGCCTCATTTCTATTAAGACAATGCTGTGAATACTATCCTGTCATGTCAACAGAATTCTGCAACCCAAAGTTGGATCGCTCCACATCGCAGCGTCACTGTGATATGGAGAGCACCTGCACCTTTCACTGCTCTCGGCAACATTCAGTTTTAGTGAGATACACCATTCTATCATCATCATTTTGCTAAAACTCTTATGCTCACAGCGCTACCGTTATTGTGGACTTTGATCATTTCTACCTTCCTGTAACAAGCCAAGTTCTGGTAGGTATTGCTCTAGGTTTATTCAGTAACAGTCAATGTCTCATTTCTAGGAGCCACTTGATTCTACATGCAAGTCATGTAAGATAGGTAGTGGGTGTCACTGTTCTTGTTAGCTAATATAATCTCCATGCAGTTCTTCCCTTCCTGTCCCTGGGAACTACGGCTGGCGTGGTAACTGAGGAACTGGAAAAACGTGATGACTGGGCCTCAGATGGTATTCCTATTCCTGGTGGCCTTCCTTTTGCCACTTACAACCACACTCTCGTCTATGTAAGTTGCTGGTATCCCGTACACTAATGCTTGGAAAGGCAGAATAGTATCTAGAACCTAGCACATTAGCTGCTCTTCTTCAGTAAAATTAGTTATCTGTTGTTTTGGTGTGCCTTCACCTTGAGACATCATTTTTGACACATGCATAACACTCGGCTCGGAGTTTGATTGGTTCCTACATCATTATAGCATACTGTGCTATAGCACAATTTTTCAGGTTTGTTGTTTTGTGTTGTATTGCGCTGTAGGTTTGAAACCCTACTCCTGAGTTACCCTGGTAGGGCACTCAGCTAAGTGCAAGGTGTTGTGGGTAATCCCACCCAGGGCAGCTCTTCTTTCATTGAAAAACAGTTGTCCACAGTGCTGTCATTCTGTGTTCTTCAGATTGGGACAAATGGAGTGTTCTCCTTTGGATATCGTGAGACTGGCTACTGGCACAGAATCAACAACCCCAGTCGGTTCTATGCTGCCCCATTTTGGGGAGATGTGGACATATCAGATGGAGGAGACATATTCTATGAAATCCACACGGCTCCTTCCTTGCTCATTGATCAAGTCAGTTCCCTGGTGTCCTTTCGTGAAGGCATTGAATTCTCAGCTACATGGATGATTGTGGCCTATTGGAGGGAGGTACAGCAGTTTTCCAATCATACCCCTCAAGTATGTGAGCTATTGCTTGGGTGGTACTAAAACCTAGCCCTCAATTATTACAGGGAAACAGCTTTCAAGGGGTAATTTTAACTGATGGAAAGAAGTCATTCATGGTGTGCACCTTCAAAAACCAGAGTCTTGAATGGTATGACTCAGACGTTAGAATTGGGTACATGGGAGAGCAGACACACTCAATGTTTGGACCCCTGGACAATGTAACCTTCTTCAGTCTGCTCTATGAAGGGACAGTTCCCTACTACAATGAGGTTTATCAACTCAGTATTGATGGGGCACGGCTTTCCCAAGTTCGGCCAGGTAAGCAGATTTACAATACACATTACAATGACTTGTTCTTCCCTCATAGTTTTAATTGGAGTTACCATAATCTTCAGAAGTAACGAAACACACGTTACTCTTGACTTTGATCTTTCCATTGATCCTACCACATGTGACACCACAAAATTCTCTATTCAGACATTAGACGGAGTCTTAACATTCAGACCAGTTTATGAGGCTCTATGTGAGCAGCAAATTCTCTTCTACTACTACACTAGTGAGAGCCAAGATAACAGGATCTCCTTCAATCTTCATCCAAATGATCATATTCTACTCCACAAAACAACTTTTGTCCGTTCCATCGTTACAAGTGGCTCAGACAGTGTAGCTGTCAGCATTGGATCCTCCTTTGTGCGTACTAGTGGATTAACTGGTATTGCTCCGATTTATTTCATTGATAACTTCATAGCATATCCTGAGATTGATACTGCTTCACAAGTACATCCTGTACACTTTGAGCTAGATATGACAAGAGGTGAATTTCACATGTGGCTGGACTCCCCAGTCACTCCAAATATCAGCCAGGTACAGTTGGCATGTGAGGAGTACCAAACTGAGACTACTACAATCAGCGGAGTGTGGAGTACTCCAGTGTATAGTGAAATTGACTCCGCTATCAGACACTCAATGAGAATATCTCCCAACTCTTTTGCCATCATCTGTAACACTCTGCCTTGCATTGACAGTAATTATGCTTTCCTCCAGTCAATTTCCTCTCTAAAGGACGTATTTGGGAACCGAATATCATCAGATGTTTTCCAAAACTCATTTGTAAGGAAACACAAAAGCCATTATAATTAATTGTGTCTCTCTGCGTGTCAATGCAGGTGTTAGTAAACAGCTCAGGTATATTATGTGATCTCCAGGAAGGCATACAAGATCCACTGGACATGAACTTCACAGGAGCTGCAACAAGGGCACTTGGTAAGAACTTTCTTATTCTCTCCTTACATTTAACAGCATTTTCACCTAGGTATGTTCTTGGAAGTGCAAAACATAAACTCGGCATCAGAAGTCCTCTACCCTCTTGTTGCCAGTGAGGTGTATCTTCCAGACTGTACAGAGGTGGAGGTGAAGTCAATTGTGTGCCTGAGGCTTGACAGAACAGCCAGCAACCCACTCCTGATCCTCCCTGAAAGTGTTGAATCAACAGACATCTTCTTGACCAACACAGAGTTTAGTACTAGAGCTGTCTTCGGGGAACTGTTCCCTGCAGGACTGTTCTCATGTAGTTCAGCTGAAGACCATGTCATATCTGCAGTGGTAGCCACTGGTGAGACACATGCCTTTATGGCCAATCATGCATCTTGCTCTAGAGCGTTCGCCAAGAGTTTAAGAGTGTCGTTGGTTCGAATCCCACCAAGGGCAGCTCTTTTTGGTGTAATTACCCCTGTATGCTACTCGCTGAGTGAGAGTGCTGTACCACAGCAAAATTGTCTGTTAGCCTTTGTGTTGTGTTGTTCGCCTACCGAGTTGCACTGGTGGCTCAGCAGGGAGAGCAGTTGCTTTGAGTAAATCAAAGTCTTGCAGGTTCAAATCCTACATCAGGTGTCCTCAGTGAGAGAGTACGGCACAGTTGTTTGAAGTTTGCCTGTGTCTAGTGTGTTGTATTTTTTAACCATTCCATTCTTCTGAGTTGCAATGGTAGCTTATATAGCTGGTAGATTCCTTGCCTAGAGTGCAAAGAGTGCCGTGGATTCGGATCCCAATAATGGCAACTCCTTCGAAGAAAAAAGATGTCCCAGTGTTGTGTTTTTTGCATTTACTTTGCCTTGACATCGTTGAGGACATAATTATTAAACCTTCTCTTACCTGCCAGGCCAGACATACCTCTCAACCAATGATATGACAGAAGTTTCTCTTAGTCTGGGAGCCTTCTGGCAAGCCAGCCTCACTGTAGGCATGTGTTCCCACGTCAGTCCACTGGATATTGTCTTGACTGATGATAGAGGGAGCAATCTAACAGGACTGACTGTCTCCAATGATTTCCAGAGTGTGTCTGTCAGGGCCGGACCCCTTTACTATGAGGATATGTCAGACGTACATGTCAATATACCTTTCAATGGTTACAGTAACAGGTACTCCTCGGTATTCAGCATTTCAATAGAAGGTATGCAGGGTATACACTACTATTTAATTATCATTCACATTATATGCCTGACAGTTCCTGCAGTACATGCCTACACATCGGGCTCGACTAGAGGAACAACTGCCGTAGCATTAGCCAAGGAACTTGTCAATGCATCAATGGTTTGTGAGGTGGAGGACGAGTACATCACTGTGGTGTGGGTTGAGTATGGAAACTTAAGTACAAACATTGTGCTCAACCTTGAGAACCCATACAGATTGTTGCGAAATGGACATAATCTGCAAATCCATAATCTGAACTTGGAGCAGTTTCTGACATTTAATTATGAATGTCGTGTTCTTACTGCCCCTCATTCTGGCCACAGCATTTCTGTTGCCAATTTCACGACAGTTGCAATTTCAGGTTTGTATAAGTCATATACATCACTCAATACTGACTCTAGACTGTATATTATTTTAGATCTAATTGTTGTGAGTATGGAGCAGCAGCCACGAAGCAATGGTCTTGTTGCAGAGGGTTTCAGGAGCAACACAGTTTTGTCTTCTAGTTCACTGCTGGACACAGAAGTGACACTGCCTTGCTATGGAGCTCTAGATTATGGTCGGATCAGATGGCACAGTACCTTACTTCACATGCCAGGCTACCTGAGTGAAGGGTCCTCCTCGCCATACTACTCAGTGGAGTATAGTGGTAGTGTCGGGACTCTGACCCTCCACAGCTACTCTGGTGGAAACTTGAGAGGATCTCTCACCTGCTACTCTGAGGAAGCTGGTCTCTCACATCCAGCCTCTGTCACTATACACATCATTGATGGTGCACTATCACTACAAATGTATGCTTGCATAAGTGAGGTTCCTTTAATACAGGTGTGTGCTCATGTGGGCATTCTACTGGGTCTCCCTACCCTCTATCCCTGTGTCCTGAGAGTCTACACTGCTCTGTATGTCACACACTGTGTTAGTAACAGAATTAGAGCTTTGTTCCCCCCCCCCCAGTGTCCAGAGGGCTATGTTGGAGATGGGGTATTGTGTTCAGTTGATAGTGACGGAGATGGCTACACTGATATTGATATGTCCGACCTCTACTACTGTCAGTCAGACCCCCAGAACCAGCTCTGCCAGCAGGTCTGATATGAACCCATCTCCTAGGTCTCATGTGACTGTAACCTGCTACAGGACACATGCCCACACCTCTACAATCCTCACCAATCACGCGATAGATTGAATGATGGACACCCAAATGGAGGTAGGATTGTAGCATCCACTATTGTAGTCAATTTGCTTTTCTATGCAGTTGCTTTTGTGATTGATGGAAATGAGCTACCATCAGATGTCATCCTTGCAAATGCATCAGTGTTGGCTTCAAAGTCTCTGAAATGTCTTGGAGCTCAGGGAAGCACAGATCTCAGTGTACAGGTTTACAGTGTGGTACAATCTGAATTGGTCACTTTAGACGCTGCAGCTGTACGTAAAACATTGACATTGATGATGGTTTTGTTCCAACCTATATATTGGATTGCAGGACATCTGCGAAACAGAAGCAAATATCCATCAACCATTAGACAGTGAATTAACTGAGGGAGCAATGCAATGCCAGTCAGCCACCACTGGAGCAACTGCCTGGATCTACTTCACCACTGGTATATAACATTGGTCTTTTGGGGTGTAACTCATCTTTTGGGTGCAGAGGCCTGCATCTGCACCAGACCTGAGGAAGATATTTTACCAGACTATATCCTGACCTGCCAAGAAGCAGGAGTTGAGGCTTGTGACTGTAGCGACACTGAATGCACGGTCAGGTTTATTTTTACAAAATAATAATGACCTAAAAAGCATGGACCATGCAGTGTGGCTGTGGGTATAGTGGAGATGGAAGGTCGTGCAGTCTTGACACTGATGGAGATGGCTACCCCAACAATGCCTCTCCAGGCCTCTGTTCTGACAGAGACCCTCAGAACTACTGTGTTCAGGTCAAAATACAATCTCTTTCACACATTCTCAAATGAAGACCTAGTCTCTATTGTTAGGATGTCTGTCCTGCGGATTATGACCCCAGCAATGACCCTGGAGCTTGCCACACAACACAAGATTATACAGGTCTGCATGCACTCCCACTACTTTTATAAGGATTTGACTAACTATGACACAGCAGGGAGTATGTGTGTGGCTGAGACTGACTCTACGTGGATGATAATGTGGGAAGACACTCATGCTGGCTACCACGACACTCAACTTTGCCAGAGCTTCATCCCTATCTCAGCCGGTATACACTGTTCACAGTAGCTATACTGCACCCAGCTTCTCTTGCTATAATTATACTCTGTCTTTTTCTCTGCAGCTTATGCATTCCGGCTGTGTCTAGAGAATGGCCTGTGGTCACAATTCATCGATACCTCCTGTTGTAAAGATATAGAAGTCGAAAGCATTTATGAAGAGGTGCACACTCATGTATGATAGAGGTTATATTAATTGACCTTTTTCCAGTTGGATGAGATACTCAAAGGAGAGTTTACCAATGACACCAAATCACAGCTGTCAGCTGCACTGGCAGATCTTGTGGAGGCTACTACTCCACCAGATGACCGCAGCTCTCTCTATGCTCAGGTTAATATTCATCTACACCATTCATACATCACTAACATATTCCCACTCTCCTTACAGGACTTGGAAATAACTAATGACATTTTGAAAGACACCATAGACTTTTTACGAAACGGTGTCCATAATAAACTGCTGGATGAAATTAACGCAGTATGTTTCCTCGGATAAACAGGCTAATTATCTAAGTTGAATCGTCCCTGGCTTGCAGGAAGTGGTGCAGGTGATAGACAATGTTCTGGAGGAGAGTAATAACCAAGGCTGGGACCAGCTCAGTAATGTGAGTTACATCCAGCCATAAACCATAGAGGTAAAAGAGGTAATCATGTAGACTGAAGAAGGAGCAGAACAGCTGCTGGATAATGTAGAGCTGTTTGGTCTGTATTTGGCTGAGGCCATAGCTAGTCCCAATGTCGATGTGGAATTGGACAATGGGAAACTCATTCTCAATGCCAGCTTCAACAACATATGTGAGACTTTCCAAAAACCCTACAGCTTTTGGTTGTGATCCACTCACTTAATGGGTTGTTCTCAAAATGTTCTATGTGTAAAAAGACTTCCCCTCCTCTAGATATTGGAGCAGCAGTCCAGGATGCTTTCGGGGCCAGTGATGTTGTGTTCCCAGTGGCTGAGAGTGAATTCTCTCTCGAGCCCATGTTTGGAGAGTCTCTCGCACACATAAAGATCCCGGCAAGGCTCCTGGAGACTAGAGCTAATGAGACAAGTGGGTCTGGCATATTATGTCCACACTGCACAGCTTATTGGTGTGTCTCTTACTAACAGACACCACCAGAGTATTTGCTGTTAACATGGTCATTGATAACATCAATGAGCTTCTACTAGTGAATGAACGGTAAGAAGCGTGAAGCAGAATTATTGCCTTATCTGAAGCGTTGTGCTGGCTGAGTGCAGAGCTACTGAGATCAATGGAACCAACTACACCACTAGAGCAGTAACCAATCTTTTGGTCAGTCAAGTGATGGCTGGAAACACAAGAACTTCCACTACTAAACTCTCCATACCAGTTCAACTAGTGTTTGTCACAGAAGAGGTATTATACGTATGTAGCAACACTGGTACATGATTGCATTCTGCCACTCGCTTTGGTGGGATCTTAGATTGTGAACAGGTCGAGGAATCCAAGATGTGCATACTACGACTTTGGCACAAGGTATATATGAAGTATTGCAAGAGCAACTGTATACACTCTCTAATGATATAGTCAATGGTTGGAAGACGGAGTGGCAACGGAGAGTGTGACTATGGCTCCAGACGGCCGCTCGTACCATGTTCTTTGTTCGACTGTGCACTTCACCAGCTTTGCAGTCCTGGTGGATGTGTCTGATGTGGAGGTACAATCTATACCTCTAGAGCTGTGAACAGATCTTCACTTTCCTCACAGATGGACATTCCACCATCGGAGGGATTTGCTCTGACCATTGTGACCTATGTTGGCTGTGTCATATCTCTTCTTTGTCTTGGCCTCAGCATAGTCTACTACCTCACATACGGGTTGGCTTTCTATTGATCCTCTCCGGACAGTGTCCATTGTTTTGCTACAGAAAAGCTCTCTTAACTTCTGTGCACTACCTGGTTCATCTTAATCTTGCCATTGCCTTGTTCCTTGGATACACAGTCTTTCTAGCTGGCACATACTATGGCCCACAGGACCAAGTTAGCATCCTTATCAGTTACTTTCACTCTGCTTTGTCACTCGTATCTCATGTTAAGATTGCCTGCGCATTAGTGGCTGGAGCCCTCCACTACCTCTTCCTCAGTGTCTTCTGTTGGATGCTGTGTGAAGGTATTATGCTCTACCTGATGCTGGTCATTGTGTTCAGCACACTTTCCAAGAAGTGGTGGCTGTTCCTTCTCATGGGATGGGGTAGGGGTGCTCCATGATAGCAGGAGCTACGTGTAGGGGTCCATATTTCCACTGAATTGCAGGGCCACCAGTAATAGTGGTTGGTGTAGCAGCAGGAATAAGATATGACAACTATGGAAATCCTGACCGAGGATTGTAAGCTCGATATTATTCCAGAGCTCTTTCATTTATGACACTCTCCTCTGTGTAGTTGCTGGGTCTCAGTTAATCAGGGGCTCATATGGGCCTTTGTAGGACCAATGCTAGCTGTGATACTCGTGAGTCAATACCTGTCCCTGCTGAGAGGCAAAGTGTTGCGTGTCTTCTCCACCAGGCCAACATGTTTTTCCTCTGTGCCTCTCTGAGGAGCCTGTACAGAGTCACTGTTGGCCGTTTTGGGAACGAACAGGACAAGAAACCTCTCATCAAGTTAGTAAGAAACCCTCTCCACTGTGACAGTCTGTGAGTGGTGGTTGTAGGAAGCTGCTGATGGCCGCAGTGATATTATTGCCAATCCTGGGAGTCACGTGGGCGTTTGGACTGCTTGCTGTCAACAGACAAACTACTGTCTTCACGTGGCTCTTCACTATCTTCAACTCCCTGCAGGTTCTATACACCTTTGGCGCTGAGAGTGTGATAACTTCATTTACTTCCCACACGTGTAGGGCTTGTTTTTCTTCGTTTTTCATGTAATCCGAAGTGACAGGGTAAGAGAAATTGTGGGTGTCTTGGGTATAGTTTCGTTGTTGTAATAGGTGTGGAATGTCATGAAGAAGTTTCTGCCAGGAGAGTGGAAAGACAAAAGAGGTCACTCTCGTTCCGTGAGTACTTTATCAAGTTCTTGCCCCTCAAACTAACTTCCTGTATTGATTTACACTTCAGATGAGAAGCTCGACCCAGTCCATCTCTAAAAGTGACAGTTTTCTCATGGACACTCTCAAGAGAAGGCAAGAGAAGAAGAAGGAAAGAAAATGTGAGGGTATTCAATATTGAGCACACAGATTATCAGGACATGGTATTTCTTGCAGCCATTGTTAGTGAGCTGTCTTCCGATGCCGTCATTGTCCTTGGCAACCCTCTAGCTACTGCCAATAATCCATTTGGAACCAAGAGAGATAAAGACCTTGGGCTAGCATCTACTGTACTCATGTATTAGACTCGTAAATTTGCTTTGTATAGTGTCAGTCCAGAGTTATACCTGTTTCAGATTATGTATTATAAAAGTGCACACATAATTATGTTGGACCGCAGCCTTGAAATGGGATGAATTTGTATGGAAAATGTCTAATTGACAGTCAGCCATGACTAGACTGAGCAGGAACTGCAGTAGATATCTTGGTACAGAATCAACGGCATTGGTGATACAGGACACACAACAGCTTTTTCATGGCTGAAAATGGCACCAACAGGTATCGCACGTGAGCACTTGCCATCATTGGGCAGCAAAACAAACAGTGGCACTGCGAAATTCTTTCGTCCCATCTCGTGAATGCTCATGTGTTTCAGGTAGCTAATAGCCAACAGAGAAGGTGATTTGATGTTGGGTCATAGTGAATATGTACTAACTGGATAACTACCAGGAGGACAGAGAAACAAATGATTATATATATAGGCTAATGGTCATGGAGGGTTCTTTGTGAGGTGGCAGTAACTGGGAGAGTCTTTCAGGAGCCGGTGAGCAGACGGCTCTCCTCTGATGACCTTCATCAGTCGCAGTCTGTGGAGGGCAGAGTCCACGCCCAGCTCCTTGCTACTCAGCATGTTGTCTGTGAGGTCCATCAGCACGTCTCCAGACACCTGCTGCTCCTGGAACGACCGTCTGTACTGTCCCAAGTTCATGTCTTCCAGTAACAAACACACCTGCAGGACAAAGAACAACTGGTGAATCAATCCTTGTGAACCAGATCGTTAGAGCACAGCCGTCTGTATTAGTATGTTATGTACCTGGACAATAGAGAGAGATTTGAGGTACTCTCTGTTCTCCTCCATGAGGGACTCTTCAGTGGGAGGAAGGTGGACTAAACTGATGCTACGATGACTCTTCCCAATTGGTGTAGAAGGAGGAGGAGTTTGTTGTTGGATTCTGTACACATCGCCAGGGAATGGGGGATTGTCTCGTCTGTGAGGAGACACTAACAGCTTCATTCTGGGGGTGGGTATGGGGGCAGCTCGGTCAATAGCCAGTGACTGTTTCTCAAGAGGATCAGCTCCAGTCGAAATCCTCGTTTGCCGCACTTGGTCTATAACGTCGTACTGATCGTCATTGTCATTGTCACTGTCACTTTGGCCAGGCAGAGTGTCGTAGAGTGGTTCATCATCGCTGGTTGAGCTGGTGAAGGAGTCAGCATCGAGATTATCGTCTCTATCTTGCTGTTGCTTCTGGAGCTTTCTGAGGGCCTTTGGTGTCAGTAATTCTACCCCCAGTCCTTTGACACTGCTGTGCACCATCCTGTAGAGGGTGTTCTGGGTATCGTAGGCACTCTCTGTGCTGAAATCTCCATAGATATCCACTTGAGTGACATCAAACTGATGGAGGAATGTTTGTGTATTTCTGAAGAGCTCATGGATGTCTTCGGGACTATTGGGAGGCACTATGGTAGCCTTCACCGCAGCAATGCTGCCTTGCAGAGGAATGTCGATCAGCTGGCTGCTCTTCTCCAAGGTGGCAACTAGGGATTCATGTTGCTTTACTTCCTTTAGTGTCACTGGCCAGGAGAACATGTTTGGAGGGAGCTCCTCTTCGTCAGGATAATCAACTCCCTTCTCTTCTCTATCCACATACATCATGGCCTTGCAGGGGAAAGGCTTTGGGATGTGCTCGAGAATCTGTGTGATATCCATCTTCAAGCACAGAGGCTTTGTCGTGAAATTGCCGATTGCCTCTTCGGGGAGAAGCTTTTTCGACATAGTGCTGAGACTGAACACTTTGAGCACTGGTTTACCTCGAATAATGTGAGTTTTCTTCACCTTCTTCACCACGAGGAGCTCGTTGCCCTCCAGGAACACTCCATTGGAACAAGAGCACGGACTGATTGCCTGGACCAACTGAGGAAGAGGATGGGCATCCATGAGATCTGCCACTCGCCGGAACCTGTGTCCCTCCAGAGCCACCGTGACGTTTTTGCTGGGATCATAGACCAGACCAAACTGAATGCTGGTACTCAGTGGGATGGAGTATTCTTCCCCATACATCTGAATGGTTACTTGCTTCATGTGCTTTTTAAAGTGCAGATTGTACCTGTCATCTGTTGAAATGGAGTATTTGGTGGACGTTCCGTAGTGTCCCTCACTTATCTGGATCTTGATTGGAAAGAACTTTGCGTATTTCTTGGTGATGTCAGCCAGAGGCATTGCCTTGAATAGAGGCAAGTGTTTCGACTGAGTTTTGTGGTACCTGTCAATGAGATCTGTCTTAATGGGAGCAGGCCGGGGAGTGAGGATCGGATCAAACTTGTGAGAATGGCGTCTTGCTTGAGGTTTAGAGAGTTGAGGGTAAGACATGGCCCTACCAGCAGGTCTGTGGGAGGCAGTAGGGGTTTCAGCAATAGTGGCTGGTGAACTGGAGTTGGACTTGGGGGGAGCCACATCATATTCCTCCTCAAAAACCTCTGAGCTAGTGGCTCCACTGCTGGCGGTTGCCCTGTCGGTCTCGCTGCCAATGCTGGCGTCAGGGTTTGGCTCAGACACCGAGTGACGAGGAGGTTTAGGTGGAGGTGTTCGCACCATTCGAGGAATGACTGGAGGTTTCAGCTGCTGCTCTGGTGCCTCTTTCGCTGTGACAATGGAGACTGTCTTGGCTCTTGGGCGGGCAACAGGGTTTACAATCAGTCCCTTTGGCTTGGGAGCAATCGGTGGACGAGGTCCATGTTGTTTCTTTGGTCCCTGTTCCCCGGATACTTCAGTTGGTTTTGCAGATTTGGAGGAAGGTTCCGTTAGCAATGCACCATTGTCCATGAGATTAGACAAGAATGGATTCTTCGGGGGCACTTCAGGTGTAGTCATTTTCCCCAGTTAAAAACGGACAAACACAGCTTTCACAGTGGCAGCAAGAAAAGCTATATTACTAAGCTACCTTTCTACCAGACTAGTTGGACAGTTGTGACTAAAACGACACAGCAAGAGATGGGAAGTTTGCAGAGATACATCTGAGGTACAATGGAATTTAGTTTGTGGTTTGGAATTTTCTGTGTTTACAGGTGTGTTAATTTAATCAATAACACAATGATAATATGGCTTGAATACACACCCACACTAAGATAATAAGGAACATCTACATCAACATGAAAAGAGGAGTTTTTCAGCTGCTGTTTCTCCTGAGATGACTTGCAGCAGCTTCTGTCTGTGACAAGGGTTATGGATGTGAAGGTAACGCTGGAGATTGTGGTCATTGAACTCTGCCAGAAGACTCCCTGATACTTGTTCTTTGGAGAAAGTGGCTTGGTACTTCTCCAAATTCATTGCCTTCAGCAGCAGAGATATCTGTGGAATGAATAAAGACATTTGCATAAGAGATTCTATACAACAGAGGAATGCTTACCTCATGCATACTAAGAGACTTGAGGTAGTCTCTGTTCTGTTCTGCAGGGGATTGCGGCGGTACATGACTGAACTCTCCAGCACTGTAGTAGTGTCGAGCAGGCACCACGTCAACATACTCATAGTCACCGCGACCTCCACTGACATCTGAGCTCCCACTACCCCCGGCTGCAAGCTGGACTCCCTCACTTTCAAACCCTCGACGGAGAGTGGTGTAGAGTGCCTCTTGGAATCCACTCGACACGTCTCTCTTCATGAGCTTGGTGTACTGGCCGGGCATGATGGAGAATTTTCTTGAGAGGCTCATTGCGGGAGCTTTGCCCAACACAGTCACTCGGAGCGTAGACAGGGTCTCGTCGAGAATGATGTCAAACAGCTCCTCGTCGTCAATATTGCTTACAACCAGAGATGTGACTGTGGTGAACTCTTTCAGAGTGAAGACCTTTCCTCTGGTGAACAGATCGTGCTTCTTCCGAGGGACTGGGGGGTAGAGATAGACTTTGCGAGGGATAACATGGGGAAGGTGCTGCCGGATATCAAGAAGATACATGCTCGTTTTCTCTGGAGTGGAAGAGAAGGAGCCCTTGCAGTTCTTGTGCAGCATAATTTCCCGGTCACTCCACAGACTTTGGCAGGTGAGTGCCCTATCGTATTTCTTTACAATCAGTAGTTCATCTTTCTTCACCTCCTCCTGCTTTCCCCGGCGAGGAACATGCTGCTGGCAACAAATTACATGGGGTAGGTGCTGAGACTTCTTCACAATGTCAGAGACTTTCTCAAATTCCTCATCTTGTTGACAAAGGCCAAACTTCATAGCAGAACTGAGAGGTACATGGAACTGTGTCCCTCCTCGGTCACACAGCACTGCCATCTGTACACTCTTTGCAAAATGGACGTGCAGCTTGTCTCCAGCTGAAATTGTGAATTGCTGGCCAAAACCATAAACTCCTTCAATAGTTTCAATGGTTGCAGGGAGATGTTCAGGGGTCTGGGCCATATCTCGCAGTGTTATAGGTGCCGAGCACTGCAGAGTTTGAGGTGTTGTGACGAACCTTTGAGGCAGCGGAGTGTACTCAGTGTTGCTGGCTGGTGAAGACCGAGTCACTTGCAGAGGTTTCTTTCTCGGGAGAGGAATTGGCCGGTCACGAGAGATGGGCTGCAGTCGAGGGCGAGAAGAGCTGTAGTCAGGCTCATTCCCAAGTGGTAGCTGCTGACAGCTCTGGGCCTTGCGCTCCAGAAGATGTTGTCTTCTTGGTGGCACTGGGGGTTTGGCAGTGTGGCCAGGGAGGGTGTGTGGAAGTCCTTTCTCCTGCCGAGGAAGGACATCATAAAAATTGAAGGCAGAGGTGCTGTTCTTTACTGAAGACATGGAGTCTGTGAGGCTTGCAGCTAGGCTGGATGAATGACTAACATTTGCATCCACGGTGTCAATGAAGCAGTGCGAAATGTGCAAGGTAGCTATAAGTATACAGTGAAAGAACCGCTGCAATTAGTCGTAATGATTTTGTAGGGTCTGAGGCTACATGATGCGCATTCCTGTGATTGCCAGCAGGGCTTGCGATGCTGGGCCCCTCCGCCGCAGCAGCAAACAATGCGCATGCTCCCTCGCCGCTTAGCGTGCTTACCGTCAGGCGCGGGGGAGGAGCGGTCGTTGTCGCTAGTGTGTCGCTGGGCTCGGATCCCTGGATGTTGGTTGCCTGGTATCTATAGCAAGCCTCAGGTCTGCTGTGGACAAGAAAATCATAACCGACCAAAGAGAGGTGATTCATTTCGTAGTCTATATGGAAGCCCCAAGATCACGATGCTCTCCGAACTAATTCTGTGGCATTGTGGCATATGATGCTTTGTTTCGCTGTTCATATAGGTACTAGATTCTCTTATGATTTTCCTGAATGTGTGTCGATCAAGCTAGCCTGGATCAGTGGCTGATTGTGGCGCATATTTATCTATAGCCCATCTATGCAACGATTATTTTTGCAAGGGGAAGCTAGCTGGCCTTGTGTGGGCATTTCTTACTGTCAGTAAAGCTTCAAAGCAAACTGCTTGTTACCTGGACAGTGCTGTGCCCATGCGAGGTTTGTCTTTGAGGTTTATATACCTAATTGAACAGCAGTGCAAATTCAGGCCTACATAATTAAGTTACATATGTGTGCCCCTATTACGGTAAATTGTATACATAGGGGACCTCACCTGCACTGACCATTACACTTACGCTGTTGAATACTCACTATTCTCATAGGGATCACTGTGCCTACCTCCCACAACAAACTGTCTGTTGTCCCAAATGCTAGTAGGTTGTTCGGTGTGTGCACGTCTTAGCATTTTGGTGATGTAAACCAGAACACATAAGCTCATATGGACCCATGAGTTTCCACTACAGTGTGTCCATTCTATGTATGTAAACATCCCATTCCACAGATGTGTGTGTACTCACTCACCCACTACTGTTTCTTTAGGATAGACGTTTCAACTTGCTGTGACTGCAGGTTGAAATGGCCGGTCAACCAACAAAGATATCTTACAATGTGCCGTGCGAGGGACAAAAACTGTCTTCAAGTGAGACGTGTAGCGTCAGCGCTGCCACTACTCCCAAGCCAAAACCACGCACCAAAAACTACCAGTACGTGGAACCGAAACGACTTTCCTCTGACCCCTCGTCCAACAAGCCACCACCTCCAGTACCAAAGAAACCTTCCAACTACACACCAGTCAGCCTACACAAAGCACCTCCCTCTCTCCCTGTCGCTGAGGGTGGGAAAGTAGACGTGAAGGCACTAGCAAAGAAACTCTCTTCAGAGACTATAATCAAGAAAGTGTCGGATGAAGCCACACACCCTACCCCACAGGGGGGTAGGAACATCGAAGACCCTGTCATCCCCCAGCGGATCAGATCTTGCTACGAGAAACAGCCATCTGCTGACTCAGCAGTTGTCACTGTTCCCCCCAAACTGGCACTCCGGTCGCAGAGTGAATCGAGCATGCCAGCCCCAACGCCCGTGGACTTGAACTGGCTGCCATCTGGGGAGAGTGTTACCCTCACCGAGCTTGCCAGGGCCCATTCCTCCCGATTCCCTCTCAGAATCTACCTCCTGGATGGCTACTATGGCCTGACCTCTCGCTTCACTCTCTCCTCTTCTGATATCTTTGACATCCACTTTGCGAAGCGTACACAGGTGCTTTCTGTGAGAGACTCGGTGGGAACTGACTACAGCATTCCCCTCAACTCGGCCATCCAATTTGGCATCATCTACGGTCACATGTTGCCCAAGTCTGCAGAGAAACCAGCATTGCACTACAACACAGTCCAGGAGCTCCTCGCGTTAGACCCTCTGCCCAGCGTTGTGTGTGCCACTGCAAGCTGGGCTAAGCCCTCTGACAAGGAGAGCAAGGTGGGGGTTGAGAGGAATGAGCTACTTCTCGTGAAGGGGATCTTCAAGAGTCGTCTTCGTGGCAAGAAAGCCCTCAAGTGCTACAGCTTGAAGACGGAGACCAAGAAACTGCTCCCAGAAGAGTGCGAAGGCAAGTTTACCATCAATCCCGAGGCCGTAAAGCTTCACGTCTACGAGTTTGCTGCAAAGTTCAAGACTCTCTTCCCGTGCAAAGCGATGATGTTCCTCTGTTCCGACAAGAAGGATGACGCCGTGTTCCGCAGCATTCCAAAGAGCCTGCTCCTGAAGCCGATCAGTGTCCTGAAGGTGATGAGTGAAGTGTCTCTCGCTGCAACCTCAGTCTCCAACAAATTGAGTCCTCCCCTCGACCCCAAAATCCGTCACGTCGACTTCAACAACAGGCCGATCAAGTCAGCTCTGACCATGGAAATTCCTCTGGACAGCCACCTGGGAAATATCGAAGCGGAGATCCTGCAAGCGCCTAGCAAAGCAGAGACTGAAGTTCTCTACATGAACACCAAAGAGTTGCTGCAGAAGGCCAACAAAGAGCCATACATGATTCTCCTTGACAAAGGCTCCGATCGCATCAACGACACACAGTCAGTGTTGTACATGCAGGTTAGGTCAGAGAACTGTGACCTGGGAGTGACCTACGAGACCTCAGAGGCCATCTATGAGAGAATGGACCACAGAAAAGGGGGTCAAGACTCAGCAGCAGCCTATGCTACTCCCGAAAACAGGGGCACCAAAACTGGGAAGAGGTCTGCCAAAGTGGAGGTGGCGATTGTGGAAGAGGATGAAAGCGATTCAGACTCATCTGCTGAACATTACTATGAAGACCTGGACAAGGCGCTGAACTTGCTCTCTCTCTCCCCTGCTGCTCAGCAACTGGCACCTGCCGCCCCCTCTCACTTCTCCCCCTCCCCCATCTCACTACTCCCATCTCAACACCTGCCCCCACCTGAAATGCAGCACAAGACGTTCTACCTCCCTGAAAATGCAGGCTCACAGAGTAGTCACTATTCCTCATCGGTGCCCACCTCAGCCACCCAGCTGCAACTACCACCTCAGACACAGGCAACCTCATACGTCCAGATGGTCCCTCCATCCTCCGTGCCCGGCAACACTTCAACTCATGTTCCTCCTGAAACTAAAATGGCAAACAGGGACTTCCTGCAGAGCATGTCCACAGTGCAGGTCACTGGTGTTTATTAATACTGTGTGGGTGCCTATAGCTACAGTTTTCTTTTCCTCTTCCTTTCCTCTGATGGTGTGATACTGAGTTCACTATTCATACTACATTCGTTGTATTGTGTATTACTGTGTACTGTTCCATATGTTCAGGTGCAGCAGCTACTGCAGGCAATGAATCTCACACAATACCAGAACAAGTTTGCCAGCGAGGGAATTGGAGGGGACATTCTCATAGAACTCGAAGATCAGGACCTGCAGAATGATCTGGGGATGAAGTCCAAAGTTCACAGGGTCCGTCTCATGAAGATAATTGAAGGGCAACACTCAGCCAAGAATATTCTCGAGGGAGAAAACCCATATGAGTTGTAAACAGAAGCTAGAAGGTTTCCGGCACCATCACTGTACAGTTATGAATACTGTAGTTATGTGTGTGAATGTCTTTTTTGAAACTCTTCTCACAACAATATACCTATGCATTTTTCTAAGAGTACATATGAAAACAAGTGTGTTGACATAATGACATCAGAGAGTGTGTGTGATGTTGCGTGAGAGGATGTCCCTGGCAGATTGATGGCCGCCAATTACTGCCAGGAGCCTCTTGCGATGCAGCTGCCTCTCCACACCCAACTCCCTCTCCAGGATGGCTTCGTTGCAATGGAGGAGAACTGAGCCTGTCACCTGCTCCTCACGGAATCTTGTGATGTACTGAGACAGACCCATGGATCTTAGGACACTTTCAACCTGTGCCATTATAATCACTAGTATGATCTGTCCCATTACAATACAGTATTGTACCCATTGTTGTGGTCATTGTGTCTCATACCTGGGCGGTGTCAAGGGAGTCAAGGTAGTGTCTGTTCTGCAGTATTTGTGCCTCTCTTGCAGAGGTTGGAGCCAGAACTGCACTGTTCCTCCCTCGATAGACACCCTGAGCCCCACGGAGCTGACTGGTAGGCAGTGTGAGAGCAGAGACGCCTTCAAGAAGCCTTTTCATCACTACATTCATCTGTACCACTTCTTTCAGTTGCTCCTGCATGGCAGACACGTGGAGAGTTAGTTGACTCAGCTGTGTCTGAAGAGAGGCAGTCGTTGCCATTAGCTGCTCCAGTTTGGAGTCAGTGCCTTCTCGGGAAGTGATAGGGGCAGGTCTTGTTGGGGGAGAGGTAACAGTAGCTTGCATGTCTTCGTAGCAGTCTGTCATAAAGAGGTCACTAGGTGGCAGTGTGTAGTGGGACTTGCTGTGTTGTAGGCTTCTCCGAACACTTATCGGCTTGGGGTCTGAATGAAGGGGGTGTAATGTAGGATTTGTTATGGAGTCGTTTATCTTGGCAGCAGGAGGCAAAGAGGCTGTTTCATTGAGGGAGGTACTGAGAAAAACTCTGTGACTAGTGCTAGGTTGTTCGTACTGTGCAGCAACCTCATTGCTGTGGCCCAGATGATAAGTAGGACTTTGTCTACGTTCCATGGATGGGCTGTATACTGTCTCATACAAAGCCTCGTACTTTTCTGCCGAATCCCCAGCGACGAACGGAGCATATCTTGTAAAGGCACCCATTGGTTTGTCCACCCGGATTCCCATCCCCTCTGACCCTCTTCCAATAGTGGCATAGAGTAAACTCTGTGTCATGTCATCGCTCATTGGGTCATACCAGCTCTTGACCCTTGTGACATCAAATGTCTCAAACAACGTTCTGGTTCTAAAGTTGAGCATCTCCTGCAGTCCGCACTCTGTGGTGTCAACCACCAAAACTGCCACGTCACTCAGCCTGTCGTCAACTGGGATGTCAACCAGGTGTTCGTTCACCTGTGCCCCTGTTTCTCCATTTTGGTCTTCAAAGGCAGTGAAGGTGACAGGGGAGGCGATCAGGGAAGTCTCTGTCTTCTGCCCAGTGAGGGTTACGACGGCATGGAGCAGAGAGTGAGAAGTTCTCTGAGAGTTGCTGGCTGCATCACTGCTGAGGAACATCTTGGCTTTGCAGGGGAACACATCTGGGACACATCTGACCAGCTCCAGGAGGTACATCTGGTTCTTCTTGGGACTGAGGGAGAAATGGCCTTCGCAATCCAGAGGCAGGGTTTTGATGGTCTGTGTTTTGAGACTCAGAACTGCCAGTGACTTTCTTCTTAGCTTTGGGCGAATCACTCGCTTGATAACAAGAATTTCGCCAGCACTGATGGCATTCTTGTCTTCACTGTTTCCCACATCTCTTGTTGGGCAGACTACTTTTGGTAGCGGAGACAGGGAAACGAGGTGGCCCACTTTCTCATATATTTGTGATTGGTGAGTGTTGGGATCATCAGAGTAGACCAGGCCAAACTGAAATGAGGAGTTGAGTGGGATGGTGTACTGCAACCCCAGCTTGTCCGTCATGGAAACCACCTCTTGATGCTTCACAAAGTGTATGTTGTAGTAGTCTCCACTGGCCAGAGACAGCTGGGGGGTCTGGCCATTGCAGCCATGCACTACTTTGATCTGTAGAGGGAAGGATTGGGAATGCTTCTCCACCAGCTTGTGCAGGCTGAGGCTCTCACTGCCAATGTCTCTGACTGAAGGAGGAGACAGACAGATGGTCTTGGAGTCTACTGTGTGGACAGGAGATGGGTAGACAGAGTTTATTACTCGGTGGTTGAAATCTTCTTCCTCAAGCAGAGGGTGAGGTGGCATGTGCTGACGGATACTGGTCCTGGATGTAGGTCTCAGAGAGCCTGAGGGAGAGGGAGTAGGCTCGGAGGAGGTTGTAGAGCATGAGATTCTTCGTTCGTTGCCAGCACCTGTGCTCACTGGACTGTCAGGCACTGGACTCGAGGAGACTAGGGTGACTTCACTGTAGCATGATGGGACATTGATGGTTGTGCCTGCTGTTGTGGTGATGGTAGTCGTGGTGAACTTGTGAGCTGAGTTTGTGGTGGGAGCTGCAGTTGTTGCAGGATTGTCAGCAAGACATGGAGCAGTGGAATCCAGGCTGCAGGTAACTGAGGCATTGGTGGGTGAGCTCTCTGCTGGAGGACTGGGGTATATCTGGAGTCTGGCAGCTTTGGGGCTGCTGAATCGACAGGGTTCAGTTTTCCCACTCTTAAAGCGACTTGGTTTTGGCAAAAGTGGAGGTTTTATCCTCTGATCAGGTCCATTCTGCATTCCCTCCATCTCTGCTGCACAACTTTTTCTAGAGAGACAACAACTCTTTCTAGACTGCTTTTGACACAGTACTGTTTCTGAAGCTGCTTTGCCCACTATCCAGGTCCCAAAGATTATGGGGAAATGACAGTCCTATGTCTCTATAGATACCAGTATTGTAGGTATGTACTACATGGACTGTGTAGGAGGAAGCTGTGTCGCGGTCCATTAGTCTCTCTGCGTGCACCCCACACACCCTCTCAGTAACCTAAACTACATGTTTGAGACATCTGCAACAAACAACCCAAAACAAAAGAAATTGGGAGTAGTGATGTCACCATTGGTGATACACAACACATAGGAATCTACAACGAGATGACAGTACATATCCACTGATAGTATGCAGGCAATAAAGGCAATTTACATTTCACCACTTGAGAGGTGATTAACAAGCAGGTCGTGGGCAGATATTGAGCCACTGATGAGTCTCATCAGTGCCTGTCTGTCAGTTGGTGGAATGACGCCAAGACGGCTCTCCATTTGCTGCTCAGTGTAACGGCTTAGTTGATTCCCTGAGAGTCCCATGTAATGAAAGGTTGGCTTGTAGTGGGAGAGTCTCATAGCATCCAGCAGTTCAAGCACCTGAAATTAAACTTGTGCTAGCATTATACATACTATACTGTTGGTTTTAGCATGCACGCTGAAATACCACACATACGTTACTGCTTCTTTACCTGCGAAGGGCTCAAAGAGCAAAGGTAAGACACATTTGCTGCTCTCGCTGTCACAGATGCCATGTGGGTACTTGGGGTAGTGCTTGGCATCAGCTGCTTCTCAAGTTTGAAAATTCTGAGTGACAGTGTCCGAACCAGTGCCTGGAGCTGCTGGTGTTCAGCCACCTTCTTCTCGAGGGGAACGATGCGATCTTCTAGCATTCTCAGGGTCCTCCTGAGGCTAGGTACATCGACAAAACCATCTCCATTCTGGGTAGCCGGTTCTCTGTGTTCAGGGAGAGAAGGTGGTGTGGGGGACTCCATCATCTCATAGTCTTCATCTGCATGGCCGCTATCAGAGGGAGGGGAGGGGATAGGCCGAACAAGGCAGTTTTGAACAGGAGGAAATTTGTTTGAACCAGAGAGGGAATGGAATCCAGAAGAGAGTGAAGGAGAGGCTGAAGAGAGAGGTGTCATGTGGTAGGACTGGGAGCCAACGGAGAGAGTAGGTGTGTCGGAGGTCTGTGAAGAGGAGCGGAGGAGAGGAGTGAGGGGAACTGCGTCTTCAGCAGAGAGTGACTCTGCCCCCACCCAGTCACTGATCTTCTCGTAACGTTCAGTGTCAGAGTCAGACTCGTGTTCTGAGTCTGTGAGGGCTCTGATTCCTTCACATGGAAGGCACAAATTAGATTGCTCTGACGTCTTGATGAATACTGGAGGGAGGAGATTAACACCAACATGCTCAGAGCCTCTCCTAAGAACACTGTAAAAGAGGCACTTTGATGTGTGTGCTCTCTCGGAAATGCTATCATCCAGTGACCGTAGAGAACTGATGTCTAGTCCTTCATAAGCCATTCTTGCAGCTGCCTGCAGATTCTCACTGATGTCTGGAGTTTGGACCTCCACCTGAAGATTGGAGAGCAGCCCTGTCAATGGCATGTCCAGCAGGGTCCCTGGGTGGGTGTCTCGGGATGCCACGATTGATGTCTGCATGCTGAGCCCAGTGAGAGTGACATAGGAATCAGCCTGCAGAAGAGTGGACGGGAATGAGTTGAGGGAAGACGTAAACCGTCTCTCAAGGTAAATGACGGCCTGGCAGGGGAAAATGTTCGTGGGAATGTTCACCATGTCAGTCAACCATAGTCGGAGGTGTGCGGGGTTTGTCGTGAAGTGGCCTACACAGTCGGGGTACAAGTTCTTCTTTGAGTGTGTGGAAAAACTGTACAGCTTCAGGTACTTTCTACCCGAGAGCTTGCTCTTTCTGGCTTGTAGTATGAGCAGAATTTCATTCTCTCTGACAGAGCATTTCTCATTCTGACCCTTGTGTGTCTGTTGTGCACACATAACTCTTGGCATGTCGCGGTCCCCCAGAGCTAGAATATCTGCTACCTTTGTGTATGACTTGTATGCCAGGCTATGAGCGCTGCTCCTTCGATCGGAGGAATTGACGTACCCAAACTGAACGGCTGAGTTGAGGGGAATAGAGTAAGACATTCCCAACCGGTCTTGCATGGATACAAACTGCTGCTGTTTGACCAGTAGGAGCTGGTAGACTTCGGACTCTGTGATTGCCAGCTGTGAGGCCTGGAAACTGTAGCTCTGCAGAACCTTCACTTGAAATGGGAAGGAGTGTGGATGGTTCTCTGCTAGTCTACCAAGTGTCAGGATGGTCCCTGCATGGGGCTCCCTCTCGGCAGTGGATGATGCCACACATTCAGTGCTCAGTCGTCGCGTGGTCTGGAAACCATAGTCGGCCCTTTTTGTCTTCTCCTTGAAACTGCCAAAGTGTGGAATCGAGTTTTTCCACCGTTTTTTGCTTGGAGATGACCCGAAGACACTCTCTTGTGCAGTTGTTGTCGTTGGCAGGGGAGGGAAGTAAGGGAGGGAAGGAAGAGGAGGTGGAAGGAGAGGTAGAGGAGAAAGATTGGAGCCAACAGCGTCTCTGATAGCAGTGGCAAAGTTGCGTCGAGGGAGAGCAGGAGGTGCTGAGTTTGGGATGGTCGAGAGATGGGCTGAGTACAGCTGGTTCTGTGTGTAGACAGTCTGTTCAGGGACTGTGATTGGCGGGGGAGGTGTGGGGCGGCCCACAGTGAATGACTGGCTGCGGGAAGGTCGGGGGATCTTGTAAATGTGATGCTCTTCGTTGTGTTCCATCAGAGAATGTCAGGCAGACCTTCATGGAGGAAGTTTTGAGTGACAACATGAAAAACACAAGCTCTACATGGAGCGAGGGACATAGCAAAGTGTGAAGCCACTCTTCACATGACTCCCTGAACAGCAACAAACACCCATTCCTGGGATTTCACTGCTTGCTGTGGAAGTTATGCATGCAATGCTATGTTAGCACTTGTACAATGTGAAGACAGCTTGTACTGCATAAAAGCCTGTCTCCTAATTCATTTTTCTTAGGGATCTTAGGGAACTGAAGGACAAAAGAAACAGGCATAAAACAAACACCGAGTAATACACAACATCTTGGAAGGAGCTAAGTTGACAACCCGAAATGGACACTTCAAGCTATGTAAAAAAATGAGCACAAAATGTTGGGAAGGCCTTCCAAAGTTTTGCTGGCCCAAGCAGTGTTAGCTACATGTCTTTGTAGATTGGCCTCACCAGACAGCACAAAGGCAAAGAGTTGTATTTAGTAGTACAACTATGGTAATTAGCTGGCTCCAAGTAGATGTCCCTGAACTGTTTACTATATCTTTGAGGTGGGCTCAGGATGAAGTATATCCGCCATGTCTTAGACAGCCCTGAACTCTTGTCATGATTGATGTACATGATGTATGGAATTAGAGATCCTGCTCTGCGGTGGCAGAGGCAGACCTCTGGAGCCAGTGGACCAAGAGCTAGTGATTCACACCAGAATACCAACACCTCCGCTTCACTGTGCCGCATGCACTGACAGATTCCTACAGTGTCACATGCTGATACCTTAGTTTATAGATATACGTGTGCAAGCAAATGGACCAGTCTAGTACTTGTTTGACTGGTTTGAGAAGTAATTATAATTATTACCAGTTGAACTAGAGTAATAATAATAGCTAACTGTTGTAACTATACTTTTTCCAAAATAGACTGTACTCTGGTTTTAGAAGTTAGAGTAATTATAATTGCTGTACTAATAGACTGTAGCTCATCCTAGACCCTGACAGAGTATCATTAGAATCTACTTCTGAGAGTTGAAAATAATCAGGTTTCACCAACACCGTACAGTAGGATCAGAACTTGTTAGGTTTAGTTAGTTCCACCTCGAAATAGTACAAGTTGGCACAAAGGTACAAATGAAAAGTCTCAAGCGTTACAATTGCAGTAAAACAAGCTAACAATTGGTGATACAGACAGGACTAGCTAAAGTTACTACAAGGGGAGCCAGTATCTTGCATGCAACATGCGCTGTCATTCATACCCGAATTTCCGCAGTGGCTACCTCCACAACGACAACTCTGATCTGCAGGCAATCTTCTCGCTGTGGGGGTACGTCGTTCTTCCCCAGCGTTTTTATGGACTAGCTGCGCGTCTCCAACCGAATATAAATACGCATCAGCTTTGCGCATGCGCATGAACGCGGTCGATCAGAGGATCTAGGATCGGAGCAGCAGAGACACTTTTTTGCTGTTCAGTTGCAGAGGTCTAGAAGAAGTAAGTGTCTCGTAGCTCTAGTTTTGTGCAGTGTGTGCGTTTTCCGTTTCATGTGCTTGAAGCAGCGGCGTTGTTCGCACTGAGTTCCGCCTCTGCACGGCCAGCGCAGTTTCACATGGGTGCACCGACACTGTAGTTCCCTCTCTCTGTGTTCCTTTTTTGCCGGTTGCTATATGATCGGGACGAGGTTCTCCTTGGTCAACAGTCATTGAATAAACTGAAAATTTCTCCTGCTTTTGGTTGTTGTTGATTTCTTTCCTCTATTGCAGTTCAATGCACTGTTTCTAGACCCGTTTGAGGGTGTGCAATGGCAACTGGGGGCTAGAACAACAAGCCCGCATTAGTTGAACAAACAGTGGCTAAGTTAGGCATGCCTCTATCTAGGGTAGTTATGATTGCTGAAGGATAGCTAACCTTCTCCAGGTGTGTGGGTGAAGTTAACACGGTTTGCATTTGAGCCCTAATAGTCCCTTGGCAGAATTTGCTCTACATATTGTTGGCTGTTCAGATCTTGGAGATCAGAAATTGTTAGCATCATGCAACATATAGTCCAAGACTTGCCACACTGAACATTTGCACCTGATGGAATGAAAGGCTTGCTGTCACACTCCTATATGCATACCTACCAACCATCCCGGATTTTCCGGGAATATATATACCGGAAAATTGGGTTGCGTCCCGGTATCCCGGATCATTTTCATAAATCCCGGAAAGTTCTGCGCGCACAGACCGGACACGCGCGCGCGTTTGGACTGCCTGCCCGCTGCGCGTCGAACGTATCGTGCATGCTTTCAAAGCAGTCAATTGTTTTCACCTGAATTGCTTTCAGCAGCAAAGACAGCCACAGAGCGAAGCCTAAGACACTAATACACTAACTCCATTCCTAATACTTTGTGTGCGCTGTGTACCATCATTTCTTGTACCAGTTTTTGTAAAGTATATAATCAAGGAAAATAGATCATAAACAAGGAAAATAAATGAAACGCTCAAGGAAAAATATCCCTGCATGTTGGTAGGTATGTATATGACTACAACAGCAGATTCATATTTGGCTTGCAACTCTTACCAAGAGTAGTAAAACTCTGATAAAGAACCCTCCGAATATGGGCTCTTCTCTATAAACAGTTGGTTCTGCTTCATACTATACAGCAGTGTAATAATTATTATCAAGGGACACGTCTGAATAAAGGACACTTTCGATGTCACCAAGGTGTCCCTTATTCAGAGGTTTTACTGTACGCAATGTGTACACCTGCAGGTTATGTCAGACCGGTATGCTGGCGTGCGAGAGGCATACTTCTCCAGCAACAAACCACCACCGGTTCCTCCCAAACAGGCCACCGAATACAACAGTTAGTTTCACCTCACCTTGCCTGGTGCTACTATCATTTATTTCTCTGCTCTCATCCCCACAGCTTCTGCATTTCCCCAGTCAGCGGGTGGCAGACGACATTTCTCTCCCTCCTCCTCCCCCAGTCACCCTCGGACCCAGTCATCTGGAAGCCCGTCTCATTACACTCAATTCTCTCATTCCATCCCTCGCAGTCGCGGCAAACCTAGGCCTAACCAAAGTAACTGTTCACATCAGCTGTATACATCAAGTTTCGGTGCGATTATTGCTATAACAGTTATGGTCCTGGGTGTGGTTGACTTGTTTTTGTGCCTTTGCCTTTCTATGTCGTAGTTGACACGTGGTTAGTAAAACGTTGATTTGAATTCCCTATCTCTTTCCCTCCCCACTAGTGAGGATGGATCGTGCAGTAGGTCGCTCCACCTCCTTCTCCCACCCCATCTCTCCTGAAGCCCCTCCCACTTTGCCTCCTCGGCCAGTGACTGCCGTCCAGAAGACCTTCAAAAGAGCACAGCCCAAGTTCCTCACCGGAGACCTCTCGTTTGAGCACCTCATAAAACATTACCAGAAATCTTTCCCTCTGAGGGTGTACATCACCAACGGCTACCTCGGAGCCACCTCTCGTCTCACCATCTCGACTGGCGACATGTACAATATCCACTTCATGAAGAGCACTAAAGTCATGTTGTTCAAAGACAGCCACGACACTCCGTACTCCATCCCTCTCAACTCGGCCATTGAGTTTGGTCTCCTGTACCAGCCGCGGCAGGGGAGGAAACCAGCTGAGATCGAGACAGGTGTTGTCTTCTCGTCTGTGGCTGACCTTCTCTCTCAGCCTGAGACGCCGCGAGTCGTCGTCGTTCTCAAGAGCTGGCAGAGCAGCGATGGGAAGACCTCCGTGGTAACCAATGAGGTCCTGTTTGTGAGGGGGACACAACGATCCCTGTTTGGCAAGAAGGGTATGAAGGTGTTCAGTCGGACAACGAAGAGCGATAAGTTTCTAGCTGAAGACTGCAACACTCAGTTCTCGACGCAGCCCTCGCTGTGCAGGGTACACATCACTGATATTGTGGACCACATCAGGCAGCCAAAGGGAGAGAAGTGTGTTCTTTTCCTCAACTCACAGGTCAGTGCTGGCGTGCCGTGCTGTCTGCGTTTCTGTTGTATTGACCTAATAAATGATGTTGTCGATGTGTGGTTTTTGTGTTGTGTTTGTAACAAAGTAGTGGGGCACCCTGTTCACTAGGGAATGTTTCTCCAATTTTTATTTACAACCTGTGCCATTTCAAGGGAGGACACGGAACATAAGTCATCAAACTCCCTCCCATCATCACCCCACCCCCCCTCCCTCCCTGCAGGTGCTGATGAACCGTGAGATGTCCTCTAGTGTCCAGACAATACCTGATGACCTGTTTGCCAAAGTACTGACCATACTGGACCAGGTCACTGAGACTTCTCTCATTGCATCCTCCATGCTCCACCGAAGACTGGTGAGTCTGTCTCTATGAAATGTAAAACACATTTTGCGTGGATAGTGGATCCTCTCTTTGGTGACACTTTTCTGTGGATCATCAGCTCGTTGGCGCTTTGTGGTGGATCCTCATTTCTGCACCGCTTTGCTTCGGATCATCCGTTCAGTGGCGCATTACAGTTGATCCTCTGTCAGCTTTTCAGTGGAACTTCTGTTTGCAAAAACTTTACTGTGGATAGTTTGGCAGCGCTTTGCTGTGGATCGTCGGTGGGGCTTTGCAGTTGATCTTCCATTCTAGAACCTTAGTGTACTTATGTCATTCATAGATAGGGTCCTCCTTTATGGCATGGGAGGTGGGAGGTATGTAAGAGATAATGTGCGTTTAGAGATCTATACGTGATTTATGGTAACGAGTGGTGCGCCTCGTGCTGTATGAGTCTCTCGACCCGAGTTCCCATAAGTCATGTATAGAACGATAGGACGTACATTATGTGTTTATTGTGACTCTGTAGCAGTCGTCGACCTCTAGCGAGAGAAATACGACTGCGTAGCCTACTACCCACACGCACGTGCGCACTCGCTGGCTTCTCGAGCGAGTTCTCGAGGCTACGGTAATCGAACAAGGTCGTGATGGTGGCTCTTTCTCCCTCAGAGAAACTAGTTTCATAGGTCGCTGGGCCGTTTGACCGGTCGGTGTGCCGCGGCCACGGTCTCGCTTGCCACTGGGAGCTGAATGAAGGGGTGTGGTCGCCTCAGCCATCCCTCGCCTCTACAGACTCTACAGAACTGTCATCCCTCGCCTCTAAAGCCTCTACAGAACAGTTTTTGCCTACACTATGGGTACGATGCTGATGCTAGTTCAATAATTCTTTTTTTGAATGTTCAATATTAGTCATATTGAACGCGTGCTACAATACGGGAAATAAGAGTACGCGCGGCAGCTTTGATCCGCCCACGCAAGTCACAATAAATACTATTATTATACACTTCCAGTAAGTGCATGTCTCACTGCACAGGAGGTGTCAGCAGAGGATTTTGACCCTGACAGAGATGTTCTATTTGACATACCAGTGGACGAGAACACAGCTGAAATGACTTGTGCTGTCGTAGAAATGCCGGACGACTCGGATACAGACCGTCTCTATGACGACACCAAGTCTCTGTATGAGAAGTTTGACCCGACAAAGGTGAGCCACAGTCTGCCAGTAAACTTGCGACCAGCCAGGTGTCCTCTGCCGTAACCTGCAAGCCAGTTTTTAGTGTTTCTCACAGCCTTAGTGTGTGTGTTACATATCCGTCCTGTTCTTACCACTGTGCACATGTACACAATAGTCTGTTCATGGTGAGTTTCCTGGGGACACAAAATGACTTTACTGGTGGTGGGTTTTGACAGAAACCAGAAAATACTTTCACTGTGCACCCACCAACCATACCATTTAGTGTGTGCAATAAGCAGCTGTACTACATGAAACATCAGCAGAAGATAATATTGTCAGTGAGCCCATATATAGCAGTCTTTGAGTATACTCATGATGTAGTTGTTATTATAGTCCTGGCATTGTGCAATAGTTTGTGTCTGCAGGACAAAGTCATATCTCCCTCCTCCCTCCCTCCTCCTCTCCCCACACACCAGGTGATGAGTATCAAAGACACTGGCTCAGAGAACTCACATGCTACGCAGAAACTGCTCTACACCACCATCAGACGGGGCTGTGAGGGACTGGGGGTGGAGATAGCACGCCCTGAGGCTCTCTATGACATCATTCCCTCCCACATGAAGTCTCAGTTCCCACCCACTCCGTCCTCTTCTGCCTCCGCTTCTCCCCTCCCTCCTCTTCCCCCTTCTGTCCCTCCTACCCTCAGGTCTCCCTTTTCTATCTCCCTTCATTCCCCAGATGTATGTACAATGTATAATATAGCTTATCCTCCCACCCCTCTCTCTTTAGTCTAAAAAGACCCTAATGTTGTGTATAAGGAGCCAACTCTCTCGACCCAGATCTCCCACTGGAGCCCCAGAGTTCACAGACAATGTTGGAGGAGAGGTATCAGATGGCAGTAGTCTGGAGTATGACGAGGTTACTCCGGAGTCACTCCAGTTGAGTCACCAGAGTCAGATGCCCAACCTCCACACAGTCTCAGTAACCAGAGGACCCACACAGGTGGAGCACTGACTGTTATTCCTTGTCTAATATTCCTGGCATTGTGTGTACAGCATGCACTTAAATACGATATGCAACAATCCTGGGACACAGAATGTCCCATCCGACTGGAGGGTTACACTGTTTCATCAGCTTTATCAGTCTTGGAACAGGTCGCCACTAGGTAGTGCAAGAAGATACAAATGTGCTACCCCCTTACACAACATTGATGTTGTTGCATATAAGAACTTATTGGCTCACAGGACTGACTGCTTCACAAAGTTGTCAATGATAATTGCAGATTCAGGAACTGAAAAAATATATAACTGGCAAATAACTAACAGCTAATATACCTTAGGGTAGTAGTTGGTCTCTTCTAGCTATTTCTGAGGTAAAAAAGAAAAAGCCACTCCACCGGGCATGTGGCCAACATGCGCCAGTGAAGCGGGGGCACTCAGTATTGTCAAACAGAGAGTGGGTAAGGGGAGGAACCAGAGCTGTTCCCAGCCAGTGCTCTGGACCACCTACCAGCTTCCAGCCCGGGATCGATCTCTCGACCACCGGAACCTTTATACTGGTAGTCCCCACTTCTACTGATTGCGCCACATGAGTGACCCGAGAGGAGTAGTTGAAATTCAGCTCTTATACCCATCAGCATGGAGGAGAGTATGAAAAAAAGAGGCAGTCACTGGATTGGAACCAGGGCAGGTAGCATAATAGAGTCCCATAAGCCAGTGCTTTAACCACTACACCAGCTGTCAATCTAGGTGCAATAACTTACAATCTATGTATGCATGTACAGTAAGGTGTCAAATTTAAATGAACCCCTTTAGCTGCCCAGTTTTGTGTGCATAATGCAAATTCTGGTTCCCTTCTTTACATGACAAATGTAAGAGCATAATATGAGTTGCAGCTTCCTTCACCGGGTTATGCTTTTCCACTTTCACATGTGTTGAAAATACGTAGTTGGACTTCAGAAACTACTTCATTTATAAACTACCTGCACACATGCAGGTGTATAATTCGCATGGCACCTGGTTAATGGTGTTTAAAACCCTTTGGATGCCATGGGTATCTCCTTAAAAAAGCAGAAATTGACATATGAACGCCTAGTATTATAGCCATATATAAATTCTTATGGATTTATGGAGACTCTGGGGATATTATATATGCCACTGGCTGCCTAAGGGTTAAAGTATATGACACAGTGAACGAAACGGTTTGTAGTGGCTGTAGACATATCTTAAGATTTCTGTCAAATAATTCACTTTCGTTCAGTGTGCATTAATTGAAGACTGCTGTCGCAGATTGATGGCAGACTGGAGAAGAAAGTTGAAGAACTGCAGCAGCAACTGAGGGAGAGTGTGGCCGAGGTGGCTTGTCTCAATTCCAGACTGGAACGGAGTGAGGACCGGGCGGGACAGCTGGAGGAAGAGTTGGGGAAGATGAAGTCCTCGGTCGAGAAGCTGCTACCTCAGGTCTTTGCTCTGCAATCAAAGATGACACACTTCGCCTCCCCTCAGGTAATGGAGCATCGTCTTCCACTTGTTTGAGGAATGGAAATTGAAAGTATGATGTTGCACAAACATAAAGAAAGCCCTGTGTTAATAAATAGTATATAGGTGGCCAATATACCATACTTTTTACTCATAAATTGTATTTACTTGATCCCGTAGTAACTCAAATCTACTTGAAACTCAAATCTACTTGATCCCGTAGTAACTCAAATCTACTTGATCCCGTAGAAACTCAAATCTACTTGATCCCGTAGAAACTCATATCTATTTGATCCCGTAGTAACTCAAATCTACTTGATCCCGTAGAAACTCAAATCTACTTGATCCCGTAGAAGCTGAAATCTACTTGATCCCGTAGAAACTCATATCTATTTGATCCCATAGAAACTCAAATCTACTTGATCCCGTAGAAGCTGAAATCTACTTGATCCCGTAGTAACTCAAATCTACTTGATCCCGTAGAAACTCGAATCTACTTGATCCCGTAGAAACTGAAATCTACTTGATCCCGTAGAAACTCATATCTATTTGATCCCGTAGTAACTCGAATCAAGTTACTAAGTGTGCTGTTTCCCCTAGAAACCCGTGGACGCATAAAAACATATGCACTGGCATCTCATGTGTTGAAATCCATGAGCATTAGAAAGCCCTCAGGCCCTTAATGTAGCTTCTTTGCTGCACTTCGAAGGCCACAACGCAAGCCCTACAGACGATTTTTACGGTCTTGCTGTCTAACTATTATACTCTCGCAGAGACGGATCCCAGCAGAGATGGAAGAGGAGGGAGAAGGGGAGAAGGAGAGCAGGGTGAATGACACGATGGAAGAGAACAAGAAGTTCTTGAGAACTCTCTCCAGCCATGAGGTCTGCCTAACTTTCACTCTTTTTTCTATGCTAAATTTAGTAAGCAAACAATTCCAAAAGTCCACCATCATTTTCATCAAAAGGCAAACACTTTTTCGACAACACCTATATAAGACAAATTATTTTTCCACCACTAGAGTGCAAACCCTCAGCAGAATTTTTAGTGCACTAGTAATTCCGCATGTTGCTTTTCTTTCAACTCCTGATGCGTTAGCCCTTTCCTTGCCACCTCCCCTGTCAGGTATGTGAGTTGCTACGAGTGATGGAGCTGTCTCAGTACAAGGAGGCATTCACCAAGGAGAGTGTGTCGGGGGAGATCCTGGCTGATTGCGATAATGAAATCCTCCAGACTGATCTGGGTGTGGCCTCTCGTCTCCATCTGTTACGACTGATGAAAGTCATCAGTGGCCGGCACTCTGCAGCTGCGCTAATTGAAGGGGCTGACCCTTACGTCACTTTGGGCAAGAAATGAACAAAACATTGTCACTTGAACACTGAATTCATGCTGCAGGTCATTATACACATGTCAGTGAAATATCTGAATAGTCACACAATATTGTTATAGTCACTCATCATGTTGTAGCCTCATTAATGACAAGGTATTACACAATGAGTGGGTGTGGTCAAATCTGTGATGCTCCGCCTACCATGAAGCTCTCCACCTCAGTCTCTAGTGCAATCCCATCCTCCTCCCTCATTTCTTTCTTCTTCAGTTTTGGTCTATTGAGTCTGCGACAAGCCTCGTCGATGCTGTAGATGCATTTTGCCCACTCTCCTTTCTCCTTCATTCTGTCCTCAACCGGCCACAGAGTCAGCGTTGTCCTCCGCACTATTGCCAGCCTCTCCTGCTCCAGCTTCCCCTTACCCCTCGTCCCACTGCAGTTACACTGCGCCATCTCCTCTGGAGTGAACAGGTAGCGGACCAAGTTCACCGCAAAGTTCCTTCGAGAGCAGGATTTACCCCGGGACACCACGAGGTACTCCGGATCAAACTCAGGGAATGTGGCCGCCAGGTTGATACCCCGGAGTGTGTGGGGATGTTCGGGGTCCCCCGGGATGACCTCTACCCTCTCCAGGGTCCCCAGGTGCACTGAGGAGTCTACCCCAGAGTCTCCCGGAGTCCTCTGGGGTGAGAGGTCGGAGGTCAGGATGAGGTGGTCAGAGCTGTTCGTCACAATCTGCAGAAGAGCACAAACAGAACATCCTGAACTCTCTATCCTGTTCTAAAGATTAGTCTTTTCCCTGTATCTCGTCCAAACATTTGCCGTTTCCCCTATCTTGCATCACAAACATTCGTTTTTTCTTCCCTCCCTCCAAACGTTTGTTCTTGCTCACATCTTGCTCCAAAAATTAATCTTTTCACCTATCTCACTTCAACAGTTCATCTCGTCCCCCAAATACATATCTACCCACTGTAACAATGTTAAGATAAAGGTGTCCATTATTCAGAGCAAACATACTGAGAGCCCGATCTCAGTCAGTCTGTTCTTGATGTCCTCCTGGTTGCGTCGTATCATGAGGAGAGAGCCGGCCAGAGTCGAGTAGCTTCTTCTGACCTCCTTCACCTCATAGAGGATCTGGGACAGAGGGTCCATCTAGAGGAAAGGAGGGAGCGAAAACATGTGTTTGTCAAGATCCTGTTACTTGTGAAACACTCTCAGTTCATAAGATGACAAAAGCACGAACTTTAAAAAGAGACTAAAAGACGGGCAGCTCAAGCCAAGAGCGAGGCACAGGTATTGTTCACATGTGTTGGACATTCAGACTTATTGGTTTCCAAACTGCCTGGACAACTGAAGAGTTCTTGTTGTCACAGTCAATGTCTTACCTTCTCTGTCAGTGGAGGAGGATCTATCTCTCGCGGCACCGCCTTCCCTTCTCCTCCTGCTGCAGCTTTAGCCCTGCCCACTGGAGACCCAGACTTTGACCCCAGACAGCTCTTGACTCCACCCACCAAGAGGGGTTTGGAGGGACCCACAGGTTTTGAGGGAACCACTGTTGGAGGTGTCTTTGCAGCTGTCCTCAGTGGAGACTGAAGGAGTGGAGCAAGATGGGGGAATGCGTTTGAAGTGAGATAGAAAAGGTTAGGGTTGAGATAAGGAGAAAAGCGATTGTTAGGAGCGAGATATGTACATGAATGTGATGGGGCGAAAGACAAAATTAATGTTAATTATATAGGCGAGATATTGTGAGAACTCTTTCAAGAGAAATAGGGTTTTAGTGAGATAATTCTTTTAAATCCAGTCTTCTTACCTGCTTAAAATCCAGTCTTCGTCGCTTAGTCGGTGTTTCCATGGAGACTGGGGATGTCTTTGGTGTTGAGCTACCCTGTGTGACAGAGCAACACACATGCCAACACACAGTCATGCCAACATATGTAAACTTTGGTATCAAGGGCATTTGTACTGTTAGCAATGATCCAAAAGTGTAAAACCACAGGCTATTGTTGTGTATGTATATATGATATTATACCTTGATAGTGTTGGTCTTAGTAGGAGATAGGAGTGCCGCCAGCTCACTCCCCCACACCTCTCTAGCTACATCCCCTGAGACCACACCCACATCGTCATCAGTGGTGGGCGTGGCAGTGGGGGTGGCCTGTTTGATACAGCTCTCCAGTACTGAGAGAGCGGACTCTGAACCTGAGACACACACGTACACACAATTCAGTGAGTTTAACCACCACTGTACACAGATACATAAATAGCAGGGATCCATCAACGAAGTTTCATGACACTTTGCCTCGTTGCAACAAAGTGGCTCGCCTTTAGGAAACACAGCCACACATTGGAATGCAAGGCTAAGGAACATTTGATCTGCAATTCTCTTGAGGGAAGCGAGTGCTCACATACCAGCCACACCAAAGACATCCCCAGTCTACAACATTACATCTACAACCTCTGAAAGACACCTCTTTAAGGACACTGCTTTTTGTCACACACATACAAATGGACAGCTCTGAATGTAGGTCACGTTTGATGTGTCAGAGCGTTGGGACCTGAATGAATTATTGTACGCATGTTTAACATTGAACTGCGTGGCCTATTTAGTACACCTGCGCATTGCACATAGCTAGTGATGAGCAAAAACAACTACCAAATGGGAACTGACCAGCTCCAATGATGACAGCGGACTGCACCCCTCCCTCCTCCCCCACCTCACACCTGGCACCCACCACCAACTCCTCCCCTCCACCGGTCAGCAACTGGTCTTTGTTGACAACACACACTGACCCACTGCCTGCCATTTTCACCACATAGTACAGCCCCTCCTCCACTGCTGGGAGACAGGGAGAGCAACAAGAGAGGTGTGGCACACGTTTGTGTGTCTGTCTAACGTAGTTGACTTTTTTTGAACACACCACTGCCACAGTGTTTTTGCCTGGTAAGGTGTGCTTTTTTTCTCAGGCCTGGCATTGGGGGCTAGCTACCCGCCGTACTGTTCTACGTAGCCGCCATTTTGCATGGTTACCATTTGCAGAGGCAGCCTGTTCTTGGCTGGCAGTCTCGCTGCTTTCCGCCATCCCTGGCCAAGGGATCTCGCTCTCGAGACACGGCACCACTCTCGAGGGAAGCGAGTGCTCACAGACCAGCCACTCTCTCGCGTACACACTCGCTCGCCTCCCGAGTCCTCCCGATCAACAGAAGGTCAAAGTTCGAATTCCGCGCATGCGTACATCTTCAAAGTCATTCAACAACGGCCTAACATTACAGTCCTAAGAACACACCATATTGTAAAACCATGTTCATAGTTTCAGTCTGTTATCATGTATCTACGTAATCACAAAGTGTGAGGCTAGCAACAGGCCCCGCCTACTCATCAGTGTCATCCCCAGAGAGGACCCTCTCGAAGGAGAATGGGAGGAACTTGCAGCCGTCTCCCGTATAGAACTTGCTCTGAAACTCCACCCTGCGACAGAGAGAGGTGAGAAACAAGGGAGATATATACAAGAGTGAACAACATTGGAACTGATCCCATTACATTTCTCATTGGGTAAAGGAGGGTCTTTGGGGAATTATTACAGGGAGAAAACTATTCGACCCTTAATTCAGGGGGAATATTATTAGGGGGGTGGGTGTTCTTGCCTCTGCTTTGAGACATACAGTACATATGTACATACACATACAGTATTACATGTATTATATAATACCAGTGTAGTCGGAGTGCGTGGAGGAAGGCAGACAGACCCTCCATGACCAGGAGGATGCCGACAGTTAGGACGGCCCAGAACACCCAGAGGCCAGCTATGATCAGCCACCCAGCCACAGCACCACCGGATGCCAGTTTGAATCCATACATCTGGAGCACCATCTGCCACAGTACCTCCGACAACTCTGAAGAGGGAGAGCCAATTCCTTTAAGTGGACTCTCGTCAATAACATGAACTTTAAACTTTCACTACAAAAAGTAGTGTATAGTGTATTAATATGTACAAGTGGTACATGTTCAGTGTTCGTATAAACCAAGTTCCATGGCAGCACACTAGCACATGTTTTATGTTTGTAGCTACTATAAGCATGATGTCAGTGGTGGGTACAGGTTTATATCGGAAAACAAGCCTTTCTTTTGCCGACTGAGTTGTTGCACATCAGAGAGATGATGTGGAGAAAGAGGACAGACAGAGAGAGAGACCTACCAGCATGAGCAAGGGAGAGAGCCCACAGTCGGAGGTAAGAAGCAGTGTTGGAGATGGTTCCCAGGCAGTACTCAATGGTGTGGATGGCCTGGTGAATAAACACCTCTCCAAACTCAAACTGAGGAGAGAGAGACGACAGTGAGATCATGTGAGAATCATGTGACACAAGCCACACCTCCTCGGCATGCATGACTCCGCCCTCCTTCCCGTCGTCATCAGGCTCCGCCCCAACCATGGCATCAGTCTCTCCATCGCTACTATCTCCTGACTGGACATTGAATGGAGTGTATGCCTCACCCTGTTCAGCGAGAGACAGGAGGGAGGAGGGGTGAAGAAGGGAAAGAGAAAAAATAAAAGGGTGTCAGTTGAAGACTACTACATCATGCTGTAACACTAGTTACACAAGCACAAGCTGAAAAAGTTAGACAAGTCTGTTCCATGTTGTTATTAAAACATTTGCACTACCAGGCTTACTGTATGATGGTTGTAGGCTATTAAAAAACAGAGGTTAGTTAGTGTTCTCAGTAAGCATGCAGCTCTGCAGTTCTAAGAGAACTGACTAACTTTCTTAGTTCTCTTCTTGTGGAGGAAGAGGAGGTAGAGCGGCTTGGAGGCCAACATCCAGGGAACACACACCACGGCAACCACAACCAGCAGCTTCATTATGTAGGCCTGTAGGGGGAGTCTCCTCTAATTAGTGCCCACTACTCTCCCAAGCTCTACATTTCTGCATACTAGGGTAAGGGTACATTATCTGGGGTCACATATGTTGAACATTGATGGTTGAAAATTTCAGTCAAAGACTTCACCAGCACCATGCAGTAAGCAAACCCATGGCTTACATCGGTGTGGTACTGGTACTGTACGAATGGTGTAATGTACCTGTATGGCACCATGAGTTTGGTCTGAACCAAATACGGAATACTCGTTCAGGAGATCGGGATCGTCGTCTGGTTTCCGAGTGACGTAATCATTGGGAGCTTTACTGAACTCCAGAAACATCTGAATCAGCGTTATCAGGAGACTAGGGGCCTGGGGGAGAGGTGTGTACAACAATGAATTCAGAATGCATGAATACGGAGTATTTTTCATCCGGTTTCCGTGTGACGTAATCATTACATCATACATACACAAAAATATATAACTATGTAAGTATTCACAACATAATGTCTGAGGTGGAAGGGATTTTTTAAGGTGCGCAAATTCTATCTTTCACCCCCTTCTTACCTCAAAGTCGTAAAACCAGAAATAGGGAAGGGAAATACACGATGGGAAATGGAAATAGGAGGGAGAGCTAAAGGAGGAGGGCTAGAGACCTTACAGTAATGAGTGGTTTGTAGTAACTGCAGAACTTGTATAAGATGAGGAAGACTAGCCACCCAAATATGGAGAGGAGGAATAGGATTTGAGGAATGAACTCCATGAATATACGGTGGTAGTTGGCGAAATGACTGGAGAGAGAGAGAGAGAGAGGGGATCACATGAGCTGTGTTGTGGGGTCATGTGACTAACATGTGATTAAAGATGGAGAGAATGACTCCGAAGAACATCTGCCCCACCCCCAAAATGATGGACATCTTCATCTTGTACGAATTAATGAACACCAGTTTGTTGGTAGCAGACTGCCACACCTGTAGAGAATGGATCACATGACACGTTAGATCAGATCATGTGATGTCACATGACACAGAGAGCAGTCATGTGATACATCCAACAGGTCATGTGACTCACTGGGTCTATTCCAAAAGGGTAAGGGTAGCGAGGAGGCGTGGCCTCTCTCGGGAAGATGGTCGTCATGTCTTCGCCCTCTCCCATCAGGATACATGTTCTGTCTCCCACCACGCACGCTTTCTCCTGGCAACTATCGGATGTCGTTGGACTGAGAGGGGCAGCACATTGCTCAGTTATGAGATATTATATTAACAGTTGGTTCCATGGGAGTTAATAAGTAGGAGTGAATATTTTATTAACAGTTGGTTCCATGGGAGTTAATAAGTAGGAGTGAATATTATATTAACAGTTGGTTCCATGGGAGTTAATAAGTAGGAGTGAATATTATATTAACAGTTGGTTCCATGGGAGTTAATAAGTAGGAGTGAATATTATATTAACAGTTGGTTCCATGGGAGTTAATAAGTAGGAGTGAATATTTTAAGTGCATCTTGGTAACGTTGCACTGGCAGGTCTAAAGCGAGTATGAATACACAAACACACACACACACACACGGAGACACTCACAGGTTGTCAAGGCTGCCTCGGCCATAGGGGTAGGCAGGGTTCCAGTGAGAACCAAATATGTTGAGAGACTTTGAGAAGACGTCGTTGTAGATGAGCCCAGTGTAGATGGAGAAGGCCCCCATTAGAATGATGATGTAACGACCTTGGAATATGGTGGTGAACATCTGCAGGGGGACGAGGAGAGATGAAGGAAGGAGAGAGGAGAGAGACGGAGCGAAAATAGGTCTATTAATGTCTTTCACCTTTCAGTCTAGACAATTTGACATTAGTTCTATTTTGTGTTCGCTAAAACTCTGTCCTATTGTGCTTTTGGGCTCAAAAACCACATGATCTCAGAGACTATACTGTGCCTCCAACTACAACTACACTTCAAAGTAAGTAGTAGAGTGTTAGCAAAGTTTCTACGATTTGTGTACGAAGCATGCAAAATTTCAGCAATGTCCTCTTATTATGAAGGTCATCCACAATTAACAATATCTACGCTAAGCTTCAATTGTCCTTATAACAACTGGGGATCTTAAACAGGTAGATTTGAGTTGTGTGGTGGTGGGTGTGGCTTACCTCTCCACCTCCAGTGTAGTTCTTGAGTCTCTTCTCAAAGACGATGAGACCCAGGGCAAAGAGGAACATGATGGTCCCGTGACCAGCGTCCCCAAACATTACTCCAAACAGGAATGGGAACGTTATGATGGTGAACAGAGCTGGAGTGGAGGAGGGGGTGACATGTAACACAGACAAGTCAAGGTTTTTGAAAGAGGCTTGGCACACTGGACTTGTACATGACACTAGGACTTGCTACTTCTTTACTTCATGTATTCCCCTATCCAGCCTGAACATTACTGGTAGTACAGGTGTACGTCTATTTCACTCTGACGGACATCTACAAGCATTTTGAAGGTGTTGTTTAACAATCAATGCCCTCACATAGAATGTGCCAATTGGAGACTGAAACCACTACTGCTGCAGTTCAAGGTACTGTACACAATCAATCATAAGGTGATGCCCATGAATGAGAGGACAACAACAGTAGGTGTGTTACTACTACTACAAGTTCAGTCACGTGACGTACTGGGATTGACTTCCCCGTAGTTAGCGACACCGTAGGAATTCACGATGGCCTGGTACCCTCTGGTGAACTTGTTCGTTTTGAAGTAAGTGGGCGGGGCATCATTGGTGCTCATCCTGTTCAGAATGGAGGGAACTGTTGACCCACTTCGCTCCTGCATCCATGGAGATGAGAGACATGGGAGATAGAGACTGCCCCTCACCCAATCTTGCACATAATGTACATATTTGGCAGGCTAACATGACAAACGTATTCACAAGACTCAGGCTTGCCCGCCATTATGACAGATTAAGAGTTGTACAAGTTTATTTCTTATACACGAAACACACTCTTACTTTAGTATGCACAATACACAAGGTGTGCACTAATTAGAATGTCAGTACATAGTGCCCCCCTCCTCACAGTTCCGTTAGTGAGTGCCTGTTGAATCTGGTCCAGGTCCTCCACAGGGCACCAGCACTCTGCAATGAGACATCTCTGGGTCACGTCCAGGTTGAACATGTTGAGGGCATGGTAGATGGACTTTATCTTCTTCACCTGCAGAGAACAGCAATAGTAACAAGAGGACAGTAATAGATACAAATGACATGACCACCAACATCACACGCACACGCACACACACACACACACGAGATAGTGTACATATGTATGTATCCCTATCTCCCCCAAATTTTGCCGTCCCCCCATAATGGGGTGTCAACGATTTCGCATTTTTTGTACGCACATGAGCGGAAAAAGAGACGACCCAACTATCCTTCATGCCTTGACTAGAGTTGGAGTATGGAATGGAAATGTCTTCTATCTCGCTGCACCTATCCCTATCTCCCCCAAATTTTGCCGTCCCCCCATAATGAGGGTGTCAACGATTTCGCATTATTTGTACGCACATGAGCGGAAAAAGAGACGACCCAACTATCCTTCATGCCTTGACTAGAGTTGGAGTATGGAATGGAAATGTCTTCTATCTCGCTGCACCTATCCCTATCTCCCCCAAATTTTGCCGTCCCCCCATAATGAGGGTGTCAACGATTTCGCATTTTTTGTACGCACATGAGCGGAAAAAGAGACGATCCAACTACTCTTCATGCCTTGACTAGAGTTGGAGTATGGAATGGAAATGTCTTCTATCTCGCTGCACCTATCCCTATCTCCCCCAAATTTTTGCCGTCCCCCCATAATGAGGGTGTCAACGATTTCGCATTATTTGTACGCACATGAGCGGAAAAAGAGACGACCCAACTATCCTTCATGCCTTAACTAGAGTTGGAGTATGGAGTGGAAATGTCTTCTATCTCGCTGCACCTATCCCTATCTCACCCAAATTTAGCCGTCCCCGCATAATGAGGGTGTCAACGATTCCGCATTTTTTGTACGCACATGAGCGGAAAAAGAGACGACCCAACTATCCTTCATTCCTTGACTAGAGTTGGAGTATGGAATGGAAATGTCTTCTATCTCGCTGCACCTATCCCTATCTCCCCCAAATTTTGCCGTCCCCCCATAATGAGGGTGTCAACGATTTCGCATTTTTTGTACGCACATGAGCGGAAAAAGAGACGATCCAACTACTCTTCATGCCTTGACTAGAGTTGGAGTATGGAATGGAAATGTCTTCTATCTCGCTGCACCTACAGTACACGCCAAAAAAAAGTTCCCACTACGGCAGGTGATACCGTAGAGCACCGTAGAGCACCGTAGCTGCGGTACGCTGCGAGGGTGTGGCAAGTAAACGGTGGCAGCTAAAGGCCTAGCAAGCAACGAGCGTTGTTTCTAAAACTGAGAGTAAGCTAAGAACACTAGCGTTGTAGCGCAGTCGTGTCTAGCAAGGCTACTGCTGCTTGCTATCGCTTCTCGCTCTAGCTCTCCTTTGCGCCCGCGCTGAGCGCGCAGACGCGACATGCGCGCGTGCGACCGCGCCCACTAAACCACGTGCCTCGCCGTCAGCACTGTCGCTCGCTCCGTGTGGATTTCCTGGCCGTACAGCTAGCTAACGCTGCATGGGGCAACGCTGCTTGGTAGAGGACTGTATCTGGGTGTTAGTAAACTACGGCATACTGCGCCGTAGCAGGTCTACGGCTTCCACCGTAGTACGGCGTTGCTACGGCGTAGCAAGACCGTAGTTCTACTACAGTGTGACGTAGTGCGGAACTAGGCGGGTGTATAAGCTGTGGGGATGGTGGATGGGCGGTGTGATGGTTGGCATTTTGTTGTGTGAGTTTTGGTACTGTACCTTGCGTCTACAGGTGTCCAGTTCCAGAGCAATCTCCTGGAGTTGGGTGATGGAGTGGTCCTCTGTCGTACGCAGAACCGTCATCAGGTCGTTAATCCTGTTGCTCACGGCAACGCTCATCTCTGCCCGCTCGTTGGCAGTCTCCGGACATTGGTAGAGAGTGGCATGGAACCTGAAAGGAAGGGGGTGGGGGGCGAAAGTGACCGACACGAACCGTTGCGGTAGTGGCTAACGTACCCCTCACATATCTTCTTGACACGTGTTCTCAGCTGGTCTCCTTGAAAGAACAGAATGAACACCACCTTGTACTAGAGTAAGACCAGCTGACCCTGCGGAAAGAGGAAGACATTGATACAACCTGTGTTACAATATTCATTGCTGGGATGCAGACAGCGTGCACCAGCTACAGGCTTAAACAAAATTGAACCCCTCTCTAAGGACACTGAAATCAGGACATCTTTCAAATATGGACACTTATTTCCCACGGTGTTTAGCGCAGGGGTTTCACTCTACATCAATGTAGAGAGGAATTCCCTCCCTCCCTCCCTCCCTCACTCCCTCTCCCTCCCTCCCTCACAGTGGTGGGGTCCTCCAGCGGCTGCATGATCTCGGCCTGTCTCAGGAACACGTTTCCACGACAGGCTCTCCACAGGACCCTCTCAAACACAGGCATCCTCTCCCTGGCGATGACCCCGGCCACAAAGGTCAGCCTCGTCTGGGACAGACCTGTCACAGGGGGCATGGCCTCACCGTCAGTGTCTGGTTCCAGTAATCCTGTATGGAACAGAGACAGGTTTGTCAACAGACAAATGAAAATCCGAGCACACATTATTTAGTTGCAGAAAGTGAGCTCCTAGAGACCATACACAGATACACAAGCAACTGTATTAGTGCCTATTACACAAAGGCACACAACAAAGTTGCACTGAGTATCATATGACCTTTGTACTCAGTCTATAATTAGTTGCTAGTGATTAGACAGGAAGCAATAAGTATCCTCAGAATTGTGTGCTGTGCACTATTTATAAGCTAGTACACCAAGAGCAGTTCTAAGCAGGCAGACCAGAGATTGCATGTATAGTAATGTAGGCAGAAAAGACACAGACCAAAAGGTATATATACACAGTGATGATCCACACTTGGTGTACCTTGACCTTTTTCAACATCAGATCTGGCAGGTAGTGCTCCAGTGTCAGCATGTTCCACAGCCATCATGTAGGTCTCAGCCTGCGACGAGTGGAGGAGAAACACTTACTACCAACATACTGTGAGTAAAGGGCCACCATACTTGTGATGTGAGAGATGAAGTATGAAAACTACAATGTACAATGGTCTTTCATCTAACTGCACACAACAGAAACAACTTTCATCCTCTTTCTTTGTTGTTGTGTGTATTCTTACGGCCTATCGTGGCCATACATTTGAAGTCTTGCATGGTTCTTCTGCATGTGCACACCCATCACATGAGTTACACCCCATGTCACATGACCATTACACCCATGTCACATGATAGTCACGTGACTCTGATTACCTCCTGGAAGAAGATCTGGGTTCCCTGGAGGATGTGCTGCAGCTCAATCAGGTCCAGCAAATTCCTCTTCAGAGTCTCTTTGTTGGCGTTAATCTCCTTCACCTCAGCCTCCAGAACCTCAAACTTTGACTGCACAGGTAGAGGGGAGGGGGTAGCCACGCCCACAAGAACTATGAATATCATTACCTCCAAGTCGATCATGTCCTGAGGGTCAGGGGCTTGCACGTTGCCTCCTGGTGTTAGCTGGATGTTGACCTTTTTCTCCTCCTCTTCTAGGTAGCCTGCGGAAGAGAGGGAGGGGGAGGAAGGAGGTAGATGGAAGGAAAGGGGGATGAGAACAAGAGAAGAGAAATCTGGACATGGTGAAAGTGTGTTGATCTCGAGAACTCACGAAGCCGTCTCTCCATCTCGTCACATCTCCTGACCTCGTTTATGAACTTCCTTTGGAATGCACTCACTTCCGGGTTCAGCTACACACACACAGAGCATTCATAAATGTTGATATTTAGGCAGAACACAGCATGTATATGTATATACGGCCAATAATCCTGTTGACCCCCAACAAGATGCTGTCAACAAAGCCTTCACACAAATAACTAAACATACAAAGAGAGGAGATAGCAGGTACTCACATCTCTGAACTGGACCTTCCCCAGCTCCCCCAGCTCACGGACACAGGCGTACGCGGACTCCGATTGCAAGAACAGCTGGGCCAGCGTCATGGCCTCGCTCCGGAACAGCGACCCCATCTTGATCAGCTGACGCTTCCCGGCCGACTCTCACTTATCTCTCTGGACGATATCTTCGTCTCTTACGGTAGGCAAACCTGTCCAATGCCAAGTTCGCCTTCTCTATAGTGCTGACCAAGCTGCCTGAACTCGTGATCAAAGCAGAGAACTACGCGCGCATGCGTAAGCTAATTCTGAAAAACAAGTGCGCATGCGCAGATGTGAGCTCGTTGTCGCGCGCGCGGCGCGTTCGTAATTGCATGCACACACTAACCGCGCCCCCCCTCTAGCTCTCTCTCTATATAGCTCTGCTGCCTAGCCCTAGCTAGCTAGATATACCACCAACGTACCTGCGCATGCACAAGTATACAACCCCCAGTAATGGATCTGCCTCTGCCCCCTTGGAAGTGCTGCAGCGTTTGCTCCGTCTCTTCGGAAAAGTGTTCGTATCTGCACATCACCAAACCCTGTGCTCACTTTGTCTGCAGCTCGTGTAAGGTGCCCGACTGTTGCCCTACTTGTAGGACCAGACCCGTCCGCTACGAGGACCTGAACTCTCTCGGGCCGTTTCTAGACGACGTCCTGGACTCGGCTGTACTTCTGCAGAAGGGGATAGGGCTCCAACACAAGCATTATAACCAAAGTTGTGCGCGGGAGAGAGAAATTTTGTCTGCAAGAGGAGGCCAAAATATCCCCATCTCGAAATTTGAGAGAGAAATTTTTCAGTTTGAACGAAAAATCAAGCAGATGCGAAAGTGGAGGAGTGCTAAAATTGCTCTGTTGGCAGATATGGACGCTGTTTTGAATCACCTAACAAAGACGTATAATCTTGAGTGAAGTTTGCTTGCTTCCCTCGTCAGACCTACAACCTTATGTTCCACTAGTATATTTGTGACCTCGGTTTCAAAGCTTCTCATATTATCATCACGTTCCTGTGCCTGTTACATGTAAATTGATTGTTTTTTGAAACCCACGAAAAAAAGCGTTTTAGATGTAGCACAATAGTCCCAAAGTACTACCGTACTTAGTGATATATACTCGGGACTGAATTGTATAGCTACCAATGTCATAAAAACCAGATAATGGAACCAAATTCAGTGATAGGTCTGTTGTGAGTCCAGTGGGCAAGCTAGTTACATAACAAGGCATTTATAGCTACAGTGAATTTTGTGCACTGAAACTGGACACAAGCAAAATAATATGTTGTTGTACCAGTATGGCTGTGAAGAACTGTTTATACGATGTTTCTGTTGGTACTAGATTCCCAACTGATTCACTTATTCTCGTGAAATATGAGCAGTCCGCCTGATAGTGCAGTTGGGAAAGTGACTTCCCTGGGCGCACGCTAGAGGGTGCGGTGTGTATGCATGCACACACAAGGTACTGATCAAGAGATCGTGGCGTTACATGGGTTATGATTAGTCACCCAGCATCAAATATTTGTATCCATATTCCCTTTCGTTGCTACATAGTGCTTGACCCTAGAATTAAGTAGTACGTTTAGACCACGTATCAAACATTAATGCTACTGTACATGATCCACCAACTTCCTACAGAAGGGTAGTAATGTCTATGATTCAGCTTCAGTCTATTGCTGCTCTAGGTAGAGCTCTAACCAAGGGCCACAGCCACTAGTAGTATCATCAGTAGAGTGTCAGAGAGAGTCACTGTTGCACCGCTCGGACCAGGACTAGGACCAGCGTCTATGAAGGCATGTGGAACACCATTGATGAGGTAACAGTATGTGTGGTTAGCTGGCAGAGGAAGAGAATCAGTGTATGTAAAGAAGCGATTGGTATCTCCAGGAGCAAGGATGACACTTGTGGCATTTAGCCCAGCCTTGCAACCTCCAGTCTTTGGTCCCGTCCCAAATGCCAGTGTGACAGTGTAGCTATCATTACAGTATCCATTGACTCTCCCTGTCACAGACAAGTAGTCTGGTTCCATTATATCTGCTACCAACTCCAGTGAACGCACTGTGTAAGGGATAGGAGCATAATACATTGAGCAAAACATTTTTATTAAAGACACTTACAATCATATGTTCGTGAAAAGAATAGACTTGAAAAGCCTCTGTCCATAGTTGTGGTCTGTGTGAAGTTAGCCTTGTATAATCCATCTCCAGGGATGATGGCCCTGCAGCTGTCAGAGGACAGACACCAGCAAATGTGCTGCTGGCTCCACCCATTGCTCTAGTGCTAGTGAAAGTAAGATTGACTGAGCAGTGGAACATTGTAATTACCTGTTCCATATTGACATGATAGAATCAGGAAAATGGTGACCAACACCACTCCCTGTGGAGAGAGGAATAGACAGAAGTGACTGTTAGTTTAAGCAAATGGCTTATTTCTGTTACAGTACATTTAGTGTCATGGTGACACAAGGGAGGGTTTAACTCTTAATGCAAACATATTCCCAGTACTTTGGGTGTGGGTGACTATCTATAGAATCTCTCGTGTTTATATTTTGGCACAGGAGAATGTATGGCACATTTGCTCCTGTACAACAGTACATGTAGTTAGAAATCTCCACTCCTGTACATTTTGGCACAGCAGATGTGTAAGACCTTCCGCTCCTAAAACAGTGAGCAATATCTACATATTGTATACGGGACGTGTGGAAATATGCCATAATTGTCCTCACCTAAGCCTCATAGCTAGCATTACACTGCAATAACTGAGTTATGTGCCCTGATACAGCAAACGGCCCCCATAACACGAAAACCAGTTTGTGTCACTGCAGCAGTGTTGTTTGCGACTAGCTAGCTACGTATTTCCCGGTTCCCGGCTACACTCTACGGGTCAGTCTCAAATGGAGCTCAAGATAATAGCTCACCTCTCGAAATAGAAACAGCATTTTCCTCAGCGGCCGTTCCACGTCGTCAAACTGCAGTCTGCAGTCAATTATGTATATACGCTCGACTCAGCGATACCGGCGCGGAGCGAGCGCATGCGTAAAACGAGCAATGTTACTTGTCTCGCGCGCCCCGGATGTGACCGGCCGCACTTCTGTAACCGGCAATCAGTGCGGTAAATTAACAATATGCCTTACAGCATATATAATACAAGGACAGTTGCCTAATTTCTTTTGCCTTTTGTTAGTTTCCTCTGTTGCTTTCTCCGACTCAGCGATTGGATCAACCCTTTGATTGGACCGAAAGAGGAATCAATTGCACCAGCATGTACCCTTTCATCGATAACTATGGGGTTGGGTGATAGATACTCAGAGTTGTTCACCTGATCTTGAGTGTTCAGTAAAATGGACAGCTTTGATGAGGGATGGGCAGACTTCATGACTTGCAACCAGAGGTAACCAAGCCAATGCTCACGGTCGGGAAGGTTAGGGTTTGCAAAGAACCCTGCTGGCTCTATTACAACCTTGTGGGCTGCAATTTCATCTACCCCTGAACGAATCAGTGCCTCGCGAATCTCATTTTCCCATTGATATACTGTAACTATGAAGTCGTGACAAATCTCATCACTTGTAGTTGACTTTATACTTGGAGGAACGCAGTTTGCAAAGGTGAGGACAATTATGGCATATTTCCACATGTCTTGACCGAGTGATTCAGTAACTATCTTCATTCCTTCAATCATTTTGCCGATAAGAGGCCCTTCCCTCATATCTATGCAGTAGAGCAAGAGATCGGGGTCGCATTTCTCCTTCACTTGTAGCACGTACTCACGCTCATTTCCCTTCCCATCAAACAGACCTGGCGAATCCCAGACGTTTATTGAGAATGTTTTCGAATCTGTGGCGGTAGCACCAAGGTAGATAGTCGTTTCTCGAGCTTGATAACATGCTGTTGTATGGGACCCTTTGGTGACGGGAAGAGTGGGTTCTTCCCCAAAGGAATCCACCACCACTGCTCCACACAACCCATTGACTAGTGAGGATTTCCCCGCACCGGTACGCCCCATTAGCACAACATTTGCCTCTGGCTTTGACTGCTCAACGAGAGCTCGGAACTGAGGCAACTGATGGTGACTAGTAATTCCAAGAGCACTCAGTGTTTTGTCGCTCACTTCAAACATATTCTTCAGCTCCTCTAGGCACCGGCAGAGCTGGTCAGCTGTTGGTCTGTCTTTACTCTTGTCTTTGAGGCAGTCTCTAATGACTGGGAGAAAACGACTTCAGGCTGGGACCTCGTCAATAGCTAACTTTCTTCGGTCAACCTCTGAAACCGGAACATAGCTTACGTTGGTAGGAGATTTTGGATCTGTCTTTGTGACAAATGCTTCACCAGGAGCAGGGAACTTTCTGGTGGCAATCTGGAGAAGGAGAACTCCAATGGAGAATGTGTCGATCTTGTCAGAATAGCTAGGCTTAGGACAAAGGGCCTCTGGTGGCATGTAGACCAGTGTTCCTGGACACTGGGTCACCTTACTGCGGGTCATGGAGGAATCGGAGGCTGCAATCTTGGACATGCCAAAGTCGGTCACCTTGGCCTGGTGGCTGGCATTCAGGAGGATGTTGTTGCTGGACAGGTCTCGATGGAGGATGCTATTCCTGTGCAGGTGAGCCACTGCTAGAGCTATGTCGTGGGAGATGTTCACTTGGACATGGTAGGGTATGTCGGTTGGCGAGCTCTCCAGAAAGTGTGTCAGACTGTCCTTCATCAGCTCCATGAGGAGAATGGGCTTGTTGGTGGCGGGGTCTTGGACCACACCTAGGAACTGGACAATGTTGGGGTGTTTCAGGTCTCGCAGGATCTGGCACTCCTGCTCAAATCGAGAGATGAAATCAGAGAGTCCGGGGTCCTGGGAGTCAATGAAGACTCGATGGAGGATTTTAGCAGCACATGGCTTTTTATCCAGTGTTGCCTTAACTACCTTCCCATATGATCCTGAGCCAAGGACCTGGGGTGTGTGGATCACCACATTCTGGTAGCCGTAGAGACCTTTGAGATTCAGAGATATGTCGTTGGGACCCTTGGCCTGAGATAGAGATTTTAAAAACCAATGACAAACAACACAACATTTTGTTCCAATTAGTAAGTTTGTAATAAAATTATCACTACTAATTGCCATAGCATCCCACAAGCATTCTTGTGACGGCGCACCCAGTACCCAAGGCAGAATTATTGTTATGAGGCACAAGGGCCACCCCTGCAAGATGAACTTTTTAGCTGTTCGTGGCTCCTAAAGTATACACAATATCTGGACATTGTAATCTTTCTAGTCGCGGCGTGCTTATTGTCGACTAATACACAACGTAGCTCGCTAGCTAACCAAGGTCTTTGAAAACTCAACTGGACCACCTTTTCTAGGTTAGCTAAAGTTTCTGCAGTGCGGAGATCAATAGATCAGACAAATCCCTGACACAGCAACTGCAACACATCCATACCTTCGAATTTTCAGCTCCCATGATACTTGGTGGCTTAGCGCAGAAATCCAGTGCAGTTATGTAACATGGATGCGCACGCACGCACACGGATATGGGAATCACACGGAGCATGCGTGCATGCTGAAGTGCGTAGGTTGTAGACCAGGGCGACGTAAAAAGTACGCCAGATTGTCCGCGCCGCGAGCAGCAGCAGAAAGGTGCATTCAGGACAATAAAGTGAGTCTCTCTTTTATAACCATGCATTTGGATATTGTGTTGGAGCTAAATCCGTATGAAGCGTAAAATTGCAGCTACATAAGCCAAAAGGTGTATTTTGCTTGCAGCTCCAAGTACCCTTGAAATGTAGAGTAGACATGGGGTGAATACCGTTCATGGTTCTGCTCGTTATTCTGTGAAGATACTGAACGGGAGAGACAATATGCGGCGCGGTGTACAATCAGGCGGTCGCTGAGATTGTGTAGCGAGCTCAGTGACCTTAGCGGAGGAGCTGAGAGCCGTCGGTAGCACGCGGGACAGGACGTGCCTGAGCTGTTGACTCGAGGGTATTTTGGCGGAAATGTCACTCAATATACACAGCAGCCATTATTCTCACATATTGTTTACATCCAAATTGGGAAAGAACGTTTGTGCAAGTGGAGGGCGGAATTCAGAGGAGTCTATTAGACCAACTCCAGCTGCTGTTTACTCAGCTTTCCACCCATCTCAGGAACTGCCCCACATTCCACTAGTTAGCACACTCTGTAGCTAACTAGAGCTGGGCACAAACTGGTTTGCTAGGATTCTGAGGGAGAGCTACATAAAGAACCTCTCTGCTTTTGGGTATGCCTGCAGTATGCATCTGGTCTGTTTCAGCAGTGCTTTTGAAACGAAGGGTGTTCTATTGTGTGCTTTTGTATTCGCGAGTCTGATTTGAAGGCTGTTTTCCTGGCCTGCTTGTTTTGGCTGAGCTCCCAGCCAGCCAATTAATTAGCTCTGCCCCCTTTTATCCACCACAATTACCAATTGGACGAGGGCCTAAAAGGGCCTGAAATTGAGTTCGGATTAGACGAGCAAGTTGAGCATGAAATATTGTACCACACGAAATGAATTAACACTGAGGGACTCAACTGGAGTGCAGGTCAGACGGACACACCCCTACACTACCCTCTCGATCCAGGGGGAGGGTTTCTGACGTGGTATGATGATTACTGCCTGATTGTTTACCATGAATAACTCTAGGTCAGGTCAGTCTCCCATGAACACAGTGCTCTCTGGGTGTGGATGACTGTAGTCAGAACTTCTGTTTCTAGCAGAATAATAGCAGTAGGTTCCTCTCATTTCTCCTGGGACCAATTGTTCCACTGGCTGACCACATTGTACATTCCAGAGACCTATTAGTGCACGGTTTATTGCAGGAGAGGGTTTAATAGTGTGCACCAAGATCACGCCACAGTACCACTGGGATTATAATGCACACACCCTCTCTTGGGCTGGCTGACTTAGAGATCATGCCATTGTTCTTTCAAGTGTGTGTATTAGTGCCAGATTGGAATGTTCAACCTGAGCTCAGAAGGTATATAGAGAAAAGGGAGTAGTTACTGCAGTGCATCTCAATGGTTTTCTGAGGTATTATACTGCATAAGCACCTAATGGAGATGCTTTTGTAACTGGCACCCTTAAAGGAATAGATCAATCTCTCCATTCTTGTACCGACAATAGCTGTAGTAAGCAAATAAACTGAGGTGAATAAGGTGTAGTTCTAGTTGTATGTCTTTGTGAGAGAAACACACACACTACCTGCATTTGGGCTGGTTTACTACTTCATATCTTGCTGGTACACACTGAACAACGCAATAAATAGAAACCACAGATGTCAGTGGTAGTGCAGTAGTTCTTCATTTGTCACGCATACTGTTGTAGGTCCTGTCGTGATTATCACCTGATTTATTGCCTCTTTCAGAAACCTGTTGTATGTCTGATAAGAGACACTGTGTCATCTCATAGGATGACTGCATGTGCTCATCCAGGAGTTACCTCATACTGTAACATTTGGTGCTCAGAGTTGGTTGCATGGTGCACACATTGTGTAATTACAGGCTGGACATTCCATGTGTGCTGGATGATAAAAGCCACAATAATTATGAACTGACAATAACTGAGCTCTATCTAGCCTCCCTAGCTGTGGAAGAGTTCAATGTTTTTGGGTGGACATGTTACCATAGAGTGTGTGCCAAAGGAGCTTGTCTTCACTTCTTTCTCTGACAAAACACTGGTGTGTTATGCTAATCAGTGTTGGGACTGACAGGATTTGTGTTTGCATGCTCCCAGAGTCAGTGTACAGTAGTATTAATGCTCTGTGTTTGTAACACGGCTCCATAGCTGGTAAACATGATGGAGAGAGGTAAGGGGCTCCATGATGATAGAGTGATAACAAAGGGAAATACTTTGGAGTTAATTTTTGGACATCAGTCCAGTGACAAGTGAGAAGTTTACAATGACCTTGTGAAAATGAAGGCTAATCTCAATAGTAGCTCACACGCTTTGCCTGAATTGGAGTATAACATGCTGCCTCAGCTGGAAGTGGGTGCACGCATGAATGATGCAAGAATAGGTTTGTTGAATGTCCTCAGGCCCCTTTGCCCTTCATCTGTACCACACATTGTATAGCTCAGCATTTAATAGTAGTAGCTATCAGGTATTACAAAGGTTAGGGAATGTGTTACCAAAAGACACTACCTTTACATCTGTGCTGAGATAAGGGTTAAACAGAGGCACAGGGGTGGTAGTGAGGTCAACAATAGACCTGAGGTATGCAGCTTTACTTTCATCCCTGCTGATGTAGCTCAGCTGGTACTCATGCTGTGGTTTATTGTAGAGAGGTATGGCTTCATTCGCCTGCCTCTTGCTCTCACCCACCACTTATTTAATAGTTACACTTTCATTGTTATAGGTAATTTGCAGGAATGTGTGGTCTAGCTTGCAGGGATAGGGCTTCATGCTTAGCCTGGAGCACATAGTGTGGAAAACACTAACACTTAGTTTCCACTTTCATATGACAACTGCTCAAGATGCCTTTCAACCTGGATGGAATGTGTATGTTTTAGATCATCCTTCAGCAACTGTGTGCGAGGGCCATACCTCTGTGGGAATAAACCCCATGACACCCATGCTCAAATCACATGTTCGGCTGTTATACAACAGATTACTTGACTAGTGTGTGGGCTGAGTTTTAGGTATGACATCGTTGCCTTATGGAGATGTTAGTGCTGCTCCATTTCCCATGCATGCCCCCCATCCTGTGCTCTTTACCAGTTGCCACTACCTCTTCACACAGAAGACTGGGAGGCATGACTGGTAGGCATTCCTGGTCCAGTGTGATAGTGATTGGTCAGTTGTGATAGGAGTACAATTGACCTTCCTTTTGGAAGACTGGCTGTGTGGGCTGGTGAGGGCTGATGAATTGAGTAATGCAGCATTACCTTGTAGCTGGAGGTAATGACCGTATCATTGCTCACTTCTCTGCTCTCCACTCAATCCTGCATCTGATGTGAAACACTCAACGTTGTGGCTACAGTTAGCTTCATTCATTATCTCAATGCATGTTCGTTTGCAGTAATGATCATAAACATGATAAATAAACATGCTTATGATAATCATCCTCACATGATATCAACTGAGTAGTCTCTGTACTCTGACCCCACTGTTTATAACAGTTGTACATACTGACTCTGTATAATCATGTTGGACTGTCTTTATAGCTCCTTCACTACTGTCAAGGCTTATCTCAGGGACTTCTGTTTGTTAGAGTCTGGGCACGCATGGTCTCTATAGTACACCCATTGGCTCCAGATCTGGGCAGTCACTGCTCTGCCAACTGTTGAGATAGAGAGACTCTGTCAAAACAGCCTCCCACACCTACATACCTGTCTCTCATAGACCACTACCCACACGTGAATGCACATGGTCTGTGATCACCACACTCACTTCCTGTTTCTTCCCCACAGTCTGGCCACACCCACTTACAAATTGAGAACACCACCACCAGCTATGGCAGAGGACAGCCTACTTTATGATGTAATCCCTCACCACACGGCCTCTCCTCGGAGGGCGCGAACCCTAAACCGACCCCCGGGGTACAGGGGGACCAGCAAACCTCCGACTCCCCCTCCCCCTCGGTTCATCCCTGTCCCTCCAATTCCTCCTCGTAATAGGATGAGTGGAGAGGATGATCGTGGAATGTCCAGCAGTTTTCCCTATTCCTCTGCCTCTTTCAATGAGCGTCTGGGACCCAGGACAAAATCCACCAGCTCTACTAATGGTGAGTGGTGTTTATTGGACCACATGTTTCTGCTAAAGGGAGGGAGCTTTAAAACTGAAATTTTGCTGCGTTGTTGACGGATGAATCTACTACACACACTCCATTTTTTTAGAGAAACCTTAGCCAACGTAAATTCTCCAGTCATATTATTATGCAATAGACCGGGTGCACATCATGCTACTCAGTAGCATGTTCTGGAAGAATGTTGTTGATGTAGTAAAAATATCCCCGTGAACCGTTTGTGTGCAGTCCAGACTGAATGTTGTCTTATGTTGATAGATATCTGTTGACACATACTATGTCATTCCCAGAAACTAAAAAAAACTGGTTCCATACCTGTTTGAGTGTCCCGACATTGCTGACAATCCAGCAACTGCTTGCTATACAATGTTGTGCACAAACATATGGAATTTTTTTGCACCAACAAAACGATATCAAAGGCAAAGGTAGACACAATGACACCCAGGGCAACTCTTTTCCATGGAAAAAAGAGCTGCCCTGGGTGAGATTTAAAATCACAACACATGCAACTGTAGGCGAGCGCCCTTCCAGCTGAGGTACCATGCCAACAGTCATCACATTGCCCCTGCTTATCATTGTGCACATGGTGGTCAACATGACTTACCATCATCCACTGGCAGTTTTAGTGATTTCATTGTGTGACATTGCACTTTGCTGTATACCTTCCGATGTGGGGCAGTGGGTAACGTGATAACTTTTAGCAAGGATCTTTTGGAGGTATTTTGGAAGTGGTCTTTCTGTGTTATTAGGCTGTAATGTACAGGGGCGCCTCCTGTGAATAAACAGCTATGTTTGTCTCAATGGAGCTACACCGGCACTTTTGGTTTCGTAACAACAGCTCAGTGTGTATTGTAGGTTAGTCTGATGTGTGATTTTCTGCTTACAAAGGATTCGGGTGGACTCCCTTTTAGCGAATGGAGCTTGGGTGAGCGGGCATAATGCACTTTGCAGTGTAGTTTGTGTCCAGAGCTGCAACTAGCATGTGATTTCACAGGATTGGGTGCATCTTTCAATGAGTTTTTTCCAGGTTGCATCTAAGTCAAGAATGGGCATTAAAATTTCCAGGGACTGCATGTATGAATGCATGGTGTCAGGTGATGCTCACGTGAGAGTCTGAGAACTTTAGCGGAAGCCTACTCTAGTAGCAACAGCTGGTGCTGTGTACACACCAGATAACTAGCCATATATACTGTTTGTACACTGGGACACTGCACAATCCAGACACCAGTGGCTTGCCTATAAAACCTGTGGCAGCTACTATCAGATACTACCTGGAAACCAGCAAGGCTACATAGCTCTATATAGAGCCAGGTTCGGCCCAGGTTCAGTTAGTTGTAGTAGTGTGCATTGCAGAGTGTGCAGTAGTGGACTGCAAAGCTGCAGTCTTAGGAAAACCCAGGCTTCAAAGACACTGAAATAGTTGCTGGTGATTGATGTGTGCAGATCTAGTTCAGCACCCACAGCCTTCTGGAGTAGTGGAGCACACCAGTGCCGATTTCAAAACAGCTACAGTCAGCAGCTAAACCTTCAGTCTTCGAGACTCTGCAGCTCATACAGCTAGTTTGGACCTGGTGAAGACACCAGTTTTGCAGGGAGCCCGTTCTGTCGAGTGGTGTAGCTATAGCTAGGTGTCAAGTATCCAAAGACACTGACTCTGAAATAAGATTGTGACTGCTAGGGCTATAGCTAAAGGAAAGTGGACAGAACTGAGCCAGGGAGTGTGCAGTACCAGATGGCGACCAGCAATGTTGTAATCAGTTCTCCTCTCATCAGTAAACCCCTCGTAACACACCATGTCAATGAATATGAGGTGGTCCATCTACGTAAGTGACATTACATCACTGTGATGTAATCAGTTTTGTAAGTGCATGGTTTATAGGTGGTGTAGGATGGTGTGATAAGATCCTAACTTCCTGTGTCTTTGTCAAAGATCTGTAGTAAACCTATTGTCACATCTTTGACAATAGATTTGGTGCAATCAACAGGTGGCAACCATTGACTAGTGTGCATGTAGTAACTGCCCTGGTTTGGAGGGCCATTCTACTGCACCCACATCACTGTCTCCCTGCTAGCTTCCAGAATTTGGTAGGAAACTAAACAAACTCAGGGCTCCTAAAGCTTTCAAAATTAACTCCAAACTCTATGAACTGGTCTAATATCTACAAAAAACGTTTCTCCTGAAGTTAAGATTGCACCAGTGTTCAACAACACATCGACAGGAGATGGTCACATAGTTGTCAGTTGTCACCCTCTTTCCTCTCCCTCCCTCCCTCCCTCCCTCCCTCCCACAGCCCAGCACATCCTCTCCAAGTCCCCCAGTGTGGCATCTGTAAACTCCACCCACTCCACAGTCGAGGAACTCCTTCTTAACGAGTTACTTATCAAATACTCCAAAAACCTACCACTGAAGGTCCGAGTGAGCAAAGGTTTCCTTGGCGTATCCGAGGAAACAGCAATCAACACTGGTGAGTCATGTGACGCTCATGTGACACTGTTGTCATGGGAACCTCTCCTCAGACGACATCCTGAAACTCCACTTCATGAAGCACAGTAAGGTGGTAGTCATGGAGACGGGGGAGAGGGTTAGCCTGAGTGTGCCGCTGAGCTCTTACCTCAAGTTCTCCATTCTCTATGACCCCAACAACAACTTACAGGAGGCCATGAAGGGATTCAAGTTAGTCTCATTGACCCCTCTAGTGACCCCTCTAGTGACTGTATACATGTGCATGTGGTGCATCGGCTTTTTAATATACAGTGAGCCATAGTCCCCATAGATTTCATGCACAGTCTATCATGTTAGGGGTATGCGATGGTAAAAGAGAGACAGTTCACCATGGCTCGCTATAGCACACCAGCACATCAGACTCCTCTTTAATGGTCCAACTCATGTTGGGCTCATTATTGAAAATTTCCTAGAATTAATTTTCAAGCCATAATATTATTGGTCAAATTTTTTTGCTACCTACACAGTCACACACATACTCTATGCTCCCACCTCCCTAATCTCAATGCAGGTTTGAGACGGTGGGAGACCTGCTGGCAATAAAGGGGACACTCCCTCGTATCATCAGAGCCACTAGATCCTTCTCCACTCCCTCCCCCGATGCCTGCGTGGCACAGGACGAACTACTCATACTCAAACAGACCAGGAAGTCAGGTCAGCTCAGGCACCTGCTAGCTCTAGGATCACATCTCCTGTGTTCAGATGTAGTGGTACTTAATTCGCGAAATCATGGTCGTTGTCCGCGCAAATGTCACATTAAGATTTCATGAATTGAGAACCACTACATCTGGTATATTCGGGACGTCTGCAGATAGCAGCCATGTACAAAACACTCTGACTTATGGTGATGTAACTTTGTAGTGGATTTCTCTACTCCACAGTGGCATACTACATTATACCCTACTCCCGACTGTGGTTGTGATGTTATGCAGAATTTAAATACTATTGTCATGTGACGATATGAAGCTAGTAAAGTTTTGGTGAAATTTGAGCAAGAGAGCGTACTTTCTACAACTAAACACTATCTCTGAAAGTGCATGAATTCGGCCATTGATGACATATACCCAGAGGAGCTTAAACTAAAAAGAACATCTGAATCACCAACAACACTGTCATACTTAGATATACATATAACTATAACAAATGGGAAATATTCCACGGCAGTATATGATAAACGGGATGATTTTAACTTCAAAATTGTAAATTTTCCATATCTAAGTTCCAATATTCCATCTGGACCAGCATACGGAGTTTATATTTCCCAATTAGTACGTATAGGTAGAATATGTAGTGAATACTCGGATTTTACGTTGAGACATTTCAAACTAACGGAGCGACTGATTCATCAAGGATACAGATACTCTGATTTGTGCAGGTCCTTTTATAAGTTTGCTAAAAAGCACGCACAAATTATGATTAAATATAGCTACGGCATACGCAAACATGTGGAGGATGGTATATGTCTGCCAGCAATGGATAGATTCCTCAGTCGCCATGTGTCGCATAGATAGAATGTATATTTATAGTCACATATTTATTTTGAATAATCTATTTTTAACATTTCTATTTCTACCATTTCTACTATTATTTATATTATTTATATTTTTCTTACACGTGTATATGCTGTGCGTTATTTAAAGTAATCGACAGAACTATTAATCTTATTTTAGGAGTTCTATTTTTTCTATTTTTCTTACACGTGTATATGCTGTGCGTTATTTAGAATAATCGCACGTTTTTTATGTCTCCGTCGTGTCGTCGTGCTGCGTGAGTTTCAGAGTTTTTTTTATTTTTCTATGAGTTTATTGGTCCTTTGAGGCTTTCTATTTTTCTACCGGCTGTTGTTTTTATCCTGTAGCTGTCGTTTTTTGTACATGATTTCTATCTATTTATTTTATAACTATGTGTAAGGGAGGTTGGGACACTGGGTGTGTAGGGAGAGTTGGGCCCATAAAAGACTCTTTAACCTACCGCCCCGGTTCTCAAGGCTGGGCACCCAGGGTCCTGCCTCTTTCTTTCTGTTTATATGTTATTGTCTGTGTTTTTGTACGCTTGGGTATGTTATTGTCTGTGTTTTGTGTGCTTGGGTGGGGGAGGTTCTTTCTTTTCCTCTGAGCTAGTATGCTATAAACATGTTTTTTCATGATTCTTGTTTTTGGTGTTATAAGTAAACAATTGTTTCTTGCTAACTGCAACAGTTGCGATGTGTTGTTCTGTTGTGTATCAGGCAAGCAGCTGAAGGTGTACAGTCTCACGACTGGGAAGAAGAAGACACTCTACGACAGCTGTGCTGGCCACTTCACAACTGCACCAGAGGTGAGAGAGCAGTGTGAGAATAGAACACACAAGACACTGGCACATACTCTGCAGTGACTTTTTACATTTCATCAAGTCCAACACTTTCTGCTTGCACTCTTGGACAAACTCGCTCTATTCAATAGTGCATTGATTTTATGAGTGCATAATGTTGGGGAGTGAAAACTGGCAAATTTCTTCAGTTTTATTTGACGTTGCACCTCTTATTGTAATGTCCTACGTGATTCTAAAAATACACACATGCATGTAACTATTTCACAATCGTTGCTGCAGCGCTTGGGCCTGTACCTCTCAGGTTCGCTTGCCAAAAATGCTCATTCTAGTATATAGGGAGAGAGTAAGATAGAGTATGTGGTATAACACTGAGCACCGTGTTCCACTATTATAGTTCCAGTGGTAAGATCAGAGTTATCTAGTTCCGACATGATGTGTGGCTATGTTGCCTCAGCTACTGATATCATGGGTTGTGTCAACATTATAGTGACCCTTGACCATAGTGACTGCCTTTACTTCTTCCCAGGATATAGGTGTATATCTCTCAGATGTGACGGTACATGCTCAGGAATGCATGCCCTGCAAGGCTGTTCTCTATGTCAGAGGTAATCCTTATCATCCTACAGTGTAGACTGCTTACTCAATACTCATTTAGATAACTAGTGGAAATGTTGAACATTGTTGGCGAGCGGGAGCGACCCAACTTGGATTTGCCAGCCATGTTCGGGCTGCATAACGTGCCCTTTCGTGAAAGATAGATCTACCTGTCGTCGTTACATGCGTATTGTACATTGGCAGAACGGTACTTACCTTACGCTTTCAGCTCGACAGTCACCAGGCAACTGGCATGCAGCAGTATGTGCACGAGCAATCCTAGCGCATTTGCACCTTGGAACCATGAAGATTGGGAAGAGGTATATTTATACAGCCTTGGTCAGTCACCGAAGGTTGCAGCGCATGCTGTCGAATGGAGGAGACTGAGAGTTCTCTCGCTGGCTAGATTGATCGGCGCATTATCGCCGTGTGTGAAAATGTGTAAAAAATTTCGGATAAAAAGAAGCGCGTACAAAGACGCGCATGCGCATTTACACGACCTACCAACGATAAATAAATAAATAAATAGAAAAATCGGCCCGTTGTGACGACTAGGTTGGCTCGCTCCCGCTCGCCAATCATACCTGTAATTGTCATTCGTATAAATAGTGTATGCACGTGGAAAAGATTTGAGACTCAGCCAGAGTCAGAAATAATATGAGCGTTGTCACGTGCTACCTGCCGCACTACTCATAGTGAGAAACGTATCAAGGAAGAAGATTGAATATAGGAGGTAAACGGTTCCAGAGCAATTTTACAAATGATTTGCAGGCAAACTTTCTCCCTCCAAAATCTCCCACTGATGTGGTTGGAATGTTCCCATGTTAATGGATTGCGAATTCTGTTAGTGAAGACATGTGTCCTGTGCACCATGGCTGCAGGGAAGGAGAGCAGTGGAGTCCTGGAAGACCTGCATGAGAAGATGGTCACTCTCAAACACACCACCACCGAGAGCTCTGTCATAGCAACCAGGTTAGTGGGCGGGTCAATCGAGACGTAAAGAGTTTGTAGGGATTAACAAATTTGACAGTCCAAACCAGAACTTCTGTCCTTTTTTGCATTCTGAAGAAAAAAACACTTTCACTTATCCATCATGGTCCACATTAATTGCATATTTGACAACGATTTAGAGATTTGAATCCTGTAAAAATTTTACGGCCCGTTGTTCTGTATGTTGCCAGTGGTCTGTGTGAAGAGGGAGATACTGGGGACGTGTATGAGATGCCAGCAGATCTGGACATTGAGGTGGAGGCCATTGCTCTGGATGAATATGAACAAGAGGCCCTCAGAGGAGACACCAAGTGAGTGAGGGGACTATATACTGTCAGACTATTGAGCTAACATGTAGTCTTCTGAGGAGACGAAGCTAGCTACATTGTTTATCGTCGTGCAGTAAAGAAAGTCCCAATTCCAAGAGAGGAAGAACAGAGTTATTTCTTTCTCTCTACATGAAAAAAGTAAAAAGCTCTTTTTTCTCTCCCTCTCTCCCTGCCTCCAGAGACCTCTACGAGCTGTTTGATCCATTCTCAGTGACCCTCTACATCCCCAAGTCCTCCAAGAGGCTCTACGACATCCAGTGTGAACTCTACAAGGCAGTCAACACTGAGTTGACAGGGCTAGAGATAATGAGGCCACACGCCATCAGTCTCGGGACGAAATCCTCGGCTCCTCTCCTCCGAAGTCAGAGCAACGGAACTCCTAGTCAGAGCAGCAACGGAACTCCTAGTCACTGCAGCAATGGAGGCTACCAGGCTCTCACACACAAACACAATCCCAATCATTGCACGGACTATTACGTGGTCATGTCACCCAACAGAGCTGCCATTAGCGAACACGACTCTGACGTGTCTGGGGAGTCGACTACCAGCGAACATTTCTCGATCATGGCTCAGCACAATCGGGGAGTGGACGACCAGCTGGGGAGGGTCATGGACGAGCTCCAGGGCCTGCGGGGAGAGATGGCCAAGATGCAGGTCTTTACGGAGCATCTGCGCAAGTTCTGTGAGAGTCTGCAGACCCAGATACGGATGATGGGGACTGGTGGAGGGGCCTCAAGTGGTGGTGGGCTGGATTATTCCAGAGCTCCTGCCTCTCTGCCTGGTGAGACTTCCTCATACCCACATACACACCTGCAGTGAGCTGCATAGTAGTGCATGCAGCATCAACGGTATAATGATAATGTTGTGAGGGATTGTGGACCTTATGCATTATCACTGCATCTTGTGATTTCTGCACTTTGCCCAAGAGTTTGTAACTCTAGCATGACACTCTGCATTGGGAATAAATCCTGCACAAATTTGGGGCTCAAAGTCCTTTCCATTCCATGCGTATGGCCCAGGCATCAGGCAAGTACCGCTGCTAGAAGCTGCGCAGTAAGGATTGTTTTCTCAGAGCCTATGACAAAATAATGAGTCCTGATGGTGTGTTGAAACCCTCTCTCCTATCTCTCCCCCTCTCAGGAGAAGATAACTACAGTCTACTGGCTGGTCCAAGTCCCCAAAGACGGAGCACGTCGCCAGGGAATGCCTGTTCAGAAGTGGCCCAACTATCCCACACTCAGGTACACACATTAACAGGTAGAGAGGTAGGCAGCAATAATGGGACAGCCTCAGAATAAGCGCCAACACACACACAGACAGACACACAGACAAACCAAGTACTGTAACCCTCGCTGCGCATGCGTGGCAAGGGTTAATTACGTGCATATTTTAGCAGTAAAGATTTTTAATAAAACTCCTATCACTATGATCTGCCAAAGTTTTATCAAATCATTACTATGCACCCAGACAAACAGAGAAATGCAAAGAGTTTACCCTGCAACAAAAGCTCTATAGCTTCAAGGTTTAACTAATTCTCTGGCAATGCTGTAGGTACAACAGCTGCTGGAGAGTATTGGCATGAGCCAGTATGTGGAGATGTTTAGTAAAGAGAGGATTGATGGAGAGGTGCTGGCTGACATGGACCATGAGATGATGGCTGATCTCGGCATCTCCACCAAGTTCCATAGAATGAGACTTACAAAGGTCAGCTACTGAGGTCATTGGTGTAGGTGTCTAACATTGTCAGCCTGTGGAACTGCACAAATGCCCCTTACCTCATATCAGCCACTACTGCATTGTCAATACAGTGGAACCCCACTAATCAAGATAACGTTAGAGAAGTGCCTTTTTGACATTTTAAGTTCAAGAAGGTGAATTATTGAATTTCATGGGTATACTTGAGAGCTTTGGTTTGTAGATTACTGCATGGAGCCCAAACACACGTTTTTCTTAATGTCTGTCTCTACCCTTCTCCCCACTTCCCCTGATTGCAGGTAATCAAAGGGGAGCACTCGGCAGCCAAGCAGATTCTGCGAGGAGAGAGTCCACATGCCTCGGAGCAGAAACCGGAGTCAATGTACTCCATACCCCGCAAGCAGGAGTCGCCCACCTCCTACCCCACCTCCCTCCCCTCCTCCCTGGGCTCCGAATGAGGCTCTCGCACACCACCACAGGTCAGAGTTCACTCCACCACCTACAGCTCCCTATCACTAATCTTATTTCATGTACAGGCTTTATCATCCGAGGACAGTGAGAGAGAACATTTGTCAGTCATAGAGTATGTGCCTCTCTCCTTTCTCTGTGTTCTGTCACTGGTTCCAGTGGTTATTAGTGTGCTTTCTTTCATGCCTCCATTGGTTTGTTGAGGTTGTAATTATTTATTATGATTTTGTTTTTTTGGATGTGTTGTACATGAAAACTGCTGCTAAGATTCATGCGCATGCGCATAATCGATGAACTAGCGATGGAGGCCGACCTATCTGCACTAATGGACGATTTTCTCTCTCCTCCTTTCCTCTGCTGGCTGGCCAGAGACGGTCTGTGGACTCATCCTGGACTGATACCAGTTTGGGGTGGCTGCTGGACTCTATTGCCGTGGTCGGCGAGGGCCGTCTTCCTCTCAGCCGCTGGTGCCGGTGTCCTCGTAGCTGGATCTCTGCTCTACTGTCGGCTGCGGCGGGCGAGGAGAGGAGGGAGCGACAGTAGCGACGCGGAGAAGGAGTGTTCATCACACAAAGTACGACAGCGAAACGTGAGATATTTTATTTGCATCCGAACACCACAGCTGTTGGCACACAGCTGAACTTCAGTGTTTTTGTGCATCTCATTGACCTGTAAGAGCGTTGATAGCTAGGCAAAGATCTGTAGCTAAGGAAGTGAGGAAACATGTGCTGCAGCCCACCAACTCACCCACTAGAGGCAAGCAACACCTCTCAGAGACAGAGATTATCATAGTTGACTATAGCCAACACCCAAGATGAGATGCTTTGGGAAAACCTCGTAGATAATTTCAAGAAGGGTTCAACTTTGGGCTGAGTGAACACTCAACCAGGGCTGAGTGAACGGGAAGAGTTATTGGGTGATTGAACTTGATACCAGGAAAATCAGTGGAAAGGCCTCCTCTGTTGGCCCACACTGTGATATGAGTCTTCACTGATATATAGTCCCGTAGTCTTCACTATATATACTATACTGTAATACTACTGATGCTCTCTCTCAGGGGAACTGCTAACCCTTTTCCTCCCCCAGCCTGGTATTATAGGAACTACCTGAGTACTACACCACCCCCGTCCGTCACTATTGTTGAGCGTTGCTCTGAATTCCATAGTTAATTAGTCTTTGGTCCAGTAACTGTATTATAAGAGTTTACTGCAGCAGCAATACGGGAAGGACTAGACCAAGACAATGTCCGTTGTGTTGTGAACCCAGTGTCTCTGGATCCCCCACTATAGACTCTACCTGCCAGAGACCAGGGAGGGTCCAACCACTACGACTACCACTCACCTCCCCCACAGAGTCCCCTCACTCCCATGGTCACCATCTTCCCTTCTCGCTACCGCCACCCTCCTCCTCCTCCTACCAGCCCTCCCTACACCTCTCCCTTCATTGAGGGTACCGGTACGTTCTCTCCTCTCCTCTTCTCTCTCCCACTTTTCACTGTCTCCAACACAATGTATGGTCCCCTCCCCCCATCTCTTTTAGATGGAGTTGAAAGTGAAAGAGCAGTAATATCATTCCTGGACAGCGATGATGAAGGTAGGCTTTTGGGTTTTACTACAGTCCAACCTCTGATAGAGGACTGTTCCCATAGCTACATTAATGTACTAAGGGATGGCTTTAGTTATAACGGAGCCTTCCAATCTCCCCTAAGGTGAAGTAAAGACACTGGTCACGAGGATTTCTCACAAGCCCCCATATTATGTATTTCCCCCTCAAATGGTGTCCTGCTTCCATTGTATACACACAGCAGGGGAACATGAAACTACACCCATCACAGAGACCACACCCCTTGCTCCTCCCACCACTACTGGTAACCAGGCAACAGTAGAGTTCAGTTTGTCATACACCGGAGGCTCTGACCACTCAGATGAGGAAGAAGGTCGCGCCCTCACCTGGAGACCAGGAGGGGGACACCAGGAAGAGATAATCTCACAGACTATTGTAACTGCTCTCTAGTCTGCCACTATAATAACTACCACAACCTTCGTATCAATCTAAACACGTCATTACCTTATTAAATGTCATTGACTTTACTATTAATGCCTCACCAATCATGTTCAATCATTGACTTTTTACTCTTAATCTTAAATACCTGATCATTATTTTTCGCTCTAATGAATGGTCTTCTTTTTCATGATGCAAAATGATTTTGATCTTGTAAATGAGAGTTCCTACGGCCTTTACATAATACCTGACCAACTAGCCTTAGATAGTGCCACATAAGTTACAAAATGGGGCTCCTGGCAGTAGAATGTTGTAGTAAGTACAAATACTCTTATCCTCTACTACCACTTTGGACAAGCTCAGGCATGTCTCAGCACCTGTCTCCTTCCTCTTGAAGCATGAGCTGTTTTTTTACATGGCGTTGCTTTCAGTTGTGACTTTACAAGCCTTACCTATTTCTCATCACCTCACAACAAACATTTCTACATGATGGGTAGTCCATAATAGTAAATGGATGATGCAAGAGGGTACTTTGGCAGTAAAACCTTATACTAAGTGGAAAATTGATTCAAGGGTACATGGCCTTGCTTTTAGCCTAGACTTATTCTCATCACCCCATCACAAGAAAACGACTCATTGGCACATGCTGGAAGAGCTTGCAGGTACGGCTATAAAAGCAGACTACAAAACGACCGAAACTACAAACTGCAGTGACTTTCACTACTGACTTTCACTACTGACTGTTTATCTCTGGCCATGGCTCTGCTCAGCAACTTCTGCAGCCTTCTCCTGGTGACTGTCTTGGTCTCCCAGGCCTTCTCTGCCAAGTGCCCGGAGCAGTATCGGACTGAAAAACCAATCACCTATGATGCGGGTGAGTGACTGGTGCTGTCAAACAACTGATGTTGATCTCTTTCTATTATATCTGTCCTCCACTTAGCAAAAATAAGTGGGCGTTTGCGATAGTTACAAGGTCTATTTCACCAAATCAACTTTTGAACTATGGGCGACAATTTTGTGAAACCTGAATAAAAATTGAAATGTTTGTTGCATGGTACTGTAATCTAGTGACTATTTCCTCAAAACATTCCGAAAACATTCTGCTGATGTTTAGGGTCATTAGTTTATATGAATCACGGTTACCGGTTTATGGGGGGTTAATTTCTGCAACCATTATTTTTGTGCAGGTTTAAAACTAATATTATGTTGTCCCTTTTTCAGCTGGAAATCTGTGTGCCCGATCTGTTTACCTGAGTATCTTTACTCTGAATAATTATAATGACGCCACCGATGCAAAACCTTACCTTACCATTGAGCTAAACGGAGGTACAGAGATAAAAACCGTGAGGCTTTACGACCTGCCTGGTCGCGAATTTGAGATGGCCAAGGGAGACCTGTGGGAGTTCGAGGTCGACGATTTTGGATTCAGTGAGCCGTGTGTATCGACTGCAGCAATCACTAATGTTGCTATTGAGCCTGACACATCAAGTGGTGATGGTATTTATATAAAGGATGCATTTACATGGGTCCGCAGTGGGGCAGCGAGCGAAATGCTGACCGCTGACTACGACATCGTTGCATGGTTGGATGGTGATGTCCCTGAGTACGTAGTACATCTCAAGAAGGTCTGAGTCAGTACATGACACATGCAAATGGAACGGACAAAAGAGATTTGTAAACTGAGTAGCTAGTAGATATTTAGTCATCTGACTGTAGATTGTAGACACCTGCTGTAGTCTGTAGTGTGTAGGTGTCTGTTGTTTAGTCCACTCAATGATATATACTTTGGTGATGACTCTGCGCATGCGCATGAACTCAAAAGCATTGATAGCTCTGCTGCCTTATGCATAGAGGGTTAGGACCGAATTGCATTATTTCTCTGATAATGCATGACATTTGCTTGCTCAAGTAATAATTCCCTGATCGTTTTCCCCACACCCCAACAATGAGGGTGTCTTATCCAGAATAATGGCAACACAATTTTTTTCACGAGCAAAGTCAATTTTTTCAGAATCACGTTAAGACATTACGATATGCGAAGTGCAGGTCACAATATCGTAATTAGAAAATCCCGCTCACACAACTACAGGTAGGCTTGCTGTGCAATGGAGATGATTATTGAGGCGAGGAGAGAGATGATAATCGAGGAAAGGAGAAGGAGAGAAGAGAGACAAGAGAGAGAGAGATAGTCTGGTGTCAGAAGTTTCCAATGCCAGCTAAAACTCTAATCTCCTCGTAGACCAGCCAGAATGTCAGAGACCATGGCGCCTGCGAGAGAGGGAGAGGGGGGAAGATAATCTTTGACCACTGTAGAAGTTGTTAGATTCAGCGTGAAAAATTCATTATGCCATCATACAGGGATCAACAGGTTGCAGTGGATAAAGTGCAAAATGAACACATGCTACTAATAGCATAAGTCTTTACGTGGGACTAAACTACTAGACCGGTCGGTACTACTCACCATTCTAGTCCAGACGGGGACGAAACCTTTGTAATATATAATGTATATAGCTAGAGTCTTTACGTGGGACTAAACTACTAGACCAGTCGGTACTACTCACCATTCTAGTCCAGACAGGGACGAAACCTTTGTAATATATAATGTATATAGCTAGAGTCTTTACGTGGGACTAAACTACTAGACCGGTCGGTACTACTCACCATTCTAGTCCAGACGGGGACGAAACCTTTGTAATATATAATGTATATAGCTAGAGTCTTTACGTTGGACTAAACTACTAGACCGGTCGGTACTACTCACCATTCTAGTCCAGACAGGGACGAAACCTTTGTAATATATAATGTATATAGCTAGAGTCTTTACGTTGGGACTAAACTACTAGACCGGTCGGTACTACTCACCATTCTAGTCCAGACGGGGACGAAACCTTTGTACAGAGCCCAGAACCCTTCTTGCCTCACCTGACACCAAGAAGAGGTAATGTTACCAAGGGAAACCAACAGATTTTGCACACAATTCTCAACAGAAAACTTTGTCAAGTAATAAGCCAGCTAATCCCCCAGAAAACTTCCCCCAATGGGTACTTGGAGGTGGTGTGTACATACTTACAGTTGAGGTGAGACAGTCCAGAGATGAAGAATAGAGGGATCCTCTGTTTCCATGGTGATACTGCTGACTCATCATTCTGGACTTTACAACGTCGGCTGGTGTACCGAGAGTAGCAGACACCAGACCAGAGGAAAAACTGTGGGAATGGGGGAGAGAGAGGGAGGGAAAGAAAGACAGTTCAGTCTTCTTTTTGAGGGAAAAACTAAACTTCACAATTGTCTGTGGAACTGGCATTATAATAACTAGAGCCAGAAACCTGGGATCATTTGATCAGCGAAATTCTACAATACAAGGAAGTAAAGCGGGGAGAGGAGGAAGAGGGAGAGGAGGAAGAGGGAGAGGAGGAAGAGGGAGACGAAGGCAGATGGACGGACCTGGATAAAGCATGAGTGACTGCAGTATCTCTGAGACTGGTGTTTCGCAATATCCACTGCTTTACCGTATCATATGTAGTCAGATCTAAAGAGAGACGTCATGTGACATCACATGAGGTCATGTGGACATCACGTGATGTAATCTGAGGTCATGTGACCCACCTCCGAGGCAGACGAGAGCAGCTCTCTGGCAGTTGGGAACCCAGCCCTTCCACAGACCTCTCCCTCCTTCTCTCCTAACTATATCTCTCAGAGTTCTCCATGTTCCTCTGGTCCTGCCGGAGAACATCACTCGGAGCTACTGGAGGCAAAGTGGCACCTTTCACTAACCGAGGGAGAGAGGAGGTAGAGGAGGAGGCTCCCTCTATTTGTAGGATAATCTTGACTCTGTCCATGGGACTGGCCAGGAATTGTCCTCCAGCCCCAGCTATCATACCAGTTGGCAGAGCTTTCCTGGGATAGAGTACGAAGTATAAGCCATGACACACAGCACAACCTTAATGTACGGGCAAGATATATTATAGTAAGTGCAAAAGTTACAGTAGTACCTTCTCACACCTACTCAGTTCTCACAAGCCCCCATATTATGTATTTCCTCCTCAAATGGTGTCCTGCTTCCATTGTATACACACAGCAGGGGAACATGAAACTACGCCCATCACAGAGACCACACCCCTTGCTCCTCCCACCACTACTGGTAACCAGGCAACAGTAGAGTTCAGTTTGTCGTACACCGGAGGCTCTGACCACTCAGATGAGGAAGAAGGTCGCGCCCTCACCTGGAGACCAGGAGGGGGACACCAGGAAGAGATAGTCTCACAGACTATTGTAACTGCTCTCTAGTCCGCCACTATAATAACTACCACAACCTTCGTATCAATCTAAACACGTCATTACCTTTTTAAATGTCATTGACTTTACATTTCACAATCTTAAATACCTGATCATTATTTTTCGCTCTAATGAATGGTCTTCTTTTTCATGATACAAAATGATTTTGATCTTGTAAATGAGAGTTCCTACGGCCTTTACATAATACCTGACACACTAGCCTTAGGTGGCAGCTGGCTAAGAACGTCGTAGCTCTCCGACTCATCTCCGTAACCGTAAATTGCCAGCTCCTGTTGCTTCTGAATGTGCTGGGCGTAGCTACCGGGCAAGGGTTGACTATTGCAGTCCTTCTTCGTATGGTCGGGAAACTTCACCGAGACACAATCGGCCTCTGAAAGGTATATAGTCCAATGACGCTCCATTCGGAGTTGGAGTAAGACGGAGCACTCCGTACTGACAGCCATAATCTCTCAAGGGGCAGCGCTCCACGATGTGAGAGAGCCTGGTCTGGACGCCAACGTGGCAGTCACGCCAGTGGGTAGAGAACTCGTCTCTCCTCACTATCTCGCTGCACGGGAAACACTGTAGTAGTGGAGCGTGTAGATACCCCTGAGGCCGTAGCGTTCGACGGAGGCGGCTATACAGACTCCGTCCCGGGGTGGGAGATTCAGTTTACGAGCAGTTGCACTTCAGTGCTTTCGGTCAGTGAGCGAGCTCCCCGGGTGGGCATGCAGGCTAAATTGGAAGGGCTCCACTTTATCTTTTTCTGCTAGTGCCAAGTCCGCCCCCAAGCCGCATTATAAGCCCTCCTCCACAAAGTACACAGAGAAAGTGGATCTGCTCAGATGGTTAACAGTAAAGGATATTTACCACGTTCGGTGGCATGAACACTTAGGTCTGCCACTTTCAAAAACCGTGTAAGGGAACGGATCCCTGCGTATTGGTGGGTGGCACGGCTACCCGTGCACACAACGCGGTGAACGTAGTCCGTGCCAATGACTTGTAGGTACAGCATAGTTGTTTTACTGGCCTTACCTTCCTCGTTCGAAACATAAAAAACGGCGGGAGAGAGCCTCTGTCAGGCTACAGGACACTTTAGTTGCTTACAGGCGGTCAACGTGTCGACCTTTGACCCCTAGTGTTTGAGTTTGCGGTTTTTGCGCACTGCTTCAGGACGGGGGAGAGAACTTCGGTTTTGAGCGTGCGGTTGTGATACGGACGGGATTGAAGAGTGTTATGGTACGCTAGCGGGAGATGTGATCTGTGAAGGTTGATTTTTCACGTTGCGGACCCTAATACAGCGCATGCGCCTACCCACGCGTGCGCGTCACAATGCGCCGAGGGTTTGCACTTCAGTGCTTTCATTATGTTTAGTAAGAGGGACTTTCCCATACTCCAGCCGCTGTGTTGTAGAGAGTGGTGTGGAATAATACCAAGTTATTTTTGCCTAGTACAGTATTCCCCAGATTTTTTTTTTTTGGTTTTGGTTTATTTGTGCCAAATTTAGAGTATTGTGGTAGCATAGCGATACAGAAATAATAATATTAATGATCCGTAAGAAGTTATGCTGGACAAATTTGATCATGGAGCACAAATATGGTGCAAGAAAGTGCCTTACGCATTATTGTTTTTGACCAGTTTTATACAGTACATGAAATATCCCTATACTACACTGTGGCGTGTGGCAAATAATATACGTGTATATATACCTCTCAGACTCAGATAGTGGTGTATGGCCATTGTCAGTTAATTAAAAAGTGCCTCCAGCTCTCCCCCTCTTTCCTGGTGATTACATAAGACGAGTGGGGAGCTGAGGCCAATGTGTAAAACACCTAACGTATACTCATCCCCTCCCCCCCCCCAACCGTCGCAGTGGGCGGGTCGCGTAGTTTGCTGAGCAGGCAGAACGCGGAACCCAGCGGAAGGAACCCCATACGCCTTTCCGGATCATGGCTACGAACGACTCTGCTGTGTTGGAGAGGATGCACAGAGAAGAGGAGAGGACGGCATTACTCAGCGGAGCGAGCATCTCCAGTCGGGTGTCCCTATCCGGAGTGCGTCGATCGGGCGTCGTGGACAAGTGCTACACCTTACCACCCTCCTCTGCGCCTTCGCTTTCCCGTTGCTCGGGATCTGCATCGTGATTCTGGGAGCAATCATAGCCGACTTTAGCTCGGGTGCCAACGTGGCGGGAGGGGCCTACGTGGGAGGGGGAACGGCAGAATTAGTCTGGGGGCTTGCCTCATACTCAGATGCTATTCAACCTGTGCAAGCTGTCCAGAAGAAGTGTGGGGAGACGACAAACTGTGTCCTGTTCTTGGCCCTCACATTTGCCTTCCTAGTGTGGTGTGGTGTGGCCTTCTCGCTGTGTCTAGCGGTGATTCTGAATGGGTTGAACTACCATGAAGACAGGAGGGAGACGACAGCCATGTCCTCTCGTGTATCTCCCTAGTCCTTGTGCTAGGGTTTGGTGCCAGTGCATGCTGCGGGCTGGGTGTCCTGCAGATTGAACACTTTTCACCTCTCACCCTGACCCCAACTCTGATTATGTTAATTAGTAAGAGGGTCTCCCCCATACTCCAGCCATTGCCACAGGATTTTGCACAACCACTCCAAGCTCTTCACGAGAACTGCATCAGCAGTTAGTCAATCTGTACAAGTTTTCATGTGTTTTATTCACATTACCTCATCGTGATCACGTGTAGTGGGCAGCATGGTCATTGTTGATATATGTTATAGCTGCTCTTTTCTCTGCAATGTTCTGTCTCTCCACAATTGCTTATTTCATCATCTGCAGATGAGATATATAATACCAGATCATAGATCATTCTTTCAGTCTAGACGTTGTAAGTCTGTTGTTTTCACAGATACTGTGTATACTGCATTGGAAAACTTTGCACACGTTTAATAGAGATCGTGCGGACCTGCAATGCGCACGCAGGGGGCCACAAAACCTGACCTGAATATGACGAAGAAAGGGAACGGAATGCTGCTACGAGAGTTAAGTGGCGGACATCCTGCATATCCACACATTGTTATGTGATGATCATGGTCAATTGTCAAACTCAATGATCCGTGAATGATCGGTGGATTGCTGCTACAAATTGTGGCTGGAAGATTGTTTCAGTTTTTGCTGTTGTCTCTATCACTTCCTGTCACTAGTCCTCATAAGATGGGTGGTCATACAATGGGAAAGATGCCTGCAGCCACGATACGGCAAGAAACTCAGCTACATTATTACTGTCAGATACGTATATACCACTGGACCGACTGGGCTCAATGCCTCCCTTAAATGTAAGAATGCAAATCCTCTAGAGTACGGAAGCCATTGGGGCCGTGCGCACTTCCAAATCGTGCTACTCTCACTCCAAATTGCACCACTTCCAAATTTGTACTACTTCCAATTGTATCACTTTCAATCATGCAGTGTTTAGAGGGCGGGTCGTCTGGGCACTCGCGTGTCGGGCTACAACAAAATGTCGCACCACAAACGACAGACTTTAGAAGCACATTCGGCCAGGGATATTCGTATAGGACTATTTTGTATTACTTGGGATACCGGGCTCTTTGGAGTATCTACGAGTGCACAGTTGATCATGACTAGTGAAATGAAAAGCACTGAAGTGCAAACTCTCGGCGCATTGGACGCGCACGGTAAGTAACGCATGCACCGTACCACTATTGGTTAGTTCTCGTGGTCTCTCGACAGCTCGCGCAGAGTCTGACGCGCTAACTACACTACTAGATAGCATGCGAGAGGCGATTACACGCCCTGCGTGCATCTTCTGATTCCTCGAGGTACGCAGAGCACGCGGATCGATCTCGACTGTGGTAAGCCGTCCCGTCGGTTGCGTGAAGTAGTCGTATCCGTTGGAGACAACGAGACCCCACCGTGCAAGTGAGATGTAGAGTAACAGACAGACAGACAGACCCAACTCGCGTGCGCTGCGCGCGAGGGTAGTAGAATTCCATCAGACATCGTGAAGCATGAACCGATTGTCTGTTCCCAAATACGACTGAACTGTGATAGCTTGTCTGAGTCTGTACAAGAAATGAACATCAAGCGTGTGCATACATGTGAACTGTAGTGATGATTCTGGAGCTTTAATAGGCTTGTTGACGCCTTGAATGGCGCATCATTATATATAGCACGTTGGCCTTGTGTGAAGGACATGTAGCACCAGTTCCTGAATAGCATTTTTCTCTAGTCCTTATCATATCCTCTGAGGAAAAAGGAGAATGCATATTAACTAATTAATTTTGGTATGTTAATGTTTTGGAAGTTGCATCATTTTGAAGTATAGTTGGAACCTTTAACGTTATGAAGCTATTTAGTTTGGAAGCTTCAAAATGTTGAAGTTATGAAGTTTGGAACCTGTACAATTATGAAGTTATGAAGTTATGAAGTTTAGAACCTTTAAAATTTCGAAGTTACGAAGTTTGGAAGCTAGCTATATCTATGATGTTTGGAAGCTTTAACAGTTCGAAGTTGGAAGTAAGAATTGTGAGTTTAAATGTGCTTCTTCCTTCTATAGACACTCAGAACTTACAGTATGGCTACTTTTCCCCAGTACAAGGTTTTCTCGGCTTCTCTCTCCATTTGGTGCCCACCATTATTATTATACAACAGTCTTTATCTGTGACTGTACGATCTTTATGGCACATCTTGGGCAGGGGGCTCCAGTGGTATAGAGAGTGGCGGAGGTGAGCTCTGCGTTGTCACTCATAATGCCATTGAACTCAGCACAGCACACTGTACATAACACCAGTGTTATATATAATATATACACTGTCAATATCATACATCCACATAGAGAGACATAACACTATCACTCACATACATTCTCTAGTGCCAAGTAAAGTACTCACCATATCCACCTGAGAATCCATCAACGAACCCATTAGAGCCAACACTCTAATATGGCCCTCTCCACTGGCCAAGGAATTTCATCACTTCTATCAGGGAATAAGTGACCTTGATTACAGTTCTGGACCGTCATGCCAAGTAAAGTACTCACCATATCCATCAAAGAACCCATTAGAGCCAACACTCTAATGGCCCCCTCCACTGGAATTTCAGCAACTCTCTCCCTAGCTATCACGTGTCCTAAGGGAATAAGTGTTCTTGATTACAGTTCTGGACCGTCATGCCAAGTAAAGTACTCACCATATCCATCAAAGAACCCATTAGAGCCAACACTCTAATGGCTCCCTCCACTGGAATTTCAGCAACTCTCTCCCTAGCTATCACGTGTCCTAAGGGAATAAGTGTTCTTGATTACAGTTCTGGACCGTCGTGCCAAGTAAAGTACTCACCATATCCATCTGAGTGTATTCCTAGCACCGGGTTGTTTGAAGTTGGACTACAAATATAGGTAACTATAGACACTGTATAGCAAGTAAATAAAAAATTCTAAAAGTGTGGAATATAGGGATGCCATAAAAAGTAAGGAGACAAGACAGGGATGACCTAGTGAACATGATGCAGTAGTACAATGGATGATGGCTACATACTTTGAACTGACATCGCTTGCTCATGTAAATTTCCTCCACGCAAGCCCTATATTGCCACGAAGTACGAGTGTGCTCCCTTATATGATGCACATCTATGATTTATATCATAAGCACATTAGCCAGGTAATACCATCTGCTCGGTTTTCTGTTGTAACTGCATTGTGTGAAGTCTAAGACTTCTACATTTGCTCAACTAACCAGTTTTACGATGCTGCGTTCTTGGCCATCTACATACAGAATCCTTTCACCATTGTCCTCGCACTTCACTAAACAAACAGTAAAGGTGGCAACAATATAGGGCTTGTGTGGAGGAAATTTTACACGAGCAACCGATGTCAGTTCAAAGTATGTAGCCATCATCCATTGTACTACTGCATCATGTTCACTAGGTCGTCTCTGTCTTGTCTCCTTACTTTTTATGGCATCCCTATATTCCACACTTTTTTAATTCGAAGAATGTTTTATTTACTTGTCTCCTTTTCTTTTTTTTACTGCATTCACATGCATCGTGTGCAAATAAAAAGGGGATATTTTTGGGCATAAGCCCATAAAAAAGTAACATTAGTGGCCTTAAGCTATCGCCTCAGACGTTATGCGTCATTCACATTAGCTACATCAGTGCACCAAGTTTCATTGTGAGAGGACCCATCATAAACAAGTTATAGGCACTGACAATATTTAAAAGTCTTTCTTGCCAGAGGCTGTTTGTTGTTATTTACAACCTTGTAATTTCTGTTTCGATCAACTCTTTATCGTGGTGAATCAGTGTACCAAGTTTCATTGTTAGAGGACCAACAACAAGGAATTTATAGGCACAAACACATGGGGCTCCTGGCAGTAGAATGTTGTAGTAAGTACAAATAGTCTTATCCTCTACTACCACTTTGAGCAAGCCCAGGCACTTTCTTTCTCCTTCCTCTTAAGATGTAAGTGAAGCATGAGCTGTTTTTTTACATGGCGTTACTTTCAGCCAGTAGTGACTTTACAAGTCTTACTCATTTCTCATCACCTCATCACAAACATTTCTACATGATGGGTAGTAAATGGATGATGCAAGAGGGTACTTTGGCAGTAAAACCTTATACTAAGTGGAAAATTGAATCAGTGGTACATGGCCTTGCTTTTAGCCTAGACTAATTTCTCATCACCCCATCACAAGAAAACGACTCATTGGCACATGCTGGAAGAGCTTGCAGGTAGGGCTATAAAAGAAGACTACAAAACGCCCGAAACTACAACCTGCAGTGACTTTCACTACTGACTTTCACTACTGACTGTTTACCTCTGGCCATGGCTCTGCTCAGCAACCTCTGCAGCCTTCTCCTGGTGACTGCCTTAGTCACCCAGGCCTTCTCTGCCGAGTGCCCGGAGCAGTGTTATGATAAAGGTGAGTGACTGGTGCTGTCAAACAACTGATGTTGATCTCTTTCTATTTTATCTGTCCTCCACTTAGCAAAATAAGTGGGCGTTTGCGATAGTTACAAGGTCTATTTCACCAAATCAACTTTTGAACTATGGGCGACAATTTTGTGAAACCTGAATAAAAAGTGAAATGGTACTGTAATCTAGTGGCTATTTCCTCAAAACATTCTGAAAAATTTCTGCTGATGTTTAGGGTCATTAGTTTATATGAATCACGGTTACCGGTTTATGGGGGGGTTAATTTCTGCAACCATTATTTTTGTGCAGGTTTAAAACTAATATTATGTGTCCCTTTTTCAGCTGGGAATCTGTGTGCCCGATCTGTTTACCTGAGTATCTTTACTCGGGATGATCCTAATGCTGACTCCACTGCCTTACCTTACCTTACCATTGAGCTAAACGGAGGTACAGAGACAAAAACCGTGAGGCTTTACAACCTGCCTGGTCACAATTTTGAGAGAGCCAAGGGAGACCTGTGGGAGTTCGAGGTCGACGATTTTGAATTCAGTGAGCCGTGTGTATCGACTGCAGCAATCACTGGTGTTACTCTTAAGCCTGACACATCAGATGGTGATGGAATTTATATAAAGGATGTATTTACATGGGTCCGCAGTGGGGCAGCGAGCGAAATGCTGACCGCTGACTACGACATCAATGCATGGTTGGATGGTGATACCCCAGAGTCTGCAATAGATCTCTCCAAGGTCTGAGTCAGTACATGACACATGCAAATGGAACGGACAAAAGAGATTTGTAAACTGAGTAGCTAGTAGATATTTAGTCATCTGACTGTAGATTCTAGACACCTGCTGTAGTCTGTAGTGTGTAGGTGTCTGTTGTTTAGTCCCCTCAATGATATATACTTTGGTGATGACTCCGCGCATGCGCATGCAAAGATAGAACTCCGCTGCCTTATGCATATACCTCTCATATATAGAGGATTAGAACTGAATTGCATTATTTCTCCGATAATGCATGACATGTGCTTGCTCAAGTAATAATTCCCCGATCGTTTTTCCCTACACCCCAACAATGAGGGTGTTTTAACAAGAAAATGGCAACACATTTTTTTCACGAGCAAAGTCAATTTTTTTAGAATCACGTTAAGACATTACGGTATGCGAAGTGCAGGTCACAATATCGTAATTAGAAAATCACGCTCACACGACTACAGGTAGGCTTGCTGTGCAATAGAGATGATTATTGAGGCGAGGAGAGAGATGATAATCGAGGAAAGGAGAAGGAGAGAAGAGAGACAAGAGAGAGAGATAGTCTGGTGTCAGAAGTTTCCAATGCCAGCTAAAACTCTAATCTCCTCGTAGACCAGCCAGAATGTCAGAGACCATGGCGCCTGCGAGAGAGGGAGAGGGGGGAAGATAATCTTTGACCACTGTAGAAGTTGTTAGATTCAGCGTGAAAAATTATGCCATCATACAGGGATCAACAGGTTGCTAGAAATGGAACACATTTCAAACAAAGTTGCCTCGATTGAATCACGTGTGCACCGTACATAATGTGCATGGCCACATACAGTCTTTACGTGGGACTAAACTACTAGACCGGTCGGTACTACTCACCATTCTAGTCCAGACAGGGACGAAACCTTTGTAATATATAATGTATATAGCTAGAGTCTTTACGTGGGACTAAACTACTAGACCGGTCGGTACTACTCACCATTCTAGTCCAGACGGGGACGAAACCTTTGTACAGAGCCCAGAACCCTTCTTGCCTCACCTGACACCAAGAAGGGGTAATGTTACCAGGGAAACCAACAGATTTTGCACACAATTCTCAACAGAAAACTTTGTCTAGCTGCAAGTAATAACTTTGACCGCTAATCCCCCAGAAAACTTCCCCCAATGGGTACTTGGAGGTGGTGTGTACATACTTACAGTTGAGGTGAGACAGTCCAGAGATGAAGAATAGAGGGATCCTCTGTTTCCATGGTGATACTGCTGACTCATCATTCTGGACTTTACAACGTCGGCTGGTGTACCGAGAGTAGCAGACACCAGACCAGAGGAAAAACTGTGGGAATGGGGGAGAGAGAGGGAGGGAAAGAAAAGAAAGACAGTTCAGTCTTCTTTTTGAGGGAAAAACTAAACTTCACAATTGTCTGTGGAACTGGCATTATATAACTAGAGCCAGAAACCTGGGATCATTTGATCAGCGAAATTCTACAATACAAGGAAGTAAAGCGGGGAGAGGAGGAAGAGGGAGAGGAGGAAGAGGGAGACGAAGGCAGATGGACGGACCTGGATAAAGCATGAGTGACTGCAGTATCTCTGAGACTGGTGTTTCGCAATATCCACTGCTTTACCGTATCATATGTAGTCAGATCTAAAGAGAGACGTCATGTGACATCACATGAGGTCATGTGGACATCACGTGATGTAATCTGAGGTCATGTGACCCACCTCCGAGGCAGACGAGAGCAGCTCTCTGGCAGTTGGGAACCCATCCCTTCCACAGACCTCTCCCTCCTTCTCTCCTCACTATATCTCTCAGAGTTCTCCATGTTCCTCTGGTCCTTCCGGAGAACATCACTCGGAGCTACTGGAGGCAAAGTGGCACCTTTCACTAACCGAGGGAGAGAGGAGGTAGAGGAGGAGGCTCCCTCTATTTGTAGGATAATCTTGACTCTGTCCATGGGACTGGCAATGAACTGTCCTCCAGCCCCAGCTATCATACCTGTCGGCACAGCCTTCCTGGGATAGAGTAAGTAAGCCATGACACACAGCACAACCTTAATATACGGGCAAGATATATTATTATATGTACTTGCAAAAGTTACAGAGTAGCAAGCATGCCTGTCGAAAATGTTGCCGAATCGTGCCTGTCGCTTGCAGAAACCTTTTATACCCACACATTATGAGACTCGTCATGGAAAGAAGGAAGGGAGAAGGACAATACAGAGGAAGAAGGAGAAGAGATAAAGGTCCTACCAGAGAGGGTATCTTCCTCTGCTATCTCTCTTGAACACATGGTCTCTTATCAGCTCATAGAATGACATTCTGCAGCCTGAGTAAACTGTAGGAGGGAGGACAAGAATCAGCAGCAAAACACACAAAATATGTTTCCAATGCCAATTAGAGGGAATGTGGTTGCTTCATTTACTGGAACAACATTCTTGCACTGCACTGGACCTTATTTCAATCTTTAGTTATCCAGTTCTTATAATTATGTACTGCCACATTTACTTTTTAAACATTCAGTGGTGCTAAATGAAAACGCAGCCAATGATCATGGTGATTTGCTATTGGTGAAGGGTGAATGGTGTTCGGTAAAGGTTTAGAACACAGGAAGGCGATACCTCACCCCAATGTCTGAGGACAGCTGGACGTAGCCCCGCCCACAGCCGCAGAAATCCTTCCTTCCTCACTGGACAAGGAGACAAGAATGAGCAGATAATTCAGTCTCTCCTTTTCTCCAGTTTATTTCTTAGAACAGAACACCAGAGAAACAATTTCAATGCCATTTATTATAACACAAACGTATTACCGCATGAGCAGCGATAATAATTACAACTTCATTAACTGAATCCTGTAGCATATTATCATATTCACGACAGCGTGCATGTCCCTCCCTCCTCCTCTCCTCTCCTCACCCAGGGAGGCAGCAGTCCCGACTAGACCGACACGAGGTAATCCACTCAACTGTCGACTCACCTGGAGCCTCGTCTTGACAATGTCCAGTGGAAACGTCACTGCAGAGGAGAAATAAATAACACGCCTGAAATGAATCACCCTTTCCCCATGCATGTAGTGAGTGAAATAGCTAGCTACAAGCCCGCATCACGTGATCTCCGGCTAACCTGACTCGGAGACAGTTGCGGCGGAGATGGTCAGCAGGTATTTCAACACGAACGAGTCCCTCTGTCTGGAAGACCCCGCCATTCCCCCCGTCGGACCTCGGAGCTAGCTCCCAAAATTCAGTGCAGATAGGGTTAATTAATTATAAGCTCCCACGTGCGAGCATGCGCAAACTGACGTTCGATCGATATCCGATCGGATCATGTGGGGTGATTTTGGACAAAGGCCTACGCTTTTACGGTGTGCTGGGATATAGTACTACAACTACACACGCGAGGTGAGCTCGCTCATGCATGTCTGTCTCTCACCAGTTCAATTCACGCGTCACTTCGTCGCCACGTGCATGTGCAGATGTGCGTTCGATCTGCGCAAACCAAACTAACTACGGAGAGGACGCTCTAGAGATCGCTTGCCTTACCTGTGCTGTCCTGTGGCGGAGGGCAATTCTTGTCTGTCGTTCTTCTTACAAGTAAGGATGTGGCTACGCGTGTGGGCTGCGGGTCAGCTGTAATTAGCTAACCACTGGAGCGAGCATAAGTCCCTGGCATGCCATTATAGACTTGCTGTAAAATGTTGGGTGAATGATGGGTGGAACTGTTAGGGCACATACATAGCTAGCTAGCTAGCACAGAACGTTCTAAAGTGAGAAAGAATAATGGAGTTTGAGCATAGGGAAGGGATATGTATAGGTATAGAAGGGAGCAAAGAGAGGTGACCTTATCGTCTTGTTGTCACTGGTGGATATTCATGAACAGCTAGCGCCATTCACATTACTGAGGGTATCCACTAGCTAGCTTCTTACTGGCCATGTTCCAGACATTGACTACTATGTACATACATACATTAGTACATACTTTGTGTGGTAATTTAGAGACGTACAGTCTTTTGGCATGCTAGAAATAGTGACCTTTACCATATGTGGCAGTGTCACATGTATGCTGTTACCTGTGCATACTCATAGGCGTAGGAAGGAGAATGTGGGAAGGTTTAGCCATAAGGCGGCGTATGCAAACCATTCAGAGCATGCGCAGCACGGGGCGATCGGGCGCGCTCCATCCCAGCCGCCCTGCCCGCCCGATCGCGATTTCGTTGAGGATTAATTTGGTGAAGGAAACCTCATTCTGTTTGCAGGTAGTCATCACTGATCCACCTGCTAATTAACCCCGTCCACCCACCTACGATGACGTCGCTATACTACGCCTACCACCCTCTGGAGTTGTTGGACATGGTGGAGAGCAGATTTGACGAGAAGAAGGCCATTCCGTGGATGAACGCTCGCTGGCACTGGTCCTTCTATTTCTCGGCCCTCTACCTCCTCTTCATCTGGTGGGGCTTGCGCTACATGAAGAACAAGAAGCCCTTCAATCTCCGTCGAGCGCTCTGCATGTGGAGTACACTGCTCGCGACCTTCAGTGTCTTTGCGATCATAAGGATCTCTTCCCTGGCGCCCCAGATGGTCTATTTAGGAGGTTGGCGCCACGCCTTCTGCGACACGTGGGCCTACACCGGCAGCCAGCGCTGTGGAATATGGGCCTTCCTCTTCCCCTTCTCCAAACTGCCCGAACTAGTCGACACTGTCTTCATCGTACTTCGCAAACAGAAACTGAGTTTCCTCCATGTCTTCCACCACGTGAGTGTGTTCATATACTGCTGGTATAGCTACGCCTACCCCATTTCCACTGGAGTATGGTTTGGGATCGTTAACCTCACAGTCCATGGCATCATGTACACATACTACGCCGTGAAGGCCAGCGGTCGCTACCCTCCTCGGTGGGTTGCCAAGGTGATCACCACCATTCAACTGTCGCAGATGTTTGTCGGAATCTTCATCAATTACATTGGGATTACATCACTCATCTCGGGGAAGACTTGCCGTACTTCTTGGTTCGACGTGGGGCTATCGATATTCTTCTATGTTTCTTACGCTGTTCTGTTTGCCAATTTCTTCTACTGGGCCTATATACACCCAAAACCACAGAAGAAAGACAACTTTTCAATTACCACTTCGAATGGTGCACCCCTTGCTTATCAACCCCAGACAAAGGTCGTTACTAACGGACACATTCCAAGACAGACCAATGGAACTGTACATTGAGGGATTTCCCCTCTAGCCTTATAGTCAGGTTTTTGGTGCACAATACATAATGTATGCTGTGGTGGTAATATTGCTGGTAACCTATGTAATTGATTAGAATTTTTAATCAAATGGAGAAGATACTTGAGGCAGTGGCTGGTAGTGGTGTGTGTGTGATGGAATGTCATTAAGTGTGAATAGAGGTCATGAATGTAGCAATATCAAGTCATGCCATTGAGCACAGTACGTGACCTCACCTAATATAGCTGGCACTCACCTGATTCTGGTGGAGGGAGGTATGCACTGGTGTATAAACTACAGTCCATGTATATACCACCAACATGTATATGCACTACAAGTTACCTCTTCCCATGACCAAACAGACATGAAACTACAACAACTGGCCTTTTTGGAGTACAAATCTTTTTTCCCTCCTGAACACATCTTTCTATTAATCCAGACACTATTTCTTTCTCCTGAATTAATATATTCCCTGAAACTATTATATCAGTCTGTAATCAACACTGGTTGTGTATAATTTGACAGAATGAGCTACATTATAGAGGGGGAGCTTCTACACGTAATCAATCATCTAAAAAGGAGCTAGTGGGTCTTTGTCACGCAGTGAGGAAAGGGTTAACGGTCAGTGGCTGAGATTGTTGGCATTCGCCAGGTAGCTGCGTCGAGTAATACCGTTACAGTGGGACGGTGAGCCGTTTGGAATGTGTCCATTTGTAAACGTGAACTTTTTCTTGATTACATCGCCATTTGCCTGCACAACTGTTCGTTTAACCGATGATGGGGGCGACTTGCAGAAGTAGGCACACCAGAAGAAATGGGCAAAGAGAACAAAGTATGAGAAGTACATGGCAAAAGACCAGTAGACGTAGAAGTAAGATGTTTCGACTTGTCCATCGCAGTGCCAAGTTGGGTCTGCAGTCATCTGCTGGTAGACGAAAACGTTAATCGATACCCCGACCACCATTTGTAGTAGCTGGAGAAAGGTAATGAACATATTGACCCATAATGGTGGACGAATGCGACCAGAAGCTCGAAGGGCATAGTACGAGTACATGATAGAATGGACTAGAAAGTTGAGCGTGATGAACCACTGCGCAGGATGCAACTGTACCGCGTAGTGGTACCAGCAGTAGACGAAGACGGTCACGTGGTGGTACCAGTGCAAGAATATCAGTTTCTGCTTCCGGAGGACGATGAACAGGGTGTCCACGAGCTCTGGAAACTTGGAGAAGCAGAAGAGGAAGGTCCAGAGCCCTGGTTGACCTGCCGTGAAGATATCACGGCAGATGCTACCCTCCCAGCCGTGGTGTAAGAGAGTCTGGAGCATTACTGGGGCCGTCACCGCAGAACCCAGGATACTAAAGAGAGCTAGTGTCAGACTCCACATGAAGAGAGGGAGACGGAGGTTGAAGCGCTCTCGAGTGGACATGTACCGCCGGAGGGCGAACACGCCGAGGACGTAGAGCGCGGAGATATGCAACGAATAGTGCCACCGATCTACGGCGTAGGAGACCACCTTCGAGCTGTTGAACCGCTCCTCTAGCGGATATCGAGAGAGAACCGAGTCCATGTCGCAGACCAGTCAAGCCACCGCCTTCAAATCACTTGTATTTCACCGAGATGATCAGCCGCGCAGCATGCTATATCGTAAGATAATTGAGCATGCGCAGTTTCCCATTGTCGGTCGGTATTCATGATCGCACACCTCTTTTTAGCAGTCCAACACCTATAAATCTGTGTAGGGTTCATTAAAATTTGGCACCTTACTGTACATGCAGTGGACACATACATAGATTGTAAGTTACTGCGCCTAGATTGAGAGCTGGTGTAGTGGTTAAAGCACTGGCTTATGGGACTCTATATGCTATACCTGCCCTGGTTCGAATCAAGTGACTGCCTCTTTTTTTTCATACTCTTCTCCATGCTGATGGGTATAAGAGCTGAATTTCAACTACTCCCCTCGGGTCACTCATGTGGCGCAATCAGTAGAAGTGGGGACTACCAGTATGGTCGAGAGATCGATCCCGGGCTGGAAGCTGGTAGGTGGTCCAGAGCACTGGCTGGGAACAGCTCTGGTTCATCCCCTTACCCACTCTCTGTTTGACAATACTGAGTGCCCCCGCTTCACTTGGTATGTTGGCTACATGCCCGGTGGAGTGGCTTTTTCTTTTTTTTACCTCAGAAATAGCTAGAAGAGACCAACTACTACCCTAAGGTATATTAGCTGTTAGTTTTTTGGCCAGTATATATATTTTCAGTTCCTGAATCTGTTTGTTGCATTGACAACTTTGGCGATCTTGTGAAGCAGTCAGTCCTGTGAGCCAATAAGTTTTTATATGCAACAACATCTATGTTGAGTAAGGAGGTAGCACATTTGTATCTTCTTGCACCACCTAGTGGCGACCTGTTCCAAGACTGATAAAGCTGATGAAACAGTGTAACCCTCCAGTCGGATGGGACATTCTGTGTCCCAGATTGTTGCAAGTATTAGTGTAGTATCTTACCGTGAAGTCGTCATTTCCTTCGTATTTAAGTGCATGCTGTTGTATGATGTTCCTTTACGCGTAAAGATACGACAGAGTTTCATTGAACCAATGTATATAACATATTTATTTCGAACATGCACGATAGCTATATAGGCTGTTCAGTCATGTTTTCTGCCTGATACACTGGAGTCCCTCCTCTGTCGCAGGAAGGCCTGATAGTAGAAGTTGGAGAAGAGGCAAAAGAGGGCGAGGGGATAGAGAATGGAGTAGACACAGAAGTTGTAGTGGAGGTGGCCCCAGATTCCCTGCAGTGTACAGATCACAAACTGCGTCATCTGCAACTGAGTGACTCGTTTCTTGATTGGGAAATCCCTGACTGGATAGAAAGCCGTGAGTCCATAGTAGCCGTACATGACTACGTGTATGAAAGAGTTCATGGAGCCCACGAGGATAAAGGCTGGCCAGCAGGCCTGGCTGTAGCCGTAATCAGCCAAAATAGGCACCGATGCATGGTGGAAGACGTGGAGGAAAGATATCTGACTTTTCTTGTGTCGTAGAACCATGAAGACCGTGTCAAGAAGCTCGTACCATTTAGTCATCCAGTAAACAAATATAGCGTGTCTGAGGGTCCCGCCAGCACTTTCCTTGGTGCTGAATAGATTGCCGTCTTCAGTGAAGGCTACCGCAAAGGCAGCGACGCAGTAGGCGCTGAGTACAGTGCACACGATGTTATGGAGTACCAGCGGACGGCGGAGGTCCAGCGGCTTGAAGAGGTTCATGAGGCTAGGAGCAGCGAGGCACATGATGAGATAGGCCCCCACAAGAGGTGCGCTGCGGCACGTGAGGAAAGAGCGAAAGACATGATAGTAGACGTCCCAGTCTGTAGGGGAGAAAGAGAAGATGTCACTGACTAATGGGTAGCTCTTTTTATGCAACTAAAAGCCAGGCAAACTTACCGGTCATGGCTGTCGGTACCTGGCCTTCTACCGCGTGTCCGCTGACCACGCCAAGGGGGAGGGGCTCATATGGTGTCGGTCGTATATACGCGTGCGCAGAGAGCGAAGGTGTTGGCCCTACATTATGACAATAATTTCTGCGTGTTGCTCTGAAGCAGAAAGTCTGGTGCGTTTCATTGTTTACCATGCTGGATGGATCAATAAATGATAATTATAGAACAAAAATTCCGAAATTAATAATTTCATGTGCTTAAAAATGAGTGGCAGAGATTTCCCCAGTGATGATCTGAAGTAGTCTCAGACGATGGATCCTGCTGGCCACACCCAGCTCCATCTTGAGGACCTCAGTGGTACACTGAGAGAGGATCGCCCCTGTAATTTCCTGCTCAGCGAAGATCTCTCTGTACTGACTCAACTTCATCCTCTCCAGCAGGTCTCCCACCTGTAGTGAGAGAAAAATCGGGTTATGGTCACTTTGTGAACTGAAACTGAAACGGCACAAGTTGCTCCACATCTGGGCTTCTGTTTTATAAGACCGTGGTTGGTATATAGAAGAAGTGAGGGTATAACTGTGGGTAGGTAGAACTAGATGTCTTCACGAATCATAAGTGAGGTATGAAAACAAAGAAGTAGTGCAGCCAAACAAAGCGATGACACCAAAGACAACACTTTTTAAAGAGAGCTGCTCTAGGGGAGGAGGATATTACATAGGTAAAGAATGACTCACTTGTTTGGTGGAGAGAGTCTTGAGATGCTGAATGTTGTTTCTCCTGGTGCTACTCTCTGGTAATGAGGTACCACCACTGGCAGATGATGCCACTGGGTTTAGGGGGGAACAGTGGGCGAGCGGTGAATGACTGAAATCATTGTTTTCGCAGAAAAGAAGTATACACACAGATGGTATATATAGAGCCGAAAAAATAACTCTAGAGTAAATTTGCAGAGATGAACCACGCCTATGTATTATACAATTGAACCTGGAAGCACTGTCTACAAACTGCCAGTACACAGTAATACTCGGGCCATAGTTAAAAAAATGCAGTAAAAATGTTGAACGAGAGAGAAATTGAGCCAAATCGAGTAAAGTTACCTAATGTCTTGAGTTTGGCAATCTCGGCTCTCAGAGCGTGGACCTCTCTCTCCAAGATCTCCACTCTGTTCTCCAGCAGCTCGCTCCCTCCACTGACAGGTGCTGGGAGGGGTAATTGGCCCTGGTTCCTCCTATCACTCCGTGGTGATTGACAACCCCTGGACGAGGAACTTGAGATAGTTTTAGCAGGAGAGGAAGGTGAGGTGGATCTATGTGGCTCAGGGGCTGTGTACTCTGATTTTCTGCTACCCTTCTTCGCTCCAGTGATGGGCATTAGCGGTTGATAGGCCTTGGAGTAGGCAGAGTCAGCCGCGGCACGCAATTCGGGTGTGCCCAATCGTGGTCTTAGTTGAGGGGACACCAACGCAGGGGTGGAGCTGGTGGGTGTGGCTTTGTGACCACCCGCTGCCTGAGGAGATCTGTTTCTCCTGACGCCGACATCGGGAATATCGTAGATCCTCTCCGGGCGCTGTAGCTCCATTCCTTCCTTCTCAAAGCCTCGTCGTATGTTCCTAGTCTTCAGTAGCCTGATTCGACTGGGATCAAACCTCTCGTACAGTCTCTTAGTGTGGTGGGAGAGATGGGCCTCCCTGGCTCCATCTGGTGTCTGGACCACCAGCTGGATGGGAAGGTCAACGGGGATCTCAACAGGCATCTGGTCTTCCTCACACACCACCTCATTCTCGCCCCAGTTGGTGGAGGCAATGAGAGATATCTCAGAGTCAAAGTGGCTGAGTGTCACCACTTCGTTGGTGAGATAGAATGGTAGCTCCTCGTTGGTTAGGTCACAGTTGCTCAGAACTACTCTCACGTCCAGTGGAAGTTGATTCAGGAAATGTTCAACGATTTCCAGCAGGTAAAGGCAGGCGATGCTGGGGTCAGTTGAGAATGCCCCCATACTATCTGGTAGTAGGAGTTTCTCCTGATTGCAGGTGATGCTGTAAACCTTGAGAGCCTTTTTCCTTACACTCAAAGGCACTACACTCTGCACCATAAACAATTCTGATTGCTCAACTGTTGATTTTGAGTCCACTCTGATGTGGGGCTTGGTGGCTCGAACTACTCTGGGTAGTGTCTTGAGGGAAAGTAGGTCGGAGACCTTTTCAAAAGAGGCTCCTTTAGCTGGCTCTCTCGGGTCGTTACTCGGGTTAAATACAGGGGCAAACTGAACTGCAGAGTTGAGGGGGATGTTGAAAGTTGCACCCCTGCGATCTTTCAGTACAACGACTTTTGTCCGTTTAATGAAGTGAACGTTGTAGACATCGTCGGTTGCAATGGAGTGTTTCTCATCTCCTCCGTGGTAACCTCGTTTCACCTTCATCGTGAGTGGGAGTAAAGTGGAGTACTCCAGAACAAAGTCCTCCAGTGTCATTGGGGTCTCTTCCTCGTCACTGGGGGAGTTACTCTGTGTACTCCGGGGTGGTGTTCGCGACGGAGGACAGGGATGAGGGAGAGGGAGGGGGAGATGTGTGGAGATGATGCAAGACCAGTTGCAGGAGACCCAGAGGCAGAGGAAGGTTTGGTGCGATGTCGCAGTGAGGGGATGGGGATTTTGGCCGATGGCGATGAGGAGGAAGAGGAGGGAGGGAAGGAGGAAGATAATCCTGACTCCTGCAACATCTCCCTAATGAAGTAAACAACTCATGAAGCTTAGAAAAACCATGCCTTTAAACCAAGTACATAATAATGGTGCAGTGGAAATATGGTATCTTAACTGAAGTGGTGAGGCAATAATCCACAAGGGTGTATGTAGCTTGCCTAATACTCTAAATCCCTCAGGTGCACTTGTTCTTGTCTTCAGAGTAAGGACTATGGTGTGAGGCAATGGCCAGATGTAGAAGACAATGGCTACAACATCAGGAGCTGATGTCAGTAACATGGCTACATAGATATTACACAGGTAGCTAGTTCAGCAGACCTTACTACTAACTGTTTCTATTGGTCATCCCCATTGTTTGGGTAGGTATACATACACACACCAGGAAAAAGACTGAATAATGGCAAACAGTGGGTAAGATTACCATACATATACACATTTCCTCTCAACTTCTGCAAAAGCAGGAAAGTGCAAAAGAACAATGACATGATGCTACAGAGTTCTATTGTGGCACAAGTGGCTGAGTATCAGTGCCCAGCTAAACTCCCACATCACCGCAACACAACTGGACACACGACACTGGCCAGAGAGGATCACATTCCCAAATGCAGTATTCTGACAAACAAGTTTCCTATTTAGGAAATACACAGTTTATCAACTTACACCCATCAACCCAAGGCCTACGTTGTTACTACTTGCTCACCAGCAATGACTACATACTGTTGTTACATGGCACATGTGTAGCTCCAAAATGCATTATGGCTGTAGCTTTGGGACTGAAACTGCATTCTGCGCAAGTTTACTGTACAGGGCTGAGCCTACAATGTAGACTCCCCTAGAGCCATTTAGTACAGCCATTCATGAGTACTCAATCAGGGACCGGCGAGAGCACAGGACCTCGCGAAAGACTAAGTAGGGGAGACACAAACAAAGACCTATGGCCGCGCCATCTCGTGACCTGTACTGACACACAAGGAGAAAAGGACATTACTGAGGACCTTGGAACATGGCTCCTTGGAGACTAGCGAGCTGCTCGCTAGTGGGAATCTATGGTCCTACCGACTTACAAAGTAACTGTGTTTCCCTGCGCTTGTCCTATCTTCTGGCTTCACTCACAGTTGTCGGCCAACGGAATCTTGGCTCACGAAATGTGTTGGCTCACGGTCCCAGCCCTTGCGCGAGTTAGTGGTCGCCGCGTTTATATAAACCAGCCCCACCCCCCATTTGGTGTGGGTGGGTGTGAGCGGGTGGGTGTGAGCGGGTGTGCGTGAGCGAGCGTGCGCGCAGGTGCACTTGTTTGTGATATGCACCGGAGGCACTACGTGTGGGAGCGCATAAATCTTCGGTTCAAACACATCGAGACCGCACCGATACAGCGAGAGAGAGTTAGATATTCAGTCTCCACTCCAGACCTCTCAGTGAGTAAACATAGTGTTGTTCTCTGGCACGAAGGCCTTGCATTGCATGCACATCTAGCACACACCGTGGGCTTACCTATCTTGCTGCCTCGCAAACTAGCGGCGTAGATTGACATTTTGACGCGAGGGCGGTGTGCTAGCTATAACTTAGCGTTGTTGTGGATCTATAGCTATATACCAACACGGTTCCCCGTAACTATGTTGCAACATGTAACCGAGATGTCTACCAACTCAGCACGGATTATATACCTTCTTGAATCTTGTGTAAGACTTCCCTTCCAGTTGCATTTACTGCACATAGCTAAGCATGTGTTAATAAGTACACAGTGCGTATAATTATATAGAAGCCGCCAGCATGTCCTCGCTGTAACTGATGAGATTAGCAGTGTTGGGTTTCTGCTATGAGTCTTCCTAAAACAGTGAAATTGACTGGGATAAGCTTATGTAAACAGTTGCAGACGGTACATACATACAGGGATGCATGCACCCTCCGTACTACTATACACAGTAGAATGGAGTACGTGGGTCATGTTACATATTCTCAGTCTTTGCTTGTTATCAGAAATGTTCAACTGTAGATGGGGCCGATGTAAAAGAATAATAAACTTTAAACGAGTTGTTTGATGTTGTCATCATGTGCTTTCAATGGATATCAGCTAAAAACTAAAGCGATTTTCGCTTCATGTTTCACTGCATGTAACTAGTCTAGTGTCAGAACAGCAAAATACGATGAGCTGCTCCCACGTGACTGGCATGGTGGAGTCACGTGGCCCTATCCATCTGGTGAAGCAGGAATTAATTTACACTATGAATGTGTGTACTGCTCAGGTGGGGTATTATCACACAACATTTGACCTGTTGCTGTTTTGATTACTGTCTCAGCTCCCAAATGGACTGATGTGATATGGTAAGTCCCATTTGGGCCCTTGCTTGCTTGGCTGTTTGTTCGAACCACACGTCCAGTCTTATTCATAAGAGCTGCATACCCATTCATGCCTATGAGCATGTCTGGCTTACAGATTGTCTTTAACTAACTCTCATTTATAGTGCTATATCGCTATGGAGCAGCCTCTTCTTCAACGTTAGGTTACAGCAATCAGGTCGTAATAAATACATTGTAGCCTTAGCCATTAATTTCCTTAACCACTTTTCCATATAACCTTCCTTCTGTTGTTTTTCAAACTCTCCTCCCTTTCTCTCAGCTCTGTTGTTTCCATTGTCCCTTGCTGCTAAAGCTGCCAATCAAAGTAATCTTTCCCCCCAGCCTTTCCTTCCTCTTGTTTTGCCCACACCACTCCAACTCCAACCACTGGAGGCAGGACTCTCCCTCTGCCTCCAGTGAGAGTAGAGGATGTGACACCTGCCATGTTTGGCTCACGGCTACCTCCTGTGGCTGTTAGGCGACCCTTGGCTTGGGAAGAGAAGAGAAGGATATACCTGTGTAGCCAGCCCCCAAATATGGCCTGCTTTTTCAGGGACCCATTTTCAGTGTTTTGTGTATATAGAGGGAAGGAGCTGATGACTTTGTGTGTGTTTTTGCTGCTGGTGTCTTCCCGACCACACTGATTTACAAACAGTTCCATTCACCACACGGCACGCTGGCTCTCCTCACATACTTCTACTGTAGCAATATAAGTTGGTATCTCTTTCTGTAAACTAACTAACAGTTCTGTAGAGTTGTTAGTTGTAAGAAAATGTGGGACTATCAGGAATGTTGACCTACTCTATGGTCCACTGACTACTGACATGCTCCATTGCAGTGACGGAAAATATTATAGAGGCATGTACACCATAATTGGCAAGCAAAGCGAGCCCACCTAGTCATCTGATTGCAGAATATTTATTTATGTTGTGACCCGCATTGCCGCACTGCATATACTGTAATGTTATTCGTGATTCTAAATATGCACGAAACACACAAAAATTGAACTCTTCTAGTTATGTTGAACTGGTAATTGCCATTGAGTTAGTTTCACTTGTGCAGTTGTTGCTAATTATAACTCCTCGACCACTGTCTTTGGTTGTCTTGTTTGCGTAGTATAATACCAGCCATCGGGCCTGCATGGAATGTGGTAATTTGGGAATATATACTACCTACATGAACATTATGGCAATTAAAAGCTTTGACTCTCATACTTCAGAGAATGAATAGGGAAGTGGATGCTGATGTCACACCAGAAGTGATGTCACAGCTGTTTTCCATTAGTGAACTCCATTATCTTGTGATTTGAACTCTATTTTCAGTTTGAGCTACTCTCAGTCCCCTGGAAATAGCCAGTGTCCAGTGTTGTAGTTACTGTGCAATACTAGCCATTCATTACCTGTGGTGTGGGAGACTAGGAACTCTGCATAGTGCACAAACACTGTCACCATAAGTGTAGTGCTCTGTGAGCGTGCAGCAAGATACTTCCCCTCTAGCCATAATAATATACTCCCTGGGTGGCATGTTATCTGCTAGCTGGAATAGAGGGTGTTTTTTTCCTGGAACCCAGTGACTTAGCTTCACATGGGAGTTTTGATTGTAGTAAACAGTTTACATATGAACCACCTGAGAGACATACAGAAAAACCATTACTATTACTCCCTGTAGCATGATTATCGTGAGGGATCCACGAATAGTGACATGCGCTGTTGCTGAATTACGCTGTATGTATAGTGCCCAGGCTTGTGTATTTCAGCTGCCCCACATTCAAGTTAAAGGTAAATGTGAAGCATGTGGATCTCTGAGCTGTTGATGCAGGTTGTCGGTGAAAGCAGGAAGAAAATTGCACACATCTGTGTACCATAATGCATGCCTTAGCTCGTGCATGTCACATGCAGTGTGCTCAACAATGATAAATAGATAGGAAACGAATGACTACGTAAAGAGATGATGAACAGAATAATGGTGTACATCATGTCAATCATTCCTGTAGGACAAGGAACTTTGGTTGTCATGGCGACCAACCCAAACACCGGGCAGCTGGGTCAATCCTCCGGTAGCTCAAAGAACAGGTTCTGGAGTAAACTCCGGGGTCCTCCGAAACTACCCCGAGACGCAAGCGGGGTACCTCAGACAGTACCCCCGTAGTCCCACCTCCTGCCTTACCCGTCTCCCGCCCCACCCCGACACCAACCAAGAAAACCACACCCACTCCGAGCAGCGATAACGTGTTTGTCTCCTATAATTACACGACGGAGGAGATGACACTGTCAGAGTTTGCCCAGCGCTACCAGAGCAACCTGCCGCAGCAGGTGGTGGTCACTCACGGAGTCTACTGGAGAGATAACATGGAGGTCAACATCTCCAGCTCTGAGAGACTCAACATTCACTTCATTCGTCACAGAGAGTCCGTGAGTCAGCCCCTTCATTTGTGTCGCACTAGATAAGCTCTCCTTTTTGTCTCTGTTTTGGTCAGGTGGTAGCTCAGTTCTTGAAGTTGGGATGCAATTAGTGCATGCTTCGCCATAACATTGAAAGGGGTTTCTTCTCTCCCACGTAACAACTATGCATGTTACTGCTTCTGTAAACATTGTAGCTCAATGAATGAAAGGGTTTTGAAAAAAAGTGGTTTTATAATTGTGTCTGTGCTCTTCAGCCTGAAAAATACTTCCATATACAGACAACCACACTATAGTGATTGCATAGTACTATAATTCCTAGGTGGATTTCCTTATTACTGGAGCCATTATTCATACATTTTGTTACTCTACTCTTCATGTTACGTCTGAGTGTACCAGATATCTGAATATCAGTCTGTGATTCAGCACAGCTTGCAGCCATGTGCTCCCACCTTATCATGTACTAAATCTTGTTCATAATAATTCCAAAATCGTTTTAGTACTTTTTTCACGCACTACACTTTTACTGAACTCCTTCTCTGTTCTACCTCTCCTCTCTCCTCTCTCTACTAGGTGAAGATCAAGGAGCTGGGCAGCAGTACAGAGTATTCAGTGCCAGTGACATCAACGCTGGAGTTTGGCGCAGTGTACAATCCCTACAACGGAAACATGAAAGACGCCCTGCGAGGATTCTTTTACCCCACTGTGGGCGACGTCATCAAGATCACCGAGAACGCTCCCCTCCCGAAACTCATCCGTGCAACCTCCAAGTCCAGCATGACCACACCTGCCAACTGTGTATCTAGGGGGGAGCTCCTACTGATTAAGGAGGTGCGTTCCGACGAGCATCTGGGATTCCGAGAGCTCCACGTGACGAGTCTCACGACAAATACGGACAAGATTCTTCACGAGAGCTGTCGCGGGAACTTCACCACACGACCAGAGGCCATCAAACTCTCCCTCTTCTCCATAATCAAACACATCCCCAACGCACTCCCGCTCTCCGTCATGATTTTCCCAGGGGAGGGCACCCTAGACCAGGGGGACATGCACTACCCGAGCCACCTCTTCCACAAGGTCATCCAACTCTCCCGGACTTTCACTGATGTTCTTCTCGTCGCCAGCAGCGTGCCCGAGGACAGCGTGTGTGATGGGCGAGAACCGTTTGAAATCCCGCAGGAAGTCGAACTGGAGCTGAGAGTGGTGGAATTAAGGGAGGGAGATCGCGAGCAGCTGCAGGAGAAGAGCGACACGATAATGAGGAAGATCCAAGGAGAGTACGTCAAGCACTATCGCAACGCCCACCAGGCACAGGCAGAGTACGTAGTGCAGGAAATGTTCTTGAAGGCAGTGGGTGGACTGGGCGATGAGAAAGAAAGGGTCCCAGTCGCCCCTCCAAGGAGGAAGAAGTCAGGGTCTGTGGAAAAGGAGGAGAGTGATTATCCCAATGTGAGTCCGGTACAAGAGGGAGTGTTGTCGCGACTTGGAAAACTTGAACAACTCGTGTGGAAGATGAAGAAATCTCGAGTTTCGACCAGTGCCAGTGAGGACCGAGCAGAGGAGGAACGGGAGGATGAAACAAAGGAGAGAGTCAGCAAAGAGACTGCTTCAGTCGTGGAATCCCTGCAGGAGAAGATGAGGGAGACGGAGGAGAAGACGGGGGAGAAGGAGGAGAAGATGAGGGAGAAGGAAGAGAAGATGAGGGAGATAGAGGTGAAGGTGGAGGCCCTGGAAGCGACAGTGTCACAGCTACGTTCCCTGCTTGAGGAACAGCAGAAACAGAACCAAGAGGAGCTGGGGAGAGTGAGTGTGGAGCTGGTAGCCATGAGGGAGGAGATGAAGAGGAATGAGGCAGAGGCTAACCAACAGGGGACCTCTCCCTACCTGCTGGGTTCCCCAGAGACTTCCCAGAGGAACAGAGACATTGTCCAAAGTCTGACAGCAGCCCAGGTGAGACTAGCTGGTAATGGTGTTCATCCATTTCCTTCCCTTTTCCTCTACGATGTAGCTACATTATCCTTGTTTGTATGATGGGGTCATCTGGTACATCTCGGTGTATAAGGCATGGAATCCAGTGCACCATGCAAAAACTGACATGTACAAGACTTTCAGTTCTCTTTTCGCCTTTCAACTCCAGATGGATGCTGGTCCTTTACACATTCTATTTTCTCTCATTCTCTCTCATTCTCTCTGCCTCCCACCCCTCCCCATCCTCTCCTCCCCCTCCTCTCTCGTCAGGTCCTCCAGCTCCTGACAGAGGTGGGAGTTGAAGATCTCCTGCTAGCCACTCAGGAGAACGTTTCGGGAGACATTCTGGTGGAGCTGAACGAAGAGGAGCTGGAGACAGAGCTGGGCATCAGGAAGAAGATCCACCGACTCAAGGTCATGAAGATCATCAACGGCTCTAAACCTGTCACTGACTACCTCAAGATGTCAGAGGCTAACAGTATGGACATCGTCTGCTAGCCATCACTTATATATACTACTGTGTATTACTTGTATTTGTATATATCACATTGTAATACTGTGGCAAATGTGCACTAATGCAGTTGTCTATAATGTCATATGCTTTGAAGTGAGGATCTTACGTTGCCAAATAACGCTCCACAATAGGTGCATGCGTTCACCTATAAGTTCTTGACACACACAAAGATTCAGTTATGCAACAAAGAATGAGGAGGAGTTGGAATAGTATGATAATGCACATCAGGGTTGTGCTATATATTTGGCCATGTGCTAGGAATCTTGTGCTCTCAGAACATGAATGTGTTTATCGGCATAATTGTAGTGGGAGTAAAATGGGCATACCCTGTATTATATATAGTATAATATGTTCCCACTCCAAGTAAACAGTGCACATTGCAGAGGTACCACACATGCACTACAGATCGATGACAATCATGGCTGGTTGCCTATCAGCTATGTGTCACTCACGTATAATTATAGCATGTGCAAGCACTTTTCATTCCACACCGAAGAGTTGTAGAATTCTGCATATCCAAGAACAAGTTGCCCGTCAACAGGCTAGCTAATACTGTGTTTAACTCAGCTTCAGACCACTACTAGCATTTGTTGGAGCTGCTATAGCTACCCCACCAGCAGAGTACTTAGAGAGTAATCTCTACCAAGTCTTTTCTGCTACTATAATAACAGAGCCACTAGTAAGACTCTCATACTGAAGTACTACAGCTCTCCTGGACTGAAAACAAAGCAGAAAACAAAGCAAGAGACGGTCTGAAACTAGCTGAACTGTACTCAACTACTACTGAGCAGACAAGATCAGCCTACATTCTGTGGCATGGAGGGGAAAAGCAGGGACTACAGCAAACCCCCAGCTAGACTACTCCCCACGACCCCTGGACCCAAGCCTGTCTCCCCAGTCCACAGGAGGAGACCTCAGTCATCTGCCTGCAGAGATTCCAGCAGCTTCAGTTGGAGTACAGACGATGAAGATTGCTCCCCACCCATCCCTCCCAAACCTCGCAGCAGTCCGCCGGCCTCAAACCCCCCAGGAACCATAGTTTGTGGGTCTCCAGCTAGCAAGACACCAGCAGGGAGTCTGGCGGTGCCCGTTGAAAAGGGGCCATTCACTCTGCCCGAGTTTGTGTCAAAGTTTGGTCGCTCCCTCCCGTTGTGTGTCAGTGTGGAGAAAGGGCATCACAGCGACGATGAGAGGGAGAGTATTGGGATGGGAGAGAGGTACGTACTACACCTTGTGAAACACACCAAAGTTGTGGAGCTAAGGTCTCCCGACGGAACGACCTACAACTTCCCCCTCAGCTCATCAGTACAATTTGCCCCTATATTCAAAGACGCTGACGAGAAAGTGAGCGATTCTGAGCAAATCTTTGAGAGAGTGGCGGATGTAGTGGGACTAAAAGACTCCCACGGCTTCTCAGAGCCACCAAAACCTTCACCAGAGACAACAAGACTCTTGTCGAGAAAAACGAAGTCCTCTATGTTAAAAAAGTCGCTTCCAATAGCTCAATCGGTGCCACGCTCAAAAGGAGAAAGTCTCTGCAGGTATACAGCTTCCTACACAACAGAGAGAAGCTTCTGCCCAGCGAATGCGAGGGTGGGTTTACTGCAGACCCCTACGCCACTCGTCTCTACGTTTCGGACATTGTCTCTTTCTTCATCGAGGAGTTTCCACTACGAGTTCGTGTGCATCTTACGGACGTTGAGCTGGAGGAGGGCAGCGAATTCCCTTTCCATCTATCATCAGAGGTGTCAGAGTTGACGGAGATAAAGGCAGAGACGTCACTAGTGGCATCCAACTACCAGGAGAACAGCCAGACGCCTGCCTTAGGGCGAGGGGGTAAGGGTGAAGAGGAGGAGAAGGGGTTTATTGATATCCCTATCAGTCTGAAGATTGATGTCAGCATCTTCCAGCCTGAACAGGACGACAAGGCAAGTTGCCTTCTTCTTTCTCTTACTCTATTCTCCTTATAATGATCCAACCTGATTTTGTGAATTCATCATCTTTCTCTCATATTACTGTTTCTCTGCTTCTCTTCCAATTCACATCTAAAGCTCTCTGAGATTACATATGTACTGCAACAATTCTTAAAACACAGGACTCTGAGTTGTTTCAGCGAACCAAGAGTCTCCTGCAAGATTTCTCTCGGCGCAAAGATCCGCAGCATCAACAGGAGCTCGGCAGACCTGGCCGGGACCACCAGGAAAGGCTACGAGAGGGAGGGAGTAGAGTTCGAGGAATCGTACAGAGTCTACGAAGTCATTGGACAGCACAGTCGCTCCCTCCTGAGTCCCCAAGTGAAGAAAAACTCACAACATCCAACCTACGCAGAAATTGACGCGACCTACCAAAAGCCACCATCACCGAGACAGGCACTCGACACAAAAGATAAAGCTGCTCCCCCTCCTGTGTCTCCAAAACCTCCTCCGAGGAAGCCCCCTGTTCGTTATAACACAATCGGCCAGGCATCGGACCTGAAACGCGAGAGTTCTCCTCTGGCAAAGCCACCAGCAGAGGTAGGGAGAGTGTTAAAAATGGAAGTTGGTAGGAAGCTAAGTGTGGACTCCGCTGTGAACAGTGGAGAGAATCCCTACCAGCCGCTACTGAATAAACGTCGTGTCTCTGAGTCTGAGTCAGGCTACGTGACCGTCGGACAACACCCTACCTCAAGGAAATCTGTCGTTACAGGGGCCAAAAGTCAGCAGGCAATGATGAACGGTCTCGCTGCTGCTGCAGTTTCTCCTGCGAGGGACGGCACAGTCGAAGACAATGGGGCACTTATCAGAGATCTGATTGGTCGGATTGAGAGCCTGGAGCAGCAAGTGGGAGCTCTCACTGAGAAAGTGGAACAACTCTCTAGATAAAGTGTTATGTTTACACAGTGGAATAGAATTGTATTGTTGCAATCAGCAATGCGTGCAGGGTCGTAGGTCTACGTCGGTAGTTATTATTGGATATAGCGCAACCGGGGAGTGGGGGTCGACCCTAGCTACACTTTGCAAGACTCGCCCCATTATTCACCGTCCGTGTGAAAGAGCTCGTCGTGTTTCACGAAGCAGCAACAACGGTGTAATCCTGAGTGAGTTGGCGGTTTTTCTGCGCTCTGCGCCATTCTAGAGCGACCCGCGCCCGCTGTTACTTTGTTCAGTAGCTTGTTAGCTGCGCCTACCGCCGGCTGGGGTGCGTTGTGGGAAAATTCACTAGCTATACCGCAGTGAAGCTGGTTGGTGCCGTTGTGGATCCTGTATTATACGTAAGCTGCTACGTTTGAGACTCGGCGAGGTTTGCTCTGCCTGAGACAAGCTTGGAGCAGAAACAGCGTTTGCCGTTATTTCCTTTATATACTCCTTGCAAGTGACCTGTAGCTAGAATGTAGGTATATATAATACCTCCTTCTGGAAGGCAGCCCTGAAAATGGCATTGCCTAAGTAAACTCCCTTACCACGGAATAAATATCACCTCATTAGCTAACATAATTACAAACTGGTACATTATTTCATTCCTGTTTCTCCTATAGCTACAACACTGAAAACATGTTACTCCTGAGAGTTTCAGTTTGTTCTATGACGATAGTTACAGTCACGATAGTTACAGTCACAGTAGCGTCTCTTTGTACAAGAATGCCTCCTAATATTCGCTTGTCAGAGTTCCTGTACTACAAGCTCTGTCAGTGTGTTGGTTCACAATCTTGTGTTGCATATTGCATTTCCCTCAATTTCTGGGCACTCTGATAGCTGTTCTTGTGTCAATAGCAACTCTAACTATTAAATTATTACTGGCACTGTGATATGGGTTGTCTGCATTGAGAATAATGAACTGCTGTTCAGTTGATGAACCTTTTCAGTCAGACCAGGTGTAGATAGTTGAACCCACATGTCCAGTGGGTGCCAGTTTAACACATTGTAGTACTCTGTCTAGTCTGATGTGGTTACACCACTCTTTGAACTATGTTGTGAGCTCTTAAGTGTACTGCATGAGTCAGCCTAGCAACTACACATTTGTGCCTGACATTGACTCCAGCCTGCCCCCTGCTCGTACGAGGGAACTTGCCTTAGTCAGTGAAGCTTGGTGGTTAGTCTGCAATTCCTTGAACTACAGCACAACATCTGTGAACTATCTAATACTGTTATGGGTGTGGAATATTGTACGAATGAAGGTGCATTTTTGTGGTGGTTTGTTGGCTGTGCAAATCTGGCTCTGTGAAAATTCTTCTCTGCACGAAGCGAATGTGTTGACTTGTTGCCTAGCTGCTGTCCCACAGTTTCGTCTTTAGCAGTTGTACGTAGTAATATGTAAGGGTCTTTGTAAACACTAGTGGGTGAATTATAGTCGAGTCATTGTTTGTCCAGTGGCTAAGACCCACTTATAGGAACCCATGAAGCCCAAACAAAGACACCGTGAAAACAATGTTAGATCATCGTACGATGACCCCACAGAGTTAAATTGGGAAATCCTGAGAACTATCAGTTATAGTTCGAGTCATCAGCTGCGTGAAATATGAAATTTGTCAAAAAATTGCGAAATGTTTCTCTCCCTCCTCAGCCTTCGGTCTTGCCCCCTCCCTCCCTCTCTCTCATCTTTCTATTTCCTCTCCTCATGTATACCTTTATAGTGGCAGTAGGAAATGTTGCCAGTGTGACCCTGAGAATGTTGATCTTTGTGTACAGTGAATATGCTTTCAACTGGGGATCTGTCAGACCTCAAATGATGTAGTAAAACGCGTACTGTGAGGTAGCCCTATACACCATTGATAGGAAGTAGTAATGTTGACACTTCCTTTGTGAAGGTACAAGTGAGGCGTTCACTATATCAAATGGCTAAATATATAATACTGCAACATGCTGTAATAGTGTTATACACCCACTTTCCCTGTTACCTAGAAGAGCCTTCTCCATCTCTATATTATAAGCCAGCCAGCTCCCCCAGGCAAAGTTAAGATTGAAACCGACCTAGCAGTTTGCGCTGAAAGGTTTTAGTTGTCCTTTTTAGAGACTCTCTTGCACATAGTGAGTTGTAGTGAGTGATCATTGTTCATTTTTCTTGAGAATACAGTTTTATTGTGCCAGTGCATAACACGCTTACATAATACATGTGGTTGTTCTGAGTAGTTCCTTGTCATTAGTGTTGCTATCATTTCAGGTAGGCAGTGAGTAGCCCGCAGCGTGTGTCTGTGTGCAGCTGAGACCTACGGTGGCTGAGCTGCCGTGAGATGTTTAAAAAGAAATCCAAGAAACCGACACGCACGCAGAGCTTGCTTAAACACGGTAACTACCTCCCCCTCCTCTCTCTCCTATCTCCTTCATTTGTTAGTCATAATGAGCTAGCATAATATTAACTCAGTTTTCATTACTGATGTGTGCTCTGCCCCCTCCCCGCAGACCACGCCCCCGGCCTCCCCCCTCGTCCTCCAGGTGGACTACCCCCCTCGGTCCTCAGTCTCGTTTGACTCTCGTTCCTCGTTCACCTCCTCCACACTCCCACACTCCACCTCCCTACCCCACGACCCCGGAGTATTCATGGACCCCGAACTCCCTCCACCGGTCCCCAACACACCTCGCCCAAAACTCATACGCCCACCTATCCCCCTTCCCGACGATGCACCTCCCCCTCTACCTCCTCCCCTCACTTCCCCCACTCACCGCTCCACCCCTCGGCAAAGTTCGAACCCCTCAACCCCCGCCCCTTCCTCCGCCCCCTCGTCAGACTCTCGTTACGTCAAACGCTCCAAGAAGTCTCCGGTGAGTACGCCCAGTATCCCAACCAACGCTGTGTTGTCAGAGGAACAGCTAAGGAAACAGATTGAGATGCAGACACAGAACACAGAGGAGCTGAGGACGTTACTGGTTGGTAAGGAGGAAGAGGCGATGACGCCGTCTTTCCTCGTGAGCCGCTACGGCAAGTACTTTCCGTTCAAGGCGAGCGTGATGAAAGGATTCTACAACAACCGGGCGGAGATTGTGGCCGGGGAGATTTACAACATCCACTTCCTGAAGAACGCCAAAGTCATTGCCATCTTTGACTCCTCTGGGGAAAAGTGAGTTTTTCAGCTTTTTTTACGTGAGATTTGCTACCCACCATTAAGCAATCAGCTTTTAATCTGACCAGATTATAATAATGGTGTATTTAACCCACTCTCAGCGTGTTTCAATGATAGTCAGCACAATTGATTTGCTTAACTTCCCAAAAGAAAAGCTTTCTTAGGTGCATACGTGTATCTTTTGTGTTCTTGAACTGGCCACTGGCCTATACTTGTAGAACTCTACTTATTAGCACATTGTAACACACATACATCCCAATAATGCATGAAATTCTGCAAAGGAAACTCGTGAATATTAGAAAAACCTTGAAATACAAAAGTTCCCTTCTTTTGCAGAATATTTTACACAACGTGAACTGATGGCGACTAGCTTTACATTACTCCCTCTCCCCCAGGTACATTCTCCCTCTCAACGCCGCAATGAGGATAGGATTCGAACAGCCAAATCAACCTCCCACGTACTACAACATCCTGGACATCATCAACAGCAGCAACCCCCCCAAATTGATCAGCCCCTGCGATCCTTACCACGGGAGTGAGGGGAATTCCCTCCAGGCAGACGAGGTTCTACAGGTGAAAGGTGTACATGTGGCACGTGTGCGGAGAACTAAATCCCTCATTTGTGTCAACGTAAAGACGTCGCAGGAGAAGAAGATACCCAGTGACTGCCCCGTGGCCTTCTCTACCGAACCCACTTACAATCAGGTATGGAGGGGGCGTGGTCATGGGGTGTGGCCAGGTAAAACTTTGATACATGTAGCGAAACATCTGAAGATGATAGGGTAGTAGCAACTTTATTGGAAGAATGTTTTTGCAGTTCGATCAATGTCTGCCCGAGAATGTATCAGAAATCTTTGCTAATGATCCTCAAACTGTAAGGTTTTCAAACATTTTAGTTGTCATACGTGACAGAGGATCCCCATTTGTGCACAGGATACTGCGGCAGTACATATAAGTCAATGTGTTTTCATGTCAACCTGCAAAGGTTTTCTTCCTCAACATTTCCTTGTGGATGTATGTGGTATTTTGTCCTATTGCAGCTCTGTGTGTTCAGTGTGTGTATAATTTGTTTTCACATCAACATGAAAGTTTTGCACCTCACACATTTCCCAGGTTATCCTCTTGTCAAAACTGTTTCTCATTCATCGCTCTTCTCCCCCTCTCTCTCTCTCTCTCTCCCTCTCCAGCTAACTCTGAGTGACCTTGTGAACAAGATGCCGGAACTCATCCCAGGCAATGCCAGACTCTATCCCACTGTGGATGTAGAGGACATGGGGTTCCCAGGTTGGTGCATATTACACCTGTAGTTTTTGCAACTGAGAAAGTGTAAGAAAAGCATTTGTGATTCACTCAATGTCCTCAGTGCCCATGAAATTATGAGCGTCTGTCTTCATACGTGCAGCCCTAGCCCAGCGAGCCTACCTATAGCTATATAGTCATGTCAATGTTTCTATTTCTGTGTGCTTGGCTCTGCTGCTGCACATACAGTAATGTTTTACGTAATTCCAAATACGTCTGCGTACAATTCTACTCTCATTTTCTCTCCATAAATGCTTTGCATTGGTTCTAGATCTAGTATTGAATCTCTTTCTGAAACTTAGTGGTGTTGCTCTCTCTGAAACTCAGACCTACCCCTCGTAGATATAAGCCAGCAGCTTTTTCCACCCGTGTATGTAACTGTAACCCATGAGCAGTGACAGTGATGAGTAGCCTCAGTGACCCTTTGTGCTGGACACCCGCAGCCCGCGGCTATAGGCCTTAAATTTGCTTTTCTTTGTTGATGCACACACACGCTATAGGTCACCTTGTGTCAGAGACTGTTAGGGTAAAGAGACACTACCAGGAGAGATCTCTCATCACCACCCTGGAGGAGCAGGAGCCGCGACCTCAGGACAGATTCTCTCTCTCCATTGAGCCCGAGATGTGAGGATGAGGGAGGGGAGGGAGGGGAGGGAGGTTGCACACTCTGTCTGCTAAGAACAAGACAGACACATAAAGTGGTGAATGGTGCTTTTTGCCCAATGGAAGCAGATTCAAACCACTCCTCATGTCTCTTATCTTGCTGACTGACTATTCGTGAAGGCATGCAACAGGAACTAGGGAGAAGGAGTGGAGACCATGTATACAGAGTAGCCTAGAGAGGAGAGAAAGAGAAGAGAGGGGAGGGTAATGTGCGTGTTGTGTGGAGGAGTTGTTGTGATAGGCTGTGGGTGGTGGTTTAGATAGTCCTAATGACATCTGTCTTTGGAAACAGGTCCCTTCCAACACTAACATTTTCTTTAGTGCACTCTCCATATATTGTTGGTTGATACCTCTGCTGTGTACTCTACCTCTGATATACACTATTTCAATACTATCTACCATAGGTTGATCTTGTCAATCACCAAGTATTCGTCTTTTCCACCTATCTTGCCAAACCTTTGTCTTTTCTGGGGTAGCGGGAAAAGATGAGCATTTAGAGTGAAATACGGGGAAAATGAAAGTTCAGATAGACAGGGTGACACTACTTCTCTCTCTCTCTCTCTCTCTCTCTCTCTCTCTCTCTCTCTCGTTCTCAGACCGGCAAAGACCATCTACGACATCCCGCTGTCTCTGGACATAGAGTTCTCTGTCATTCCTCCTGAACCAGAGGAAGACATTTATGCCTACACCCACCAGCTGAGTCAGCAGTTTGACCCCAGGTCAGTTTGCATGCACCCGACCACTTCCATTGCCATTGCCACCTCGTCAACATTTTTGTCAGGTGACAAACTCATTGCCTTATTTGTAACTGTTTTCTATTTCGACCCATTGGCTGTATAGTACGGGAGAAATAAACACCACCCCCTTGTCACGTACTAGCACATGTTCTGTTTACCATGTAGCTATAATACCCTCGTGATTCATGCGTTACCATGGCGTTACCATGGTGTACACATGTGTTCAACCATGCACTGTCAGCAGTGCAGCTATATTATACATAGTGTCTGAACATACACTCTTTGTGTGTTTTGAAGGCAAAGTGAAAGTTGACCATCACTTGACCTTTATCTATCGCATACCAGTGGTACAGTATGAATGTATTGCTCGTCATTCCTCAAAACAGTAGGGAAAAACAAACACCTACTTGTAAGGGCCTTCCCTTTACTGATAGGACTAATGTACATGGCATTGTAGTACATGAATGTTTGTCATTACAGAAGGGTGGGCTACTCGGTATACTGGGAACTTTCAGAGGAAGAAACCTCTCAAATTTCTCAAATTACTCTGCTGACACTCTACAATGTGTTTATCTGACATCTTTCCCTCCCCCACCGGGCACCCAGGAAGGTACAGTCAGGAGACGGTATGGGACTAAACATGGCCATTGATGAAGACAACATCTACAGTGGAGTGGAGCTGGAACTACCTCCATACATCAACTATGACCCCGGGAACCCTAACGCTGCTCCCCGCAGTATTGGTGAGTTTCTCTCCTGGCTTGTTGTGAGAGTGTCTATCATTTCACTCTCCTCTTTCCTCCTCTTGGTCTACTCTCTTCACTACATAATGTACACACTTAGACCAAGAGTCACAGGAAACTACACAAAATTTTGAAAATGTCGTGTGCAAACGGCCCTGGGGGTGAACGCTATCCACTAGCATTCTTTACTAGTATTCCTACACAGGAAAAGCTAAGTGGACTAGCTTTCTTCAAGTTGACCAATCAGATTTTAGCATTTCAAATTACCGTACTTGTAAGAGTTTTTGTATTCGTTCTTTCCTCTTTTTCTCCCCCCCCCTCCCCCCCCCTCTCTCTCAGCTGCTTCAGGTCCTCCTCCTCTTCCTGCCAGAAAAACCTCCACACAGACAGGTTAGGAATCAGATCTCCCCCAGTTCCTCTTGTCTTAACCAGACCAGAACCCCACACGATGGTAGTGTGGACAGAGGTTCATTGCAGTGAGCAAAGAACGCAACCCCAGGACATGGAATAGTGACGTGTCTGCTTAAACTAGCCTGAGAGAGAGAGAGAGAGAGAGCAGTGTGAATAGCTAGCTATGTACAGTTTGGCATTCCCTTGCTCTCTGTTAGTCTCTGGTGTTTACCCTCCCTCTCTTCCTCCCCGTCCCTCCTCCCCATCTTCCTCCCTGTCCCTCCCTGTCTCCAGATGATTCTGACGGAGAAGAATACACGGAGATTGACAGCAGCACATTCGCTACTCCTCCTGTCTCCCTCCCTCCCCCCTTACCTTCCTCCCTCCCCCCACCTCCCGTCCTACCTCTGCGACAGCTAAACCCTCTCCCCTCACTCGCTCCTCCCCACCCAGCGCCTCTCCCAGAACAGGCAGGAAATCATCCTCACCCACCAGCCGCACACCCACCCCCAATGGACCCAGAGCTGTTCCTAAGCTAACAAAAGGTCGGTGCCCACGTCTTTTATGTTGCGTATGAGTATCCATACATAGTATAGTGGCATGTCAAGAATGTGAAGCTAATTTCATGGTGTATACCCCGGAAAAAGTGCATATTCATCCTCAATGGAAGGACCCTTCTAGTGATTATTATGTAATCATAGCCTGTGTTCATTCTGATTACAACATGCACCAAATTTTGTTCTCCAAAATATACGTACATGTTTGGTGCATGAAACTGCTGATTTAGCACGATTATCGCCAGGTCCTTTTGTCTTCTCTAAATAGGGTCTGAGCATGAGACAGGTGTACAGTTAGTGTTGTTGTCTGGTCGGTAATGAACTAAGCCCACCATCTTCTCTGCTTTCTTCCTTCCCTTCATCCTATTTTGTCCAGACCCAAGTGTTGATGACTATGAGGACATGTCAGACGAGAAGAAAATAGTCCCCAGAGGAGACCAGAACACTTTCCCCCCTCACCCTCCCTCACACCCTCCCCCAGACACCCATACACCCCTCCCTCCCTCACACCCTCCCCCAGTCACCCATACACCCCTTCCTCCCTCATACCCTCCCCCACTCGGTGCTCCGCCTGCCACTCTGGGTGTGGAGGGGAGAGGAAGGGAGCCATCCCCATCCTCCAGCACTGGCTCGGCCTACGAGGACACTGCTGACCTGGCAACTGAGGCTAGACCTAGACTTCCCTCCCCTGTCACGTGAGTCACATTTATCTTTCTCTTCCTTCTCCCGTTCATTTTTTCCTTCTCTCTCCTGTATCGCTCTCTCCTTCCCGTTGCTAAACACAGATTTCGTATCGAGGATCACAAATGTGCATGTGTTTGCAGCAGGATATTCTACCTCACTTTCCCTTCAATATCCCTTCCTCTTTGCTTCCCTCCTCTAGTCTACCGATTTGCTTGACTCTAGCTATTGTGAAAACATTCTGTATGACAGTTTCCTTTTCCCTTTCAGTGTCAGTGAGACTTCTGAGGATGAACAAGAGATATGCAACAGGTAGTGACTGCAATGGTGTTCCTCACCCCCCATCTTACCCCGCCTCTCTCTCTCTCTCCCTGCAGTTCTCAGATTTGCACAGAGTCATTCAGAGTGCTAGGAATGTTGCAAAGACACGACGGCAACAGTCGGCCAGTCCCTTCCATTCCTCTACCACCACTGGTAGGTGACCCTCATTCTACAACGGAAATGAATTCTAGCTAGCTACCTTTGAGTGCATTGAAGGGTGGTTTTAAACCAGTGGCAAATCTAGGATTTTGAAAGTAGAGTGGTTCCGCTGTCCAGAACGTTCTCGACTGCACTCGTGCGCCCACAAGGCCGGAGACGCATGCGTCAAAAAGGGGGGTTCCGCGGAACCCAAGGAACCCCCCTGGATCCACCACTGTAAACCTAACACACACAGCCTCAATTTACCAGTGTGACTTCTTTGTCATGCTCTATACCTGAGTATGTAACTGTGTAGGTGCTGGCACGGATAGCTTTCTTCACTGGGTTACCTCAGATTATGTAATCCGCGCATATCGCTCCCGATCTCACACATGGTGGACTGCTATGATATGTACAATGGATGTGTATTGGTTGTCTGCAGAGCTGAAGAGACTGAAAGATGATCTGAAGAGAGTGGCTCCACTGCCCCAGAAGATCATCAACCACCTCATGTGAGAGAATTACATCAACAGCTACCACAGTTTCATGGGGGAGCCTGCCGTACACTGATGGTCCTCTGTTCTAAAGAGCTTTGCATGAATTAGCAGAAGTGAAACAGAAGTTTTGTGCAGTAAGGCTAATGTGTTTCTCAGATCTATCTACCACTGAAAATTTGGAGCATTCAGTGAATGTGGCCAAAATACTATAACTATACTCTATCACTAAGGTAGTAAAGTGGCCAAAATAGTATAACTATACTCTATCACCAAGGTAGTAAATTTAGCCCTTTGCGTATGCCACATCCCCTCCCTTTAAGTACGATGATTCTGTATATGAGTGAAGGGTTCCATACCTTTTTAGCACACACAAGTCCCTAGAAGGATATAGTACCCACCCACTACTAGAGACTGATAATTATTGCTGATGATGTTGTTGATTGTGTCCCTGCAGGGTTGTGGAGAGGGAGGTGGCCACTCTGAGTGAGGTGGTGAGAGACGAACTCTTCAAGACCTCGTCCTCAGAGGTTCTGCAGCAAAACAGACAGTTCCTGGCCACCCTCACTGTGGCTCAGGTGATATACACATTAACTGTTACGCTTTCCTTTCTTTCTTATTCTCCCTCTCTCCTCTATACCCACGCTCCCTCCCTCCCTTCATCTTTCCCCTCTTTTGTGTGTCAATTTCCTTACTGCTTCACCAGTAAAAACCACCAACGTCATTTTGCCCGCACCGTGTCTGTCTTCCTCACTCCCCAGTTTCCCAGTTCTCTCCCCAGTTTAAGATCTGTCCAAAGTGCATCATCATGCACCTATTCATACCCTTACAATGACTTCATATTATCAACCTTCCCCCCAAAATGTAATTGACACATCAATTTTGCTGTGTTGTGTCCACCCCCCTTCCTGCTAGGTGATCAAGATGCTGGAGATGTTGAACATGAGGCAGTATCAGGACAAGTTTGCAGAGGATGGGATAGACGGAGATGTTCTCTGCGACATCGAGGAGTCAGTTCTCGAGAGTAACCTCGGAGTCTCTCGCAAGCTGGACCGCATCAAATTAATGAAGATAATTAGAGGGGAGCGCTCGGCCAAGAGTGTGCTCGAGGGACAGTACAATTACGTATCTCTGCAGCCCATGTCTTAGACACTGTGTCGCATGAAAATGACATACTTTAAAGTAGTTTGTGATTTTAATGTGCTATACCGTTGTTGGCAAAAAATAAGATCATCTGTTTGATTTACTAACTCTGTAAAATGGTTTAGTGACTTGCCTTTCATGATCTCATGCTTGATCTATGAAATCTTAATGGAGTTTTGGATCGTTTGTGTGCAATTCTGCCTGACATACAGAATCTTCACTGAGTCCATAGCTCAGTGACGGAATGTGGTATATACATGGTCATAAATATATATTTTTTGACGTTTTTGACGCATGTCTATGTACTGCTTTGCTTTTCATCAAGACAATGCATGACACAACATAATTATTGTTTTCAATGGCATCTACAACAAAAATTAATCAAACAATCACCACCACTCAATAACACGCCTGGACTCCAGTTCACTGGATATGTCTCTCTTGAACTCCTTCGGCAGCCCCAGTTCCTCCAAACTTGTGTTCTTCTCTTCCACACACTTCAACAGTAATGACACTCCCTCTTCTCCTAGTGACTCGTCACCTCTCAGCCCCAGCTTCTCTAGTGATGAGTTATTCTCTAGACCTACACACAATCCTCTCACTCCATCATCTCCTAGTTTGTTGTGTGACAACTCCAGATATCTCAGAGTCTTGTTTCTCTCTAATGCTGCACCTAACTCCACACCTCCACTGCTGCCAATACCACACTTGGCAAGATGCAGTCTCTCTAGTGAACTGTTTGTCTTTAGCATTGTTGCTATGGTAACAGCACCTTCTGATCCAATCTGGTTATTATTCAAGTCCAACTCTCTCAGTGTATGGTTGTCACTCAGTCCACTCACTACTTTACTCTACTCCATCACTAGTCAGACTACAGTAATGAGGTCCAACTTCTCTATCTGACAGTGGTATTGGGTGTTCAGTAGCTGTCCCAGACGCACACAGTGAGATGTAGTCAAGTCACAGTGGCTCATGTACAGTCTCCTCATTGAGCTGTTGGCACTCAGAGCTTTACATAATGAGTCAATACTCTCAACTGATATCCCAACCCCCAGCTCCTCCAGACTTGTGGTGGAGTGAATATAGCTCGATAGACATTTGAAGTCAGGTTCACCGATACCAGTATGAGTCATATGCAGTTTTCTCAGTTTGCTGCTGTGTAGAGATGACACCAGCTGGACAGCACCTCCACATCCAATACCTGAGTTATACCACAGGTCCAGTATCTCAAGACAAGGCATCCTCTGAACACCTTCAGCTAGCAACTCACACCCTCGTTTGTCCAGCTTGTTCAAGGAGAGATCCAGGTATTCGACATGTTGTAGTAATGAGTTAGGAATAGTCAGAAAATGTCCTACACCTTCAGCTGTGATGGACCCCAAAACTGATGAGCGAAACAATTGACTGGAGATGCCAGTCTCAGGCAGTTGATGATTGCAGCCTTACTGAGGAAACTCCATTGCAACATGCATCAACACTTCAAGGTCAATGTTCCATGTACAGTTGGAATAAGCTAGACAGTATCCTGCTGCAAAGTAGTCTGTGGCAGTTGCAGAGTAGGACAGTCTCAGTCTTCTCACACCAGAGCCCAGGGACACTTGTAAGAAGAGACTGGTTCTGGGACTCGTAAAGCCACCTGTACATGGTGGCTGCATCTTCTCAGCAGGTCTGAGGAAGTTACTGGAAATGGCTCAGCTTAGTGATCCCGCCAGGAATTGGAATGTCGTTTTATATTGTGTGCTCATAATAGGACCTGCATATTCAATCTCACCATTCTCAGACCAACTTTGTGTCAATGATAGTCATCAGTGCCGTGGCTGTAGGATGTGAGACGGTGAATGAGCTGCCTTGCACCGAACTCCGGGACTGTGTAGTGCAGGAAATTGTAGGAGACTGTGTTCTCCCGCGTCGTAAACCTTAGGCGACAGAGTCTGCAGGAGACCCAGGGTGGTACACTCCTCAGGAAGATCTGGAGAATACGATCATCTTTGCTGGGACACTCCTGCGTAAGCCAGGCCACACAGTCGCTGAGCAAGTCCCCAGAACTCTCTCTGGTTTAGATCACAGCAAGTGTCGTCCACTTGGAGTTCATGTGGCAGTACTCGGGTGTGGTGACCTGAGAGGTCCAACCGGTGTTGTCAGTCTACTGAGGACGTAGGCCGAGTAGAGTAGAGTCCAGTGAGTGACGGTGGTCGGAGGATTGTGTGGGGAAATGACTTGAACACTTGTCACAATGGCAGCACTGACTGGGGTGTACATGGCTGCACGTTATCATGGGATTGGAATCAATGAACTCTGAAAGTCGAATCCGGAATAAGAATCATAACTGTCTGAGAGTGGATGGCAACAATCATTGCTCTGATTTCTCGTCTCACTCCTCTTTGCCAGTGCCGAAGTAGCTCTGTGTGCATGTGATAGTCTGTCTCTATTGTCTCCAGCAGGCCTCCAGTGGCCCACGGTCGGCTTGTGATGAGATGGTGGCAGCAGGTAGCTGATGCCTCTGATCAGTCAGTAAAGAGAAGAGAGTCTGACCTCAGATCCGTAGCAAACTCGTCCCAGGCCTCCAGCCCAAATCAGAACCAGCCACGCACCACACTCTCTGCAACGATTCTGGTCACATCCTCTCTCACTGTCCTCTTGCTGTGTCGGAGAGGTCGGGGCGGGAGCTGAGTTTGTCTGATGTTTGCGTCGTCTCTGAGCAGCAGCAGTTAGTAGAAACAGTGGAGTAGGGCCTGCATGCAGCTTGCCCTCTGCCCACTGCCGACACTGGTGGCAGGCAAACACGTGGGGTCTCGCCCGACCCCGGAGCGACCTTCTATCAGGACACCTTTTGGCGAGAGCCGTCCCCCATCACTCCCAGCTGACTTTCAACTCATGGCCGTCTTTTTGTAGACCACGTCGCTCCATGTCTCCGCAGGCTCTCTCTAGTGGACCTGTCCATGTCTGCTGAGGGCTCTGTTTCTCACTCCTGGCAAGACGGGAATGGGAGCAGTGTTGGTTTGGAGTCAGGAGAGAGGCGTGAGGGGGCTCCTGGATGTGTACAGCTGCTCCAAGAGAGATGTGTAACTGCAGTGTGGAGCCTCATAAGCAGACTACACCATCCACTGTAATGCCTATATCTCAATGTCTGCAAATCCTCAGACAGTTTTCTGATACTGTCTGCAATTGGGTACTTAGAGAAGAAGTGGTGGAGTATGTCCATGCTAAAAACCTTCGCTGGCTTTTCAAGGACACGGAATAAACTGGGTAAGAGCAGCTTATGGCTAGTCTCTCCTTTAGATTTAGAGGTCTTCACAGTGTGCATGTCTCCCAGTCCTTTGTGGTTTTGAGTTTCAAAAATTTTTGAAGACCTTCCACAGGAGGTTGACATTTGTTGTTTTTGCCAGCACTGTTGAAGTCCACGCAGCTGGGTGTGTTTAAAGAATGTGCTGATTTTACATTGTACCATCCATTATTCTTGTAGCTCCTCTTGGTTTTTGAACTTGTCCAACATAGTTGCAGGAAGGCGTAATTGCGGAAGTTCAGGTAAGTTAGTTGAGAGTTCCACCAATATATCAATTGCAGTGGCTGTTGTTTAATAATCGCCTTAGATAGTCACATGTGGTGTCAACCTCTCCAACCTGAGTGAAGTCAGTCTGTATTTGAATTCGGTGATGTCCACTGGTGCGTCATCACCGACTCACACACATCACTTTCAAGCTCAGAAACTCTCTTCGAGGGATTCCATTCTGACGTGACTTTTTGAAAAGGTGTTGCGAAAACTCTCTGTCAATTTTGTTATCTTTCCTTCGTCATTCATTTGCTTGGTATTGTTGCATTGTCCTGACTGCAGTAGGATACTTTGATCCTCTATTGGCTATGTTTTCTTGTTATATAGCAGAGAGGAGGAGAGCATCACCACTCTACTGACAGGTGGTGGTGGGAGGAGAGGGAATCTTGGGTAAGCCAGTCTGATAACATTCGTCGTAAGAACGTGCGGGATTTGTTATGGGTACGCGTCTGGATAGCATCAAGATCAGGTGTGGTCATCCAGTGAACTCGAGATCATACCACTGGCCATCACTTCATACAGTTCGGAACAAGAGTGCAAGGTTAGCGGGAGTAATGTGTCTTGTGAAAAATGCAGGAGTACATTTCTCGACATATCTTAAACCTTGGAGTGTGGTACTTACCAGGGCCAGGGGGCCTTTCGTTCACATCCCAGCCATCATGAGCAGCATCTGATTCACAAACACTATCATTGTCACCTCACTCAGACAAGGCCTCTTTTCTCTTAGAGAACAGTGCGACACTACTGTAGCCCACACCCTCTGCCACGTCGTCTTGCTGCACTTCCTGTACACCAGCACCAATGCCCAGAACTGGAGGCGACTCCCCTCTTCAACAAACGACAGAGACTGTCCCACATTACAACAGAGGCCTCACACACAAAACACCGACACAATTCATCGGTTCTTTGACAGCTTCAAGAATGACATGATGATTCTTTCGTCATTTCTCTGACGAAGGTTTGCCTGCAATGAAAAGAGGGTAGTTAGTGAAGATAGAAACTATGAGAACAAACCACAGACTCACAATGTTGGCGGTGGTTGAAAGAGAGGGTACCCAGAGTCAGAGGAGAGTGAGAGTGTGTGAGCGGTGGTCTTAGGAGTTATAATGGGCACAATTGTACTGGACCCAAACACTGCTCTGGTCCACAACACTCTGAGCCAAATGCCTCCTTGAGGTTGAACCGGAACGCCATTCACCATGCCAAGTCCACACTGGCATCGATAGAGGAAAAGAGGGAGGACACACATCAAACACACTCTTCATTTGTCTGCAGCCCACTGAGCGTGATAGTGAGTTGGTAGTAGTTGACACAGCAGGACAAAAAGTTGAGGCACAAGTGACGTGGCCAGCACAGAACTGGGGCCTTGCTCTCATTGCCAGCAACCCGAAAGTCTCCCCTGACATAGAAGAACGGACAGACACGCTCAATGCCTTCCTCACCAATCTCTG